GACTGACCGCATCTCAACAGATCTTTCTTGCTTAGTTTGCCAAAAGTTACTTGTTTGCTATATACACCGACGACTTTGACCTTCATTTCTAAAGGATGTAAAATGTCAGTGAATGGGATAATAACGCGTTAATCACGGATTCAATCTTGAATATTCTTGGATTCGCAGTTCTCGCTGGTTTTCCAACGCCAGCACACGTCGTTCGTCGCAAGCTAGCTACCCTAGATTGTATTTTGAGCAAAGACAAAACAAACTTCATATGAATTCTTCCTATTTCTCATTTCGTATCTCATTCTTCTTTTGAGGACATTTCCTCTGTGTGCTTTTCAGACGTCAAATGGTCAATAACCACCATGGTCACATCTTCAAGTGGAGGACGACCGTAGACAGTCACTTCTAAAGGAGGAGGACATCATGAGTGAACACCAACTATCGAGTAACACCCACCAAGCAATCACTCACTGATTTCTGCATCTTGTTTCGTGCACAAGTGCATTGGAATACGTTGAGACAATTCATACCAAGACCATGGTGTGTCTGAGGAGGAGAGAGCCTCCATCATAAATATTTTGGCAACTTCAGGCAAGGCAGTTCCAGCAGGGACAAGTATCGATACGTTCTTCTCGTAGTCCAATACAACACCACTAGACTTCGTTTGAGATTCCATACCACCAGTACGTGTCGTTGTTGAATCACCTCGCACAAATGCGAGAGGATGAAGACCAATGTGATGTGCAGCAGCAACACCAACTACCAATCCTTCCGTAATACCCGTCCTTTCTTCTGGAACTGCTGCATGAGCAGTAACAGAAAAGGGTGATCCCTCAAAGGGTTGGTCTTCAGTTTTTGGCATACCTTCTGTTTGAGCGACCGATTTATCTTTGAGTTCGGGTTGAAAACTGGTACTACTCTCTGATGATATCTCCCCTACAGAATAAGCTTCATCTGCTTCATAAGGCTGCTCTTCATATCCCGATTTTCCTTCTGTTTCGAGCATGGAAGGTTGCTCTGTTTCTGAAGCACCTTCCACGATTGGGGATAGCTCTACTTTGGGAGCAGATTCAGTCACCATAGTCTTTGGAACCATGGCTGGACGTGAGCGAGGAAGAGGAGTAGAGACGTCTTTCTCCTTCATTCGAAAAAACAACGTAAGCATCAGTTCGAAGACGTTATTGCATCACCTGTCAACATCATTGCACCACTCACACCAACCATCACGCCTTTTTGAGGTTGTTTCATGAGTCCAATACTTGTATTTGATCCAATGGATTGTAGTGCTTCTTCAGGCACATGAAACTTTAACAGTTATTTGTGAGTGAACGGTACATGCGAAATGTTGTCGATCAAACAACCAGATGAACTTACGTTTTCAACAAAAACACCTCCAGCTTGAAGTTCCTTCTTTACAGTGCGAGCCGCAGCACCGGTGACTGGAAGAGTGTCCTCCAACTCTGCCTATGAAGCGACCGTACGATTATTAAATGTCAAATTCAGTAGGTGAGAGCTCGTGTTGATGACTGACTTGAAGATCAGTCAAGGAAGGTGTAAGAGTAGTCTCATCTTTCGTAGATCCAGCTATTTACTTCGTTGAAATGTTTTTATGTGGCATCTTTTCTGACCTTTGGTTTGAAAAAATACAAAGATTGAGAGTTCAAAATAAAGTTTGAGGTGAGAATGTGAGACTGACCTTTGAACCACTAATTTAAGCGATAATTCACGTCAAATCTGCGAATACAAAGTTCCAGTCTTCAAACTTACGTTGTATAGGTGTTGTTCTCCAGTTGTTCTTAGTTCTCGGATTCGCGAGCGAATGACGTAGATCAAGAGTAAGCGAGTGTGTTTGGATTGAGACAAGAATGTGAACTTGTCTCCTGAATATTCGAATTCGGTCCAAGCACGTCAAGATTCTGATATATATTGTGACTTCCTGAATGTCCAATTCTCAGATCCAAATGTTCCAAACATCGATACAGCAAGACCCTGTAGAAACATCAGTTAATAAGTACTCATCATAGTATATCATAAATGGATGGATTAGAATCTGCATTCGAAGCACTCTCAGCTCCCGTTGATGAGCTGTTTCAACGTGTTCAATTGGACTTTGCTCACTTTCTTCAAGATTGGACGCAATTTGGCCAAGCAGTGAGTTTCAATCCAGTTTCTAATGATTTCAACCTGCAATCTAATGCAATTAACTGTTACTGATTGCATCGACTGCCATAGATCAACTTCAAATCTCCGCTGGTCATCAGCTTGATTGCATTTCAAGTCTTGGTTTTCTCTTGGATTATCTATACACGCTCGTCGCAAACATGGACTATGAGCAATTTTCTTATCATGTGTAAGCACTCGCGCAGCTTATATTGCTCTTGCACGCAGGGGCAAGATGCAAATTCCACAATTAGATATGTTCCAACTTGTTTCGGGTTTCCTACAATTAGCTGCACTTGCCATGCTATATCAACCCTTAAATCTACTCGGGCAATCATATTGGACTGGAGACGTCAACTACTTTGACAAGACTGGAGTCTTCTTAGCAGTGTTTTACGCATCACCGATGATCTTTCACCTATTGGTGATTGTTGTTTTGCTTCTTAGACATGTATCAAGAATGCTAGTCAAAGCTAAGAAGGTGGAAACACGTAAAAGTCGCAAGAAGGTCGTCAAAAAGGATCAGTAGGCTCTTTGGATGGGTTGAGTCGCATTGCTTCGTACAGCTGTAATTATATTTGATTCAACAAGGAGCTGCATGAGCATGACAGGTTCCGATTTGTGCTCGTTTCCGTAGTTGTTGATAAGCATAACTCGAAAGGTTTTAAGTCGTGGGTTTTCGCTCCGGGTACCTTCATGTAAACAAATGCTCCACGATGGGGTTGATAAATTTTGTTCAAAAACTACAATGAGGCCTACAAAACGCTTTACATTGTTTACAATTTAAGTCAATATTTCCGGTTATCCTATACCCTTTCGCCTGGCACCCATCTTGCCAGGAGAACCTGCTATTCTCCCTTCAACTAGTCTCGGAGCACTACTAATACCACTACCGCTGGGAGCATTATCTTTCATTGCCCGCTTAGCAGTAGCGGTGGCAGCACTACAAGACTAACCTTCACGTCAGCTTCTTCAGGAAACGTAATATCCCCTGGCCAAGCAATGGGCACAGGGTATCCTCTTGGCATTATCTCATCTTCAAGCATCACTATCCGTAAGCACGTCACAGGTAGCAGAGGGTCGCGTGGCAGGTAGCAGGGTGGTATAACAGCAAGGTCCTGTCGGAGAGGGATTGTAGGACCTATTAAAGGATTGATGAAGTTTGAAGATGTTAGTATTGTATGAAGTTCATTGAGCGTAGCAAACCTTTGACGACTTGGAAGACACTTTTCAACAAAGAATAGAGTAGAGATGAAGTGGTACTGGTGACTTGCCATGCTGAGTTGACGTGGCATCCTCCCCAGCCATAGAGGAGGTCCCAAGCCTGGGCACTTGAATGCCATCTGTGCCTTTTGTCAGCACATCAGATCCTTATTGACCGCTTTCAGGTACTTGAGCACCATCAGTGTCTTTTGTAAGCGCTTCTGACGCTTCTTTCCTTTTTTAGGTACTGAAATGACATCGTTGCCTTCCGTAAGGACACCCAATGCTTCGTTCCCGTCTTCTGCTGGTTGCGAAGATAGAAAACGTCGGACCCCGCGACCGCCCGTTGCCATCATTCGAAGGCTAATAAAGAATATTCCAGTAAGTAAATCATTCGTACATTATATGCCAAACACCCAAAAACCACATTGCAAAACTGAATGAACTATGACTAGACTTGCGCGCATGTCTGTCATTGTCGTAAGGCCATTTGTTGGCTCATATGGTCATCTTTTTTGCGATTTTTTGCGGGTAAGGAACAAACTTCGCTAGGCAAACCACTTAATGGACGCAATGTAGAAAAACGGCAGAGCAAGAAGGTAAAACGCGATTCTATTGATCGAAGACTAAGGAACTGTCAATGAGCAAGGTGTTTGTAAGGTCAATAGCCGCCGCTCAGTATTCCTCGCTCCATTGATTGAATCCGAAATTTTGGGATATCCTCAATACAAAAGGATTCCAACATCTTCAACAAGTGGTGCTGTTGTGTCGTAACTTGTTGCAGATTAAAAGAAAACATCAAAACACTGATCTAATTGGTAGACATCATGTATTTAGATAATCCAAACATCCAATCATGCTGACTTTCTTATGTTTAACGCCTGCAGTCACCTATGGTCAATTGTTTCAACAGCGTCAAATTACACACAGGAACTGTTTGAAACTAACGATCGGCCTTCAGGATTTGGCTAAGCTACCCTTGGATTGAAATCTTTCGCCAGATCTTCCTTACTTAAAACACCCAGAAAGTTCTCTGGAGAGCTCAACAAACTCCCAACCCAAGGCCCTAAACCACCGCCAGCAATGAGCGTCACACGCCAACCAAACATGGTATCGTGTACTGGTTATCCATTTTGCATTCACAATTCTGAATTCCGACTGATTGTGTAATTTCGGATTCATCGTATCAACTTCCACGGCGTCAAAGTACGCACAAGATTCATTCGAGACCGTACCAAGCAGTCAAAGTTTGTTTACGTATAGAGATCTTGACTCAGGCCGTACTTTTATCAAGAATGCTTTCTCACAATGATTGCAAACATTTGTCACTCACAAGCTAGATCTATGAGAACTGAAACTAATCAAATGTATTTTCAAATTACAACTTTAATCTCAGATTAATCGTGAGCTGCTCTCGAAGTTCAGCGAGAACTTGAACTGCAGGTTTCAATCTCTCAAGAGAGAAATCAGTTTTATAGTCTTCAATAGCAGTCTTCCAACTTGGTTGTGTCTTTATTAGCTCATAGTATTGTTTGGTAGCTAGTAAGGAAATCTGCGTCAGCTACGTAAGACTTTCAACACCCGAAAGAGCAATGAGAGGTAGGTACCTTGCCCAAAACGATCTGAATGTCCAGCTTCTTCCATTTGATACAGCACTGTTCCCATACAGCATTCAACGATAGAGAAGTCATCTCCCAACACGTAATCTGTTTCAATTCCTAGTAAGTGGCCTTCGAGTTTCTCTAATGCCAAATCCATGGATTCTTGGTATCTGTTCACAATCGATTCTGGTCGAGACTTGCTTATACGGGACAGGAACATGTGCTAGCAAAGACTTGAGTGTAAGGACAAACTCCATTGGTAATTGGAAAAGACATGGCACCAACCTTTTGAACTAACGACTCCCACGTCAACTCATCCTCCGCGACACCCAAATCCTTCCGCAACTGTACAATCTCCTGCAACAAGTGCTCCCTCATGACATGGAATTTGAGCTGTTGCGTATTGTTTGATGCGACGATCGACCACGGGACTGCCGGCAACTGATAAAACAAATGAATCCATGTATCCCATCCAGTAGGAAACAGCGACGGCTGTATATCTTTACAGTAAGACATGATTGATCTGCTGTCATCCAAAACGGGACCACCAGCTTCTTCATCGTCCATTTCTTCGTCAGGGTATGCGAGTTCCATAGCCGGGACTGTCAGACGGGAGTTTACGTGAAGGTACTCTGGTGTCAGATGCTGAGCAGCTACGGAGGAATGAGTTTGAGTTGCTACTATAGTCGCGATGGAAAGTCGCCCATACACTTTGTCAAAAGATCGCATTCCCAGTACATACCATCGATATCAACGATTTCAGACTTGTAGTCCACATCACATTCAGCAAGGACTAGTCTTGCGAAACGAGAATAAAAGGAGGCTGGAGAATGATACAAGACTGATTGCCTCATGATTTTGTCCCTGAGCTGAATTGGATCGAAGGTCGGATCAGAGACAGTTCAGTCGAGGAGAGCGCAAAGTGCATTTTAAACGTACGTATTTTCAAAGTTCCAGAAGCTGAAGCCTTGGATTATGGCGTCCAATGACAAAAGTTCCAAATGAGAGATGTGTTGGCGCAACACCGAGTTTTGGTGGTTTAGCAAGGAGTAAAGCAGTACGATCTCCACAATTCTAGATTTGAAACCGAATTATTCAAGGAGAATCAGTATCAGGCTACGCTTGACAGGCTGAAAACTTGGAAAATTGCATACGGCAAATTCACCAAACAAAACTTCTGCAGTTTTACGCACTTTGACTCAGCGAGGTTCCTTGTGTACCACACTGGTATCCTTACAGATCGATGCTAATAGTCAAGGCTCTAGTGCGAACGCTCGAGGGGTTGTGACTTCCAAGTTTGTGGTTCAAGCTTGCGCAACAAGTTGAGGAACAGAACACCGAAACCGCAACTCTAGATCGAACCGCGTTTCTTACATACTAATCCTTATGGAAAATTGGTGGATATTACCGTACTTTGTTGTCGACTTGTGAGATAGATCGCTCTCGACAGAAGCACTCCAACCCTGTTTCTTCACTAAGCTTGCACCTTATGTATATTCACAAACAATCTACAGAGCAATATATGAACTGGTACGCTATATTGGCACGATGTGACATCTACAAGTAAGCACTGTTAGTCTGGGCAAATACTAACAAGTTCAGTCCAACATACCCTAGCAATCCTCGACCAGACCACTTGGTTGGAGTCAGATTCAACTCGATCTGAGTACCATCTCGATCAACAAGCAGCTGGATACTCTTGTTTTCGTTTGCCTCGGTGTACTGTGACAATGGTTGCAATCCATTGCGTAACGCATCAATAGTGAGTGTTCCAAACTTGATGATTCGGTCTCCACGTTGTAGTTTTGCAGCATATGAAGGAGAATCAGGAGCTACGGCATTCACTGTTGCGAACGCAATCACTTCATCGCCCTTCATTTCAACATCGACGCCGTTCTCGTCTGGTGCTGCATGCATGGCGATGAGGGCTTTGTCGACCCTTCCCAAGAGCTCTTTATAATCATTCCTGAGTCCTATAATAGATGGCTGGTTGGCGAGTGTGGCGGTTGTTTTTATTGATGTTTAGAAAACGTACGAATGATAATCGCCCTTGTCTGCCTGACATTATAGACATCGATATCAGCTCGAGGGTATCCATCCTTGTCGACTAGTGGCTCACTCATTCCAACATTTTGCTATATGGATATTAGAGTCAGCCTTCATTCAACACAAAAAACCACAAGAAGTCGTTACACTTGAAAGAGTTCCTTCCAGAGCAGACAATTGTCGCTCGAGATCCGTCTTCTGGGCATCTAGCTTCTTGACCGCGTCTATCGCCTCACGCTTGGTGAGAATTGGAAGTGTCATTTGACTCTCCTTTTTGGCCTGTCAAAGCAATTTGAAATTGTCAGGAAAAAAAGCTGATTCAGCAGGTTTCACACACACTTGTCTAGTAGTCCCTTACACTCTAAAGCAGGTCTGAACGGGCTTATTACAAGCGTCAGCTGGTAGCAGTTTGGTTAGAGGTACACTGGCACACTGTGATCTTAATGGGAAGCATCGGACTGAAGAAACAACAAAAACCAACTAAAGTGTCAAACCCACCTTTTTAGCCTAGTCATTGTCTTCAACATGGCTTTAAAATGGTTTACTCCTGCTGTCCAGGTCGTCATCGCTGCTAGTGTCGTAAGTCGAGCCTTGCGTAGCTCTGATCATCCATGGATTTATGATTACTCAACATCATTCCACCAAACACCAACTCTTCCTCTTACTTGGAATCAAAGGTGGCTTTCTTCTCGCTTGGAATGCGACTATCTCTTGGTGTTTTCGTAGTTCCAATGCAAAAGGTATGACCTGACAACGTGGACCAACTCACCTGTTGGACCCGTGGATTTGTTTATAACTCACCTACATGTCAGCAAAAACTGCCCGTTTCTCTTCCTCATCATCCACATTAACATTACTCGTCTAGGACTTGGGTTGGCCTAGATCTACCTTGACGCTGGCTATTGGACTCGTCAATCTCCTGTTTGGAATCTTTCAGCCGTTTGTCGCTGTCTACTCTGATCAGCATGGTGCAGCTCGAGTAGTCTTTATCTGTGGACTGTTTGCTGTCGCCAGTATAGCTGTTTGGGCTGAAGCTGCGTCTTTGGGTCAAGTCGGTTATCCTATTCTGTACAGTATACTAGCTGGAATCGGTGGTGCAGGAAACCAGTTTTCTGTTTTACTCGGTGTTGTGGGTCGAATGTACTCTGCATCGTATCAGGTCAAGACTAGAGGAGCTCTCTTTGGTATGCTTCAGTGCTGTCTCTCGATCCTTCATTGGTGAGGTCTCGAGGCTGATCGCCGTACTCAACGCTAATCTAGGTCTCATCTCTGCCATTGGTCAACTTGGACAGTTCGTTTTCGCACCAATTGCTAACGTCATGATTACCAACCTTGGCTGGCAGAACGCTGTATGGGTATTCTGTGGCTTCTCAAGCATCATTCCAATGTGCGCCTTCTTGTTACGAAGACGCGATGCTCCAGTAAAGGAAGAACCAGTTTTGGACGAAGAACAAACTGATCTTCAGCTAGAGGCCATGCAGAAACGAGATGCAGACGAAAAGGCACAATTCTTAACACCAGAACCTCAAACACTGAAGGAAGCTTTATGGTACGTTCCCACGTTTCGTCCCGATCCGATGTATATCCTGACGTCATTTTACACCACCAGGGAGGCATTCACACATCTACCATTCATCTACGTCACATTGGCGTTTACTGTCTGCGGTATAAACATTGGGTTCTTCTCTTCAAACTTGGTAGCCTTCCTCCAAGACAATGGGATAAGCTCTAGGTATTCCCTACGCTCCTATCAAGCCAAGTTCTCGCTAACTCTTCTCAACTTACCTCTGGTTAGTTTGGCGTCCTGGGCCCTCTCATTGATTGGTATTTGCTCGACAATATGCACATTTTTGGCAGGATACTTGCCTGGAAGAGTCACATGGATCAAGATCAAACCAGTTCTTGCTGCTACATACTTTATAAGATCACTTCTTATCGTAGGTTTGCCTTTTGTATCCAGCAAATCCACTTTATTCGTCCTGCCAGCCTTATTAACGACCGCAAACTGTAGCTGATTCTTATCTTGACTCCCACAACCGTGGCGTACACTGTAATATTCTCGCTTGGAATGGGATGTGTGTGGCTTACAACCGTTCCTCTGACGACAAGTATGGTGGCCAATATCCACGGAACTAAATGGTTGGGAACTCTGACAGCTGTAACATTCTTGGGTCATCAGATTGGAGCTGCTTTCTCTTCTTGGGGTGGCGGTTGGGAATATGTGTGTCTTGGTCTTGTAAATATCCTATTACAAGGACGTATACTAATCCGTGACTTCGTTGTGATGTAGGATGCCACAAAAAGCTATCCCATTATGCTATGGTTCCAATTTGGAACTGCTTTCTTTGCTGGCATCATGATAGTCCTTGCCAATGAAACGTCTCTCAGAACAAAGGCACTTGTGCCCGCATCAAAATGATTTATATACCAACACAAAACAAAAATCTTATGTGTAAAGACATACAATACCAAACAGGGTAACTAATGAGTAATAAACAGTAAAGTAACTACTTCATTTCTCGTATCATAACAGTTTGGGTTGGCAGTTTTGGACTGCTGCAACAGAACTGAGTACGCAAACTGGATTAAAGTTGTACGAAAGGAAGATGATAGTTTTATGGTGATGCAGAAACACATTCATACAACCCAAAAATACTAAAACCAATCAGCAACTAACAGTCTTTCCAGCACCCTGAGCAGTAAGCAAGAATGGGTCTGGGCCGGTTGCTATCCATTGATAGTATTTGGTGTTTCCCCCAATGTTATCAAACCCAACAGTACAGGGAACATCCTTGCCACTTAGAGTTGCAGTGCAAGAAAGCATCTTGAACTCTTGACCTAATCAATTGCAGATAGTGTCAGTACCTTTTCTTGATAGACACATACGCTCAGAAAAAACGAAAACCCCTACCAGCAGTCTCGATTCCATGGTTTGTCTTAGGATCGATTGATGAACATGGACCACCTCCAGTGAGTAGTGCTAACAAGACGATGAACATAAGTGAGAGTGAGAGAAAAAGGGAAGAAATTTGATTTCAAGTACCTCCACCACCAACGCTGCCCTTCTGAACGTCAAAAGTAAATTTTGTGCCGTCAGTCTTTGGATTTCCAATACCAAATGTTTCCTTAGCAATGGTTACAGGATGAGACCACGTGGTTATGATGGTTGATAAGTGGTCAGAAGGACGTTTGCTAAGAAATAAGTAACCAAGTGTTGGCATTCGGAATGTTTAGAATTTCATCTACCGATAAACAACATTTCAAACTTACCAGTTCACTAAGACAATTGTGCCGACTGATCGGGTTGCTTGCTGATTACCGCCATTCCAACAAAAGTAGTCATGATTCATTTGCACAATATTGACAGTGGTGTTGCCAGCGCTGCATTTGTTTTCAAGGTTTGGTGCGACGAGCGTACCAACCACCTGTTGGAAAGGAGCGCGTGAGCCAAGCAGTTCAAGAGCTTTGGACCAGGTCGTTTCAAAACTTACAGGCATGTTGGTTCCAGTGTTATCTACAGCGGTCATCGCAAAAGGTGCCGGATCAGTGCACTGTGTCTTGGGACAAGTGAGAGTTCCGCCTGGTTGTAAAAGTTGTGAAATCACGTAAGAAAAAGGTAGATGATTCGGCATGAGAGTAGTTGGAAACACGACAGAGAATTTGAAAATACTCGTACCGTATTGAGATATATCATCAGCTAGCCCACACATCATTACTGTGCCATTCATGCCTGCTGTTGGGTTCTTGCAATTGTACCAATCTTGTCCAGACTTGATTTGCTCTGTGTTGGCACAAGCAAACGAGACAACTACTCCATCGTCTCCATTAGGTTGTGAGCCTAAAGTTGCAAGGACAAAAAGTGGTGAGTGGCGGAATAACTAGAGGTTAAAGCCTTTCACACACCTTTGCTCTTCACGAGGAACGAAGTGCTGAAAGTTGCAGATCCATCAGCATTTTGGGTGCAAGAAGTATCTGTAAAGAGAATCGTATAAGAAATAAGCATTTGGTAATATTTAAAGGGGTTGTCTACATTACTCGTCACACACCTGCTGGTAATCCTCGCATGTATACGATATTGTCCTTGTAGTTGTAACCGTGACTCGAAGGAATCAGCAAGCCTAGGACCACGATGGGGATCATGTTTAGCTGAAGCATGGTACAAATATCTATAATTCTTAAGAGAGTGGATTGTTTTAGTTACAGTACGATAAGAGTAAAGGAAGGTGCAGGCTTCGTTGCGTCCAGGTTACCTTGGAAGGAAGACAATAACCAGTCCGAAGTATTAGCAGGCTACAGGTGAATCAAGTAGTTCCAGGAGGCAATGGAGGGAAAGGATGATGTTGATGTTTGGTCAGCGATATGGCCACAAATAGAAGCACATTTCGATGAAGGACGCACACCGGTCGTCGGGGTTTCAGCAAGGAGATTTTGGTAGTTTATAAATATGCATGATATGCCATATATGGCACTATCTATTCCGCAGTATGGCTCGGTTGACAGTGGTTTTGAATTTGTAGTGTCCAATGACAATTTGGTAAACGATGTTCGAAATCTTTGTGGATGGATGGACTTCCAATGAACGATCAGAAGCCCTCCCCTCCTATTGTTCATTGACTTTCAGGCGACTAATGTAACAGACAAAATTGAAACACGTTCATCACACACACTGCGTCTACACGAAGAAATCTATAAGTAGAAGGCTTTTAAACCATTGGTGCGCTTCTTCTTTTCCGAAACAATGGACTTTCATCGCAAAAGCGACAACAGATCCATTTGCAATAGTGGCGTTTGGTGTTTGCTACATTTCATGGTAATGTGGGGCTTCTACGATGGGCTATCGGTTTTGCTGAACGCCAAGACAAATGGGATCCGTTCCTAGCAAAGACACAAGGAACGCTGGAATATCGATTTACTGACCTGAACCATCTCTGGAGATACCTTGTCTCGACACAATGAAATGCACTTAAGAAGCCAAAACATCGCCGCGAGGCGCTCCTTATTAGCATCATCTATACAAATTAGCGTCACTTCCTCCCAGTTGGCTTTTGGCTGACGGTAATTTCAGCTGCCTTAGCCATATGTGAAATTAACCGTTTAGTCGGTTTTCGGTCTGCCAACATCTTCAAGTGTGCTGGTATGTCATAAATTGTTGGTGATTAACGGAATATGTCATGAAATGGATTTCTTGGGAATATATTGTGTATTGAGAGAATCCAAACATCCAATCATGTCGACTTTGGAATACTCAACGCCTGCGGTACGCTATGGCGCTGGTCAACAATCGCATATCACAAATAGCGGAAATTGACCACCAATATAATGCCGATAGAGCATGATTGAATAGTTATGAGGACTCAGAATTTCACTCCACTTCCCTGCAAACACTGTGAAAACGCTGCATGGAACTGTCAGTTCCTGACACAAGCATGAAACAGTATTACGATTCCACACTTTGCCATTTATAGAAAACATCAAAGGTCTATTGTAAACCGGAGCTAATCCGGTAGCTCTAAGAGGGGCTATTCCAATATCATTTGTCAGTTGACAAACTGTTCATTAAAACGTTTTCTGTTAAATTTGATCAAACACGATCTTACCTTACGTGTTCAGTAAGGAGTATTGTCCTACATATAGCCTATATGTCCCTTCCACGTTAACTCTTCAGCTTTCTGTTGTTTTACCTTCCTACACAATGAAGACACTTGACACGACACTAGCAGTGCCATGCCCTAAAATTGCAGGTATACGGTTCTGTTCTTGCTCCGAAGAAAAACTCCGTTTCCAAGTCCTTTTGGTTCCTGTTTTATTTGTGGGTTTTAGTTGACACACACTGTTTCGCTAGCGAAAAAAAACCCCCAACCGCGCTCTTATTGAATGGAATGCTCCCTTTCGTGTTGTCCCATAATCCGCTGCATGTTCCATTGATTTGAATTATGCCAAACTTCAGACTGAGCAGCTTGTGTAAATTTGATTCCAGTGATGTGATTCCCTTCTACCGACGCATCGTGGTGACAGTCAAGAATAATAAATAGTTGGGTGCTACCTACATAAGGCTCGATTTACGTAGCAGACCACTCTCCACACTTAAGAGCTTCGGTCTCAGGCAGCAACTCAGCGATGATGAATCCAGCTGTTGACATGAAAACTTAAGGCCCCCCCTCTGCACAAAGTCCTTTCTTTTCAATTGCCGTAAGTTGCAATTGCTCAGCACCTGCAGCTTCAGTATCCACCAATCTGGTCTTAAGCGAGAGTATTGTACGTTCAGTTCAGTCTTTTCGACCTCGCTCCCTCCCAATAGCTTCAAATCACTGGTCTCAATACTAGAGGATGATAATAACACAGCTCAGTGTCGGGACAAAAAATCCGAAAGCGGGAGGTCTGATCGAAGTCTCTCAATTTACCCATTCTGATGCAAAGTCTCACCAATTCCTCTTGGCTTCATTCAATTCCTTATAGATGGGAGTATTCTCATACATTAGCGTCTCTGACCATTTCACACACTTTCATAACTCTGCATAGAGAGTCGTTTGTTTTAAGTCTCGTTCACTTGCAATTGGAATGAGGTAATTCGTCCGCCAGTTACGATCAAAAAACCCTTCAGGAGGCACGGAGAAGGTTCCATCAAAGCGATCACTGGATCTCACGGTTCACCATCGAGATTCTGCTGCTGTAACCTGACTTGGTCAAACTCTTTTGATTGGTTCTGAACTGTGGACATACAGTTCGGTGTTTTCAAGTTGTACGATTCTAAGTTTGCCCATGTTGAGTGTCGATGCTGTAAAATGCAGAAAGTTAGGGGTCCTACAGTTCGAATATATAATGTGACAACAAAGTCGTCGTTTGACTCCCACCCAAGGATTCTTGCAATCTTAAAACTTCGCTCTCCAGAGTCGACATTTGCTCTTGATGAGAAGAATTCAGTTCTAGTACAATGGTGCTGATTTCCGTTCTCTACAAGCAAAAAAAACCGAGTTTGGGCTCTGCATCATTATGGAAGATCAACTTTCACTGCTTACAACTTCCTCCTTTTGAATCTTGATGATCTCATGTCTCTCCTTACTGATAGTACAGGTACTGATATCGATTCGTTATCTACATTTAGAGATTAACTTTCAAGTCAAGAGCAAAACAGGACACTCCTAGCTGAGTAATGGCATCATACCTCTGCGACAGATATGTCTTTCCTCATGTGTATACCTTCCACGCCTTTACCCATCTTTAGTCTCATTACTGTTAATAGTAAAGAGTGAGTTGGATTCATTGTGAAGATGTGAGCCTTTACCATTTCGACGTGAACAACATACCTTGGTTGACGCAAAAGCAATTGTATCTATATATCACACAGAGTTGGAGACTCGAAAGAAAGCAGATTTCAAGTGGGAAACATGAACTCTCTCCTGTCGTCCAAAACATGACCACTTGTTCCCTTAGCGTCACTGTTTCATCAACAGCATATTAAAGTTGGATGGCAGAGGCAGTAAGATGCGAGTCCACACGTAGCGACATGGCGTTTTAGGCCGCGTAGCTAGAGCAGATTGATTTGGTGAGAGGGGAATCACTTTTGAATAACAAATGGTCGCGATTGCAAATACCAGTTCCAAAAGGCGCATTTCCATCATCCAATTAAAAGATTACGATTGAATATCAGCTTACACTCAACGTGGTGAGATAAAATGGGCTGGAGAAGACGAGAGATGCCACAAGCGACCGACACCTTGATCGACAATTGATTTTAAGTGTTCTTCACGAATCCAGTTATCAAAAGTCTATCAAAGCGCAGATGCTCTTATAATCTCTCTAGAGAAGGTATGGGTGAAGTCTCCATAACTTGATATGTGATTTAACTTTCAACTGTCCAACCCGACAATTACAAAAACGCAAGAAAACACACCAACATACAATTCGCAACCATTAACGATGAGAACCAGAGTGTCATACCTCATAGTGTTGCTCATAACATTCATCCTGGTGATAGCATGCTCGGCCGAGAACAAAAAAGCAAGGGACGACGTTTTTGAGTTCCAGCCGCATGAGATTGAAGCCATCATAGCTGGATTGAAAGACAAAATCTTTCCACCTGAAGTAGTGGTTCCAGAGCCAGAAACTGTTGAGACCGTGTCGGCATCAGTGAGAATTGTTTGGTGCTTTGATCTAGTGAACGTCCAGTTGGACATTGGACGAATGAGACATGACGCTAATGTATATGTCTTATAGGAGCCTGCTGGAGATGAATATACTACAGCTCAGACCGAAGGCTCTCATAGCGAACTGTGAAACCCGACATTAGATATTAGCATCTGTTTGATTTGAGGCCAACCACTAGCATGTAATGTAATTTAGCACCACAAGTAGTATTGCTTCTCGTATCTATTGGAAGAACATACATTCGTTAAAGAACGGGGCTGCACTCGTCTGGTTTGAATTCTAGGGCTGGACAACCACTTTGGGTGTGTTTTGCTTCTGTTTTGGTGGTTGCATTGGCAATTTGAAGAAGGGAAGAAGGGGACAAGTTGAGTTGTTGGAATTCGGGACAGTCAGACAGTCATTGATCGTGATGAAGAACGATGATTGAAACGTAGGTGTTTGGTGACAGTCCGAGAAAGTCAGTTCTTTCGTACTAAAGTGTCGCTATCTTTCATCGTGATCATTGATTGGTACCGCATAGAGGATTAAGACGCGAAATACGCGAAATGCGTGGTTTCCATCCTTGTCCGAATGCAGCCGCTCAACTGGCATTGTCATGCTTTTGGCCTACCACGTGGATAAACATCACAAATCAACAAAGGTTGTTGTGAACAAGCGAGAGAGAGACATATAAGAACAAAAAGTCGTCCACGAGCAGGCTATTAAGCACAGGATCACATACCAGCAGTCTTTTCGAGTGTTTGTCTTACTATTCTTTCAAAAAGAGTGAGTCCCCATTTCAAACTCGGAATCTGATGAAATTATTGACGATTGAACCGTGTTATGATAGGAATAAGTAGACAATTCTCACTCACGGATACTAAGGAATCAGTCTATATATCTTCCACTTCTACCTTCTCTACCACTCATTGATATCCAACAACATTCTACCTCACATTGAAAGCATGGCCTCTTGTTAAATAGTATCCTCGCTAGCCCATCATGATAGTTTCCTGTAAATCTCATATAACCAGAACAGAGCTAGAGACCTTCTCTCGCCCACCGCCATCCGCATCAGTCACCGCACCGTCACGAGTGGCTGCATCCATTACCACATAACCATCAGTCGCGTCTTGGTATCGCAGACCAAACATTTAATCATCATCCTACTCATCTCCATCACATAAAGCTTCCAACCACGGCAGATCCTTCATCCAACGATTACATGGCTAGTAACAACCAGCTCAATAGGTGGGGGAGAAACATTGCTGCTCCTGAATTCATCCCTTCGCGGGCTCCCATCGCCATACCCGATAAACAAGTATCACGAAGCAGCGCTTCGCCTCAACCACCAGCACGAAATATCGTTGCTAATCAATCATCATCTTCATCTACGTCATCACGACCTCGTAAACATCAAAGCTCTCAACGCAAAGAAGCAGACAAGGAAGATAAGCGAAAGTCAGTTACTTCGCAAGTTCCTTCTGATTCAATGGCTTTTGATGTGAGTTTGAATCGGGGTTGAGAAATTGCTTGTCATACAAACGTTAATGGCTTTTTTTGGTGTGCAGTTTCCAAATGTTAACAAAAGGGGACAGGTCTCATTGAACCATTTGTTGAACTTTACGTTTCCTGAACGTCAAAGGGTCACATCCTCCACTGTATCGCCTCGTCGCAAACGCTCATCTGGAGTTACGGTTTACAACAAGGAACGATTTGTCAATGCCAAGTAAGTTTTGGCATAGACTTAAATCATCCACATCGTTTGACTGATAGCTTTTAATTAGCTTCCGATTTGTCATGCGTGACTCGGGTGATTATACAGTCAACTTGTTTGATCCAGACATTTTGGTCGAGTGGAAGGATGTAGTGCAAGTGGTACGGCGCAACTTCTATTAACAAATTATCAGCTAAATGTCCCAATCATGTCCATGCCCTGACACTCCAATACGCAATAGGTTATTCCCACACCTCATTCTCCAACTTGTCCTATATGTCTGTCGCCTCCGGCACCTGCCAAAGTCACACGTTGTGGGCATGTCTTTTGTCACGCTTGTGTCTTGCACTATCTCGCTCTAGGTGATCGAAAATGGCGTAAATGTCCCATATGCTACGATGCCATCTACTCGAGAGACTTGAGAAGTGTCCGCTTTGACGAAGTATCCGAAGTCAAGGCTGGAAGTATCAGTGAAGGCTTTGGTTTGCGTGTAGTCTTGATGAAACGTATGGCAAACTCTACCGTGGCCCTGCCTCGTGTACAATATAAAGTATGGTTGGATGAAGGCGACGCGTCATCTCCTCCTAATGTATATGATGCACCAAGGGCTGCCAAGCTCGTTGCTTCACCAGCTGGGTTTGAACGTAAATTGCTGGAAGGTGAACGAGATGAATTGATGGCCCTTTCTTTGGCAGCTCAAGATACCGAAGAGGGTATATATATTGATCTGGCCCGTACAGAAGTAGATGCTGCCTTGGCAGATTTAGAAGCAGTTTCCAATGCACCAGATAGACGTGGTCGTGGCTCCAAGAAAGGCAAAGGCAGCACAGTCTCGCCGTCTAGAGGTGGTGGATCCGATGCTGTTAATAATAACAATAGTAGAAGTGAGCAACCACTAAGCAGCAATGGTGAAGAATCGAGCGTAACTCCATCCTTTGTGTTGAGTGCCATGTCCGAATATTATAATACAGCACCCATACCTATTCCAATCAACGCCACTGAAGGAGTAGTAGGAGCAACAGGATCGATTTCTCCCGAAGCACCTAGTGTACAAACTCCAACACCACCAACACCTGGCTCATCTCGAGATCCATTGCCAGCCCAGCCACCGCGAGATAATGCATACTACTTTTATCAATCAGCTGATGGTGCTCATGTATATTTACATCCGTTGGATATCAAAATCTTGTTACGTGAACACGGTGAATACTCAAACTTCCCGGAATATCTTGAAGTCGGTGTTTTATCAGTACGTGAAAGTACCGTAGACGATGACTTACGTAAACGATGTAAATACCTGGCCCATCTGCCATTATCATGTGATGTCACATTTTGTGAAGTGGATCTCGCTAAAGCTGTATCACAACTCGTATTGAATCAATTTGCTAAAGAATTGTCGGAACGTAATCGTAGATTAAATGCCATCAAACGAGCCGAATTGGCAACCGATAGTAATAGTCGACGCCAACACCAACATCATCGTTCTTCACCACCAGAAGATTCAGCATTGATGCCCGCTCTGCGACGTGTCTCTCCAAGTGACTTGGAGCGATACATACCTACAGGTGACGAATGGGGATTACCACCTGGTCGTGAATTAGGTGATGAAGATCTCAACACTGGACGTGCCGAGTCTCCATCTCCGACCTTCTCTAATAGCAATAATATTAGCACCACACCACCATTTGAAGGTGTATCATTTGCACGTATGGCCACAACGAATTCTACTGCTACATGGGTACGAAAGCCTCCTGCTTCCAACCCCAATAATCAACCACAGAAATATAGTAACAATAGTACAGATGATGAAGACTACTTTGCTGAATCTTGGACCTTGGATTTAGAATCTGCTGTACTGGATGGCAAGTCTGGTGGAAGTAATAGTAGTATGAATGGAGGAGGAAGTGGAAATGGTAACGGAGGTGGTGGACAGAAGAATAAGAAGAAGAAATCGAAGGGTGTGTTGCTAGTATCAAATGGAGGAGCGAGAGGACGATGAAAAATCATTATTTTGTTCGTGGTTATTTGCTCGGTTTTAACCTAAATATATAAGTGTCCAGAAACCTTCAAACGAAAACCCTGCTCTCTACCTTGTAGGTTACGCGTTCTGAGCTCTTCGCGTTCTCAAAACAGCAAATCTTGTCAACAACCAAAACAAGATGGCAGACAACCATCCCAGTCCAACAGGCTCTCAAGCATACGATACTATCCTTCGTTGGATCGGCTTGCAAGCTGTTCCCTCTCGTAAAAAGCCAGAGACGGCCGAAGATGCACCTCAAGCATCAAGCTCAAATCAGCAAACTGGTAAGTTTGTCTTTCACCACACACTTAGTTTTGACTTATGGTCTGATTTACATATTGAATTGCCTGATGTACACACAATTGAATCCAATCCGTCTCATTGCCCGACCATCCAAACATCTAACATCAACATTTTCTTAAAAACCAGCACCTAAACCAAGCAATGCCATCTCACCAGGCGAAAACCCTTGGTATCCCTTACCAGGCCCCCCAACCACCGACGAAGAAAAAGACATTCTAAAACAAGCCATACAGCAAGAGCTAGACCAACTACAGGCTGTAGCTCGTGAACGAGACCAGAAATCCAAAGATATGGAAACGTATGCTGCATCCAATTGTGCTGATCTACGATGGATGTATCAGAATTGTTTGTCGAATGGGACGCTTATGGAACGGTCGTCGTTTTGTCAGGTGCAGAAGAATGCGTGGAGGGAGTGTCTCTCTGTACAGAAGGTAAAGTGTTGGACTCGAGCAGAGATCTGTTTGGTTTAGTTTTTAACGTCGATTTTTGATGATAGAAATATATGGCACAGTTAGGGTATTATTCGATACCTGCTACCAAGGAGTACGCTGATGCGCGACAAGTTATTGCTGATAAAGCTGATGATTTGTATTTGAAGGCTGCTAAGGCTAGAAAGGAAGAGGAGGCTGCTGCCGCGGCTTTAGCAGATGCTGCTAAATAGTGCTTGAACGAGGAACACACTTGTGTGCTCTTCTCATACCCTCATTTGAAAAACAGCAAATACTGTATATATATCCATGCTCATAAACTATCTTCACATGGCAGAGACGTTTTTGATCATGAAGCGTAGCTCTCTATGGCCTTGTGGGTCCATCTGGTTATTACATGGAATTGAGAAAGCCCACATATATGAGGTTGCATCGTTGCATCTCTTTGCAAATGTTCCGACGTCCTAGAGGTCTGATATGCGAAGACACAGCCTCGGCTGCTACGAATGTTATCGGATTCATAGCCTCTCAGATAGATTACATAGCTAAATGCGAATATTCGCATCGGAAGGCGCAAACGCAGCCAAATTAAATACTTTCGATGTGTTACAGAGTCAATGTAGACTATCAGCGATATATCAACACGTGATTCAACTCTATTCTACAGTGCACTAATTGCTTCCCAAGGTCTCTTCATCCTCACAACCTTGACGTTTACTCATAATTTTGACAACATAGTCGAGCAAAAACCTCAGGATGTAGGAGGAGAAGAGGACTCCTGGTGGTCCATGTGCTATGGTACGTAATCTATTTGGGGCCAGAGCCTCCAGATCTAGAGCAATTGTTGTTTGAAGAAAATTTCAGTTGCCGTATCACATTACACGTTATTGGGGTCTTCGCCATATCTGTTTGAGACGAGAAACAGTCGGCAGTCAATTTAATTACCATCTGGCATTGCTTTTTGGACCCCAATAGAATACGTAAACCTGCCGTCCGACTAGCTAAAAATTCTGTAGTATCTGGAATGTTACTGCAAGAATGAACAAGGTCTTTTTTGCAATGCCATATGTCTCAGCTGTAAATTGTTCGAGATTCTTGCTACTTGCTGCTTGCAATCATCGTCGGCGTTGATTCTTATCAATTCAGCTCACTGGCCATTGATAATCAGTAGTCTGTGATTTTGAAGGGATTTCAGGAACCTGTTGAATTATCTGAGGCTTGTCAAGACGTAATTCAATAGCGATAACGACATGTCCTTCACTGTAATAAGACCATCATTGTTTTGAAAATGGAGTCTTCAACCTCCTCATGTTTGCTTTCGAGACGAAGAAAACTCTGTCTTTTTGACGCAATGTTGGAAAGCGACAGAGGAAAGCCATACGAAGTGATTGTAGGAACATCACATGTAAGCAGCATGAGATGGCAGGGTTTAAAAGGCTTGAAAGATAGGCGAGAGTCTTGCAACACATCGTTCTAAATATTCCACGAGGGCCTTTTAAGCAATAACTGTTGTGAATAAAAGTCCATTTGCTTTCTAGTTGATCATCCACCCCATATGTAGTGATTCCAGGCGATATGAAACTCAACGAAAAAGCAGGACGTGACCGGGCTCTGACGTATTCACGTGGGCTTTTCCATGCGATACCCCAATAGTCAACATTATTGCTATACGAATGATGTGCGTAAGCTTGGATTCAAAATAGGGCGTTTAGCTCGATTTCAATTTTACCTCAGAGCAGACCAACCTTACTGACAGCCAACGGGGTTAGACAGCGTTAACGACAATAACTTGGCACCCAACCAGCTTTCCAAAAAACCACTTGAATACCATGATTATAAACTAAACTCAGCAATTAATATTATTTTCAAACCAGGGCAAAAGATTCTACAAAATTTAAAATATAACACATCCAGGACAGATTTTACGGCCATCAACTTGATCTGTAGTCGTCGTTGTTGGGCTGTCAGCAATTTTACTTGGAATAGCAGCTGTGGTAGCGGTAGTAGTACCGGTACTGGCAGTCCCATTCGGACTAGCAGCTACCGACGGCCTGCGTCTAACCACAATCGTATACTCAACCACACTGTCATCTAAATCTACCGTCCAGTACAATCGTTGCTTTAGCAAATCCAATTCGTATGTTCCAGTAGACACCAGCACTTCCGTATCGTATTCAGTCGGGTAGTGACGGCGGGGGATGTATATCTCACAGATGTTACTCGTTGGTGCTTGTGTGGCTTTGGCGAATGTGTAAGACATGGTTTGAGTGGGCATGTCAAAGGCGAATTTACTTGGTATTCCTGGTGTTGCTATAGCGTATGGACGGACTATGGCTTGGAGGGCACGACCACCTTCGTCGAGTTTGTTGTCGTCGGCTACGAGTTTGGCTCGGGTGGTGTCTATTACGACTTCTTCGATTATTGTTGAGCTGGTTGATTGCGTGCCGTTTGCTGTGACTTTTACGTTCGCGAGTGGTGAGACTGGTTTTTGTGTTGTCTAGAAAAGTGAAGACATGTTAGATGGAGGCTAAGGAATAAACCATGCAACAAAAAAACCTTGACAGCACGTACGGATAGACTAAACAATGACAAATCCTCCCCATTCCAATTATCCCCCCACTTGTGACAATTATCCGCTGTATAGTTCCACATTGTAAAATTCATCATCGTGCTCTCCAACGCATACATATTAGAATCCATAGCAGCAATCTGATTAGAGTAATCTCCACTCGTGTAGGCAGCTTTATCATCTAAATCAAACGGTATTCCAATTTCTCCCATCACAGTTGGCACATTACCCATTGCCTTTTCACCATATCTACGAATCATTTCCAGCTGAGATTTAAAACATGTCTTGATACCAGCTTCTCCAAATCGTATTCCGAGGATGGGGTTGTTTATCAATCCATATTTTAGAGATACGACATCGATAGTGTACATGCGGTTGAAGGCCTTGTTGAAGAGTGTTATACCATCATACCAGTGTGGTGCATATGCTATTCGGGTTGTTGGGTCTCCATCGTGAGCGACGAGTGTAGGCGGGACGGTCATTACAGGAGGTTCGACTAGTATTACAGCGTTGCTATGGATTTTACGGATTCCTGCTGTATAAGCACGTACAAATGGCTTAAAACAATCCTGATAGAAATCCACTAGTGCTCCGGTCTTGGGGTTCATGGTAAAATATGCGGGCCTAAGAAGGGTCCTAGTTTTTATATCCCATACACCTTCCCGAGCCCATATACACGATGCAGACTCCTTCCATGCTCTTGTCCCGTCCTGATTAATGAGTTTCGAACCTGTGGATACAAAACCTCGCCAGCTCATACCAAACGACTGTACGGTTTGCGGAATCCCTTCTCCAAGACACATTGCTTGAAACGGCGTCGGCACTGGCCCATTTTTTAACAGTACATCGTCTGGTATCACATCTAGATTCTTGTTTCCAATCCATCCATGATGTGGCTCGTTGAACGTATCATACCCAATCACACATACATCTTCCAATCCACCTGCATCATGTATTCGCTGCGCCAATTGCATTACGGAATCTATATAGTGCGATTGTAGGTAGTCCTGTATGTTTACAGCTGTTGTCGAGTCCTTTTCAGTTACAGTGAATGAGGGGGCGAATATACGACCACCAAAGAATAGCGTAAACATGGTGGCAGCTGCTAGCTTATCGTAATTGGATGGCCACATCATGCGTGGGAAGTTTGAGGGGTCTGGATATGTGTTGTGGACTATGGCTGCACCTGTTGCTGGGAAATTGGATGGTTCGAAACCGGCGAGACGTAATGTCCAGCCTGGTGCTCCTGAGCCACCAGAGAATCGTGACCACTATTGAATACAGAGTTTGGTTAGTTCAGTAGATGGGTTGAAATGAGGTTTAGGCTTGACAATCTACTGCAGCAAAAACACGAGAAACTGATTGACATATCGTGACCAATAGTTCAACACATACCACATCCTGATGCGGATCTATAAACACATAAAACCCATACTCTCTGCACTTTTTTAGAACAGCAATCACGTAATCCAGGTATTCAACATCATATATCCCGCTAATAGAAACCAAACTTTTGTCAACCACCCAAAAACCACAACCACAAGAGTGACTACAACGGCAACACATAGCAAATACTTACGGTCCAGCATGCTCAATAGCCTCCCACGTCACACAATACCTCAAGAAATTATACCCCCAATGCCTCAACCTCGACAGATGCTCATCAGCCTGATCAAGCGGGAAGGGCCTTCCGACAAAAGTTATATTGACATCATCAAAGAATCCAGCTGGTTCATGCGATGGCTTGCCAATGGGTAGTTTACACGAGCCGGATAGGTTGACTCCTCGAAGTTGCAGGATGCGGTTTTTGGAGTCTTTGAAGAAGGGGGTGGAGGTGTCGAGTGCGTCGGATGCAGGGACTGACATTTGGGTAGTAGGCTTGGTGGTTGTATCAGGCTGTAATCATCGTAGAACGGGAGTGTGAGTGTGAAAAAACCATACTTGAACCAAAAAGCGGCGGAACAGGGATTTGAAAATGACATTTCGGCAAGGAGAGGAGAATCATGATGTGGAGGGGCACGTTACCTGAATCTTACTACTAGGCATGTCTTTCACTCGACACGTAGCTCTTGTAAAGCGTGTTGAAAGAAGTGCAAGTTTCATTGTTTTATGATTGGCTGAGCAGCGTGGTTCTGACTGAGTTACCGAATGCCCTGAAGTTCAGCTGGCCGCTCTGGTTATTTACGCGATTTCTTATCTACAGACTCTATTTATTTATCTTGTTATTTGTTATGTTGTCCCATTGTCCATATCAAATCAAACAATGTCTACAACTAGGTTCTTCTCCCAAACTTGGTGATTTCGCGAAGACGTTTCAAACACGTCCTAAATCAAAGAAAACCATTATCATCAGCGATTCAACAACACTTTTTTCGCGGTCCTTCATCAATAAAACTTGTTCATCATCTCATTGCCACACAACATTTACCTGGCAGACGTCCGATCCTCATCATCCACAAAACAACCATCCAAATGTCTCAACGACTTGCGTAGGCTGTAAATCAGCGTACTACGATACAAGAGACGGCGCACATACTCTGTGTCTGACATGGTAGATACAAAGATAATGTCGCGTTCACGTTCTTGTGCTTCTTGCGACGACATACTGCTTCGTCGATCCACATGACTGAAACGAGTAGAGTCTTGTGTCGTGTAGAATGTGGCAGTCATTGGATTGTCCCTTTTGTGCAAAAGATGGTGTTGAGGGATGATGATAACAAAAAACGGTGCAACACCGCACTGTACCTCAGATCAATGAGCTGCAACCTCTTCAACCCCTTCAAAATCCGGACAGTCTCACTAGTCCCTGTTATACGATTGCCACGTAATAGAACTGTTTCAAGGCCATTAATCCATTGTAGACCATCAACGTTCGTCAGCTCATTATCAGACAAATCAAGCGTCTTGAGATTCACGGCTGATCGTAATGCTGAACATGAGGTGATGCCGTTTCCATGTGCTCTCAATGTTTGGAGACTCAGCATGTTCGTCAGATCTAGTGGTGAGGGATGAATCGATACGATTCGATTTGAGGCGGTTTTTTTCCATCTTTTCTCATACCTGGAATTTTCTCAAGATTGTTGCGACTCAAATCCAACACTTCTAATGCAGCACAAGAAATGAATTTCGTAGTATGAGGTATCCTACAATCGTGATTTCGGGTGTTATTGCTCATTGTATGAGGCAAAAAAAAAACACATGGAACCTTGGCTTAATACCTATTGTCGGCGGCTCGAAGTATACGCAACGTATCAGGCAAATCAATCAATTCAGTAACATCGTTTGATGTCCTAATCAAAAATCAAAACCAGTCAACTCCCAACCAATCCAGCAATGAGCAACAGCCACACATACACATCCAATTCTTCCAAGTTTGGCATAAGCACGCCCAATCCTTTCGTACTAGTCACTTGTTGATACCTCAGATCAAGTCGCTGCAAAGACATCCAATCCGATTGGCGAACTCGTTCAGTCATATTCATGAGCAACGGAAGGATTTCTGCACGATTAGTAGATGTGTCACTGACTCGTATTCGTGATAGTGTCCTGTGGGGTTGACTGGATGCTGAAGGCATGGAAGGATATCGTGGTGGCATCTCGTCGTATTCGAAGGGTATGATGAGAGAATTCTCTAAAAATGATATAAATTTGGGCATAACTGCTGATTTTGCGCTACTTTCTGGCTCGACTAGACACTCACCTAGATTAGCCAGTGAAGCTATAGCCTCTCCAAATCCATCTAAATTACCCCTAGGCACAATATATTCACCATTCGAGTATTCTATAGCTGCATCAGAGCCTCGAGAATTCATAGATGAGCTCTGCCAATGCCTCGACGATCGATCAGCCCAACCTTGCGCTTCATACAGGGCATCCACTCTATTCGTAAGAGATTCCATTCTACTACTTGATTGATCGGGTGACATGTCCTGTTCTTCATGATTCAAAAACGAGTCATATCCCGTTATTGCGCGATCCCCTTCATTAGCACCCATGTCTTCCTCTTCTTGTGCTTTGGACATTTCTTCATGCAAGAGCATTTCAGCCAAGAAGGGAGATGTGGTAGCATCCATAGTTTCAATAGACGCCGAGACTCCTGCATCACGTAGTTGATCATCACGACTCGTATCTGGGCCAACTGCGATACTTGCTACCGGCTTCTTGTCAGCAAAAGATTCTTCGTCAATCGAGGCGTTAGAATCAAGCTGTTTGTTCTTTTCACCGCTCGCTTTATCATTTGAAGACTCGGAGTCAGATATCTCGAATGGAGAAGCACGTCCACCTTCCCATTGTTTGGTTTGTTCATTAAAGACCATGCCAGAGGTCGTTCCGATTTTGGACATTAAGGCAGAGAGCGCTAAAAATGCGCTAGAAGTCAGTCCGCAGGTGTGTCAAAGACCGCCATGCAGAAAGCTGCAGGAAAAAACGCAATACTCACCCTTGCCATTCAAGTTTCTGATGAGTCTTATGGTACCCTTCTTGGTAGGCGACTCTGATTGCGATGCCGATGACCCAGCGACCGTAGACGTATCAACCATCAACTCTTCATTCTGAGGCTGCGGCTGGTCATCTACAATATCGTCCTCATTTTGCTCGTTAGTTTCATACAAGATTTCTCTACCGGCTTGATCAGCAGCGAAATCCTCTAAATCATCAATGTCAGCTGGATATAGATTTGACGACGTGGAAGTGATTCGTTTCTGTCCGGGCTTTATGCGAATGGAATCAAAGTTTTCATGTACTGTGACGGGTTTTTGTTGTTGTTGAGTGGGCGATACGGGTGCATCCATAGGGACAGCTTGAGCGGTGAATCCCGATATCAGATCGTCCAGGTGTCGTCGATCAACGGTGTTATAGTTTTGTTGGAAGAGGTCGAGTGCAATCGGTTGCTGTGGAGGTGTTTTACTTTGCGGAGGAGCTTTACTTGTTATTCCTTTCGGTCTCGGAGTTGAGTCCCTACAGTGAATATACGGTGTTCAATTGAATGGCACACAAACTTTGCTATTTCAATATCTACATACTCGTCAACAACAGCCGCCGGTCTAACAGATTTGTTTGAAATCCGCTTCCGTCGCGATGGCGATGATGTCTTGCGACCTTTGACACTATTATGCTTTGACTTTCCCTTCTCTTCCGCGGGCTTCCTGGCACTATTCTGCTGTGTCAACATTACCCCATACTCGTCGTTCAACAAATCATCATCGTCCTGGTCAGCAGTAAACCGCGAATGATGAGACATGGGCTCTCTACTTGCAGCAACAGCAATTTCGTCAATGTTTAAAGGACGAAATAGATCTTCGAGCGGAAGAGCAGGGACGGCAAACATATCGACAAGCGAGGTTGGGAGGAAGCCCGATGATGACTTTGCAGAGGACCGGTACTGCATTGTGCCAAAGTTTTCGGACGGATTTGAGTTTATAGAGTCCATTTTAGATATTAGTAAGGTATGAACGGTTTTCTATATTAGAGTAAGGTGTCAATTGTACAATTCGCAAGTCGATGAATTGCAGTTACAACTGTTTCAAGTCTTCGTTCCATACAATATTTCTACAGTTCTAAGGACTAAACAATGAGCTATAAGGACCAGGAATACGTACCTTAATGCCAAGCAGCTTTCTCGTAACCACAACAAGTCTCTCTTCACCCAAATCGATTAAGTATTTAATGTTGTCTAGTCCATTCAGCAGTGAAATGTCAGTATTAGCTTCAAAGCACGTAAAACCTGATAGTTTACGCGTAAATCACGTAATATCGTCATAATAATATCATCAGGCATAAGTTCGCCCCCAAAATGTCCGGCAGAGTTCATCATCAAAACATACAGGCTGATTATGGTGATGTTGTAGTTTTAGCAAGAGGAAGGCATGACGACTCAGCGTACATTTGAGAGGCACGAGGAGAAGCGATGGCCGGATACTCTTCAATGGATTTGCTGGGCAAAGAAACGTGATTTGTTTGCTGGTGCATCAACTGCTGGCGACGTGTTTATATCCAGAATGTCTTGGAAGCGAGTATGGAATTTAAAGAATTCGAAATTTGATCAGGCTCAAATAACTGCTCTCGCTTGGAAACCTGATGGTATGTCTGAAAGTGCTCCAACATTCGATGTGGTTTATTTTGATTGTAAGCTGACGCAGATCAATCATTTAGCGACAATGTTGGCTATTGGAACATCGCTTGGAAAGGTCTATATTCACGATGTGGAAACGTCAGAGCTCGTACACGTCATTCAACAATCGGCACCTGCATCGAGTTTTACATCGCCACGAATCACCACGCTGTACTGGGTAGATGATGTCAAGATCAACCAGAAAACTCAAGTAAAATGCTGTTTAGAGACATGTCATATTCATATGCTAGTTGCTTACAATCACGTTCTGTATTTGAAGGACGTGTGGCAAGACTCGTCTCGACCATATACAGACTACCTTCCCAGCTTGTCTGCTCTTCCACGTCCTGGAGCTATGGTCCCGCAGATTGGACGAGATGAGCTGAAGGCAGAATCAATGCATGTGTTGGTGGTGGGTGATGATCAAGGCAGATTTTCACTCAAGTATGATTCCACACAATCACGGGGTTTTTTGCGTGTCTCATGTGCCTTTGTCTCCGCCGTTTAGTGTGGATGGAGCTTTTCATCTTGGAACAACTTCGCTCTTGTCTTTTCAAAAACTGCATCTAAAGGTACGATGCCAAACTAAACCCACCACAAAAAAACACAAGCCCAATTCCTTCTGAACGTAGGACACATGCATCATCGGCGCATCTCTAACGCCAGACTTGACGATCCTCTCATTGGCTATAACAGCCCACTCAGCGTCACTATCAGATGGACCTGGATCACCACTAGCAACCCCAACTCGATCATCTAAGAAGGCACCCACATCATCCAAAGAACCCTCTCACGACTTTTATATTGCTACAATCGACACGAATCTACTTCACTTCCGTAAAAATGAAGTTTGTGCATTGGCATTTAGGTCCACACAAGCCAATGTCTTGTTGAATTACTTGGACGATGCAGTCAAACTATTGGATGCTGAATATGATAATGTGAATAGTTTGAGAGAACAGCATATCAGGACGTTCGTTAGAATATTATCTGATTATGGCAGTACGTCCTTAGTCGGCGTCGATTCGCTCATTTTCTGTCGTTCATCGCCATGGCCAATTTCTTTTAGCTGGATCCACACCATATGATGAAATGATGACCATGTTGTGGGTAGGCCATAGATCTGGAGCTATCCGTCAATACTTACAACATGATTTGGGAGAGCGAGTAAGTCAGCTGTAGGCCGAAACGTACATGGGTTTTCTGTGCTTCTTATCCCACTTTCTTTGACAGGTCTTGACCAAATGGGAAAACACTGTCGAAACAGCATATTTGGCTATGAAGAAGCTCATAATCATTAATCTTCGACCTGGTGCACAACGATTGCTACTGTTCCTCACCGAGTTATATGGTCTAAGTCGGTTGTGAGTCATTATTCCATAACTATCTGCTTCATGGTCGAGTCATTGTTGATAGTATCTTCCCAGAACAATTATTGACTGAAGCCTCATTAGTGAAGAGCAACATCAACAAATTGGATTGAACATGTCTCAAGTCCAGTTTTGCTTGAAACGTGCTGGGCATTTGATGGCAGCTCTAGATCGACTTATGACAGTGCTGCAAGACGACATGAAGAACTTTACACAGTTTGGAGGATGGTTGAGGAATGGAAAGTGTTGGATTTGCGTTCTTTGAGAACATAATCTCTTTTTTGCGCTAACATCAATTTATAAATTCACAGCTGTGGTGCAGCCCGCCGAATCACAAGAAGAATCAGCACAATGGGATACTAAACGTATCGCCAAATACCTAAGCACATCCTTCCAACATGATATATTGGGTAGTTTCTTTACCTCTCCAACATCTCCAGACGTCACAATTACCGATGCAACTGCCACCACTACAAACGAATCAGCTGGTTTCTTTTATGATTTAGAGTCTGAGACAGCTAAAGCTTCTTTGATCACCATCATGTCTGAATTGAGATCCGTGTGTAATACTATATTTGATGTGCCGGCTGCTTTTATGGGTTCTAATGTTAGGTTGGCTGGATTTGCTAAAGTGATTACAGATATGGATGCTACTCAGAAGATTCAGTTGTCTATGAGGCTTGTGAATGGACCGGTAAGCCTCTATTCATAGTTTGTGTCACCGTTTTTGTTTGTTGGACTGATATTAGCCTCTATCTTAGAATGGAATGGTTCAGTATCTCGCGTTTCAAGATCCTACATTTAGAGATAAATCACAAAGTATCCAATCAATTTTTCGGCATTTTAAATCTCAACCGCTCACGTTGTTTTATATCAGTATGGATTGTACGATTCAATGCCCAACTACGCAAACCACCAAAAGGTTTTGTATCTGGATATGAATCCCCTAGTAGTGTTAAATGGTCTGGCGAAGCTGTTCGACTTCTCTTGAGTGACAGCCAAAACTCGACCCCATGTGAAGTGCAGGACTTGCAATTGTATGATGACGACGGACTGGTCATTTTCAGCAAGACAGATGGTGAGAACATGCTCAGTCGCCCAATTACTCAATATTACGACAAATACACCATTCATTTACAACCATTTTTTTGCAAACAGGCCAACAACGCCTATACATGTTCCCATCCTACACTGATCTACCATATCGACCAGTATCTGCATCCGGCCTCGTATCTCACTCTCCATCAATCCTGACGAGCTCTGGTATTCCACCGATACCTATAAATTTGGAATCTCCATACTCTATAGACAGGTTTGATGTCGTATCATTGTCCGTGCACAAGGATTTTGCAAGCTTGCTGCATTCAGATAAGGTTCGGATTCGCACATTGGCTGTAACGGATCAGCAGCAAACCGAAAATGATGATGACGAGGAGGAGGGTGATGAGATGGATGAGGATGATGTATTTGAGAGTGCTCAATCGTGATTTAAAAAAGCAGCTGTCGGATGTATGTGTTGCATGTTGTCAAGTGTACATATACATTACATAATAATAGAATTGCATGTTTTGTTTGCAAGTTTTTTCTTCAAGTGACTCCTCCCACTAGTACTGATACGCAATTCGACATTTCAGTTTTCATTGGGAGTCGCGATGGTGTGCAGACGATGCTGCTCCAGTGAACAAGTCTCACCTGCGGGATTGTACTGTTAGTGCTGTTAGAGACGGGAGGGTCACGCACTCCGCAGTGGTAGCACTGGACCCCTTCCTTGCCAACTTCAATGTTTAGTAATCAATTCTCTCCTAGGGTGAAATTTGTTGGCAGGGAAGAGGCGGGAGTTCGAATTTCCAGTCATATCCCAACACAAAGGTTTTTTTTAATGATGCAAAAAAGGTATATTAAAGCGAGTTAGAGCAATAATCTACACCAAAAAGCAGCACCTCTTTTTCGTAAGGATAATAATATTAGACACACAATATCTATCGAAAAATGTCACAGTGCACCAACAACGAAAGTGCACCTGATATGGAGTAGCAAAAATATTCATATCCGAGTTAGTCGTGTTGCCTCGTCTCGCCTCTCATCATGCAACCCTCAAATTACTTTGTCCGGCAAGATCCCCCTTCTCAAGTACTAAACCCACTATGACGGACTCCCCATGCTAATGCACGTGTCGCCACGAAAGATGAGCGGTTTGGGATTTCTAAATTCTCTGTCTTGGCGTGTGCCATTCGTCCAAACTACGACAAAATCTCGGAGCGTATTGGACGATCCATGTACATAATAAGCGAACCTAGTTGAGTTGCAGTGTAAGTCAACAAAGCACTTTCAAGCTTGAGAGTTTGTACATACAGTCGAATAGGATTGAGCTGCTCATTGTAAAAGCAGTAAAAGTGCTACTCAGCTTTCATCTTTTGACCAGTTTTCCGTTCCTATAGCGTCCAGACCGTTACAAGAGCATTTAATACGATTGATACGAGCGTCAATAGCGCAAAGTTTCTAACAATGGAGGGAATTAGACAAAATTTACAAACGTGACGCTTGTAAATGGGGAAGCACTTCTTGCACATTGCGACTTCTGGCTCTTCGTGGCTCTTTATGGAGCCAGCGGTGGAGGGTTCTTTTGAGTGTGTCTGGAAAGCTTCGCCTTTCTGGTATAGCTTGTTGAATGCTAACAGGACCTCCTGCTTTCTCTGCTTCGTCGTCTTGATTAGCTCCATGACCTGTGCGTAAAAGTATACCATCACAGATACTGTAGAGGTGAGCCTGAAAAGGCTCATCGTGGTCCCTGCCATTAACTCTGGTCGTCTTGAAGACCAGTCCGCGTAGCAAAAGATGGGAGGATCCAGCCATATTGGCCATATTATTTCTTGGAAAATGAAGATGGGGATAGACATGCAAACACTCTTGTTTCTTAAAGTGAAGGAACTTCTAGGCTCAAAGTACAACCAGGAATGGGATACAAATAGGCTCTCCGTCCGGGTCGTTGCAAACTGAAGAATTCATTTCACCAAAAACCTGCGCTGTAGTGAAGTCTCCAGCGAAGCAGTCACGGGCGTGCTGCAGTTCTTGGTGCTCATCAGTAGATCTTCTATAAATCCAGCCGTATTGTAGTCTCCAACACGTCGTTCGTCTCCATTTGGTCTCTATTTCGTGCGAATCGTTTTGGACTGTTCCCGTTTACTTGGGAATCAACCACACCAATAGCTAGGCCATGGATTGGGAGAAGGCTGCTGGCATATCACTGGCACTAGCATCTGGATTCTTTATCGGGACGTCCCTTATCTTTCAAAAGAAGGTAAACTCTCTATATCTGGATATAATCAAATATTGTCAAACTAAAATGTGTGTCTTGGTGTATATAGGGATTGATAGATACAAAAGCCAGAGAGAGGAGATCTGATTCTGGAAGCACCCACAAATCAAAGGAACATGCCTATCTACAGAATGCTACCTGGTGGATTGGAATGCTTTTGAGTAAATCATCTTGTTGTGGGATTTGAAGACAAGGAATGGACATGTTTGGGACTAACGAGACGAAATCGGTTTATTCTCTAGTGGTTTTGGGTGAATTGTCTAATTTCTTGGCTTATGGTATACTCTCGTTGTCGTCTTATCGGTTGATCTTGATTCCTGGATACAGTGTTTCTTTTTTGCTCGTTCTTTTCTGATCTCACAATATTCATCATACAGCTTTCGTGCCAGCAATTTTGGTTACACCTTTGGGTGCTCTTAGTGTCGTCGTGAGGTATCTTGAAAACAAATTCGACAACACAGCTTTCGTTTGATTCATACAGCCCCCAACGACAAAACACTTTCATTCCTCTCCTATTCCTCACCCTTACTAATCCACATCTCGTTACCTAGCGCCGTCCTATCCAATGTCTTTCTTAAAGAAAAACTCAACTTTTCTGGAAAAGTTGGTTGTGCACAATGTGTCCTAGGTGCCATCATCATAGTCTTGCATGCCCCAGCAACAACAACAACCAGCACACTAGCTGAATTTTTTACTCTGGTCTTTCATCCGATATTCATCGCTTATGGTTCAATTTGTTTTGTTGGACTGGTGGTATTAATACTTTATGCTGGACCAAGGTGGGGTCATCGACAACCGATGGTGTATATATCAGTTTGCTCTATAGTTGGATCGTTCTTGGTGCTTGCTGCTCAAGGTAATGTGCTTGCCTGTTTCAGCAGGAAATTGGATCATCACAGAGATGTGCTTTTTTTGGCGTCCAACACTCAACAAACTTCTTTTCTTTAAAACACAGGGGTTGGATCATCGACAGTGTATAGTGTATCACACTGGCAAGATGATAATCAACTCAAAATATGGGGATTTTATCCATTACTCGTTTTCGTAGCGGTGACTGCTGTGATGCAAGTCCATTTCCTAAATCGAGCATTGGGCCAATTTACAGCGGCGGTTGTGGTATGTCATGCACACACAAAAGAAATTCTACTCGAAAGTCTCAAATTGAACCTCAACACTTTTAAAATTAGACACCCGTATATTATGTCTCGTTCTCAACTGCAACCATGGTTTCGTCAGCCATCCTGTATCAAGGATTCCCAGTTGGATCAGCGCTGAATGCAATCAGTATTGTTGCAGGGTTCCTGACTATAGTGCTTGGTGTCGCTTTGCTCTTCCAGTACTCTGTGAAATTAAGGTAGCAGTGATTGTCCTCCTACAGTTGAAGGTCTTTTAATGGACTCTTTTTTGGTCTCGTCAGACGCTTGGCAGTCAAGGGCGACGCCAGACACCATCATACTCCGAGCTTCGCTGCCGCCCAGGTACAAGCGACATTGGAATCTACTCATGACAGACTAGACCTTTCAATGTCCCTTTCGAGAGATGCTTTGCTGCGACGTGCCAGTGAGAGGACTGTTGCTCCTACCAGTGCGGTTTCGGAGGCTCCGTCGTTGTGGCAGTCTGTTCTCAAGAGTAAGCAAAAGGAATCGGTGGTTCGAGGACTGTATCGCAACAGCTACTAACCCCCGACTTTTCCTCGCTCTCGAATAGGTGAACACACGCGCTCAATCAGCACACAAGGAGCTCAAAACGGACAAGCATCAAGTTCCCGTGTAATTCCCGAAAACCATGGTCTAAACATAATGCCCACGTGGCTCTACCAAAAAACCGAAGGTCCTCCTCCTGGTAAACCACTCGCCTCTGTAGCTGCTCCGGAAGAAGCACGGTCGAAAAAGACATTTGGATGGCTATCTACTTCATCACATAAAGAAGTCTTACACACACGATCCATGGATGATGAAAAACAACAGCCTATGGTGCAAATAAATCCAACTCCGGCATGGTTTAGTGGACGAAACCATAAAAATGCTGTCGTCAATGCTGTCTTTAAACATTCGAATGGTGATGCTGCAAAGCAACGATTGCAGGGGAATGACAATGATAGTATTCAAGTTGAAGACGAAGACGAAATTGACGAGGATGATGATTGAGCTAATTTAATACTAATGTGACCATGACGGACTCCTTTTTTTGGTCGTAATACAGTACATAGCTGACTCGCTTTACACAAACTGAGACAACCAAGTAATGTAATATATAAAGTAATCTTAATAATCTGTAAACACACATGCACACGCACTGTACGTAAAGTTCGAGTTGGGATAATATAAGAGGTCTTTTATAAATTACTGGGCCTATATTTATGTTCTTCGTTTGCTTGGCAGTCCACTCCTCAGCACCTCTCCTCTACTTGGCGGCAACCTTGCATCCACATTCATTGTCTTTGTAGGCGACGTACCACCATTACTAGTCAAATCATCCGACCCTGAGAATTCAAAATCTTCACTTCCCAATGCAGAACCCGTTCCACCACCACCAAGTTTCAATCTGCTAGTAGATAACAGCGTCCCACTGCTCGCTCGTGATATATCTCTATACAGTTCACCGACATCTAAATCTGACCCTGCTGTTGATTTGTCGTTCAGGTATTCGGCACTGCTTGCTGCACTACGTTGCTGCTGTTGTATATCATCTAACCCAAGCGTCAACAAATTATCAGGTCTCCATCGTGGATTAGGATCACCAGCCGCCATCCTCGTTTTCGCAAATCCACACACAGGCCTTTTGAGAATGGGATGTGCAAGCGGCCTCTCGACCCGATTGGCAAGATTCAATTCAGCATTCGTGCAAAGGATCCACTCATCACTCTCATCATTATAGCTTGCCCGTGATTCGACTTTACTGATTTCATCAGGTGGCAAGAAACTCGTCGCGACTGTTTGCTTGAGTGACAACTCTCGAGATAATTCCCGGATGGTTTCAAGTAGTCCCTCCCGCTCATTTCGGAACTCGTCTTGCAAATCAGATACCTCGCGTCTCGTGGCTTCGAGTCTCGCCCATAGTTTCTTGAGTTTCTTGGTCTTGGTATCGACTTCATCCTGTAACGTGTTGTAGTGCTCTTCAAGTTGTAATGTAGCCTCCTGTTTTGATTCAAGCTTGTCACGGATTTCACGCTCGGCACGTTCTTGCTGCTCGATGCGTTTACTTGCGGCCTCCAATTCGAGCTGCTGGGCTGATACACGGTCGACGATCGAGACACCACCAACAAGGAGTTGACCTTCCATGGAGGAGAGTTTGGCGGCGAGATTCTCACGTTCGGTTCTCTCCTTGCTTAACTCCGTGGCTCGTGATTCAAGTTCGAGGAGCAGGCGTTGCTTTTCGGCGTGCACGTGGGATTTGGATGTCAGAAGTGCTTGTCGTTCGGATTCAACTTGGGCTTGAAGTTTGAGGATTGTGGCGGGATCCATGCTGCTTAGTGGATTATTTGCTTGTTTGTGACCACCCTTGCTGGTTTCCTGATGATCGCCATTCTCAGATCCATCGGATTCTGATTCATCACCTTCATCGTCCAGCGTCCCACTTGACACTGCCTTCAATGACCTTGAACGCGTCTCAGGAGACGTAGTACCACCACTGGTACGTTGCTTACGTTCCAGCTGTTCACGTAGTCTCTTGATCTCTTCTTGGTATTCACGAAGCATGGCGTCTTTCGGGTCTTCGTTGATTTTAGGCTTGTTTTTAATGTTTTTGGCACGGTTGGCATAGCGTAGTGTCGAAAGGGTTTCCTCATAGTTGTAGGATGCTGGTGACAGGGTTGCAATCATTAAGGTTCTAACGGGACGAGGCGGGGGTGTTTTTTAGCATTTATGAGAGTGAAACGAGGATAGAGATGTGTTCTATACGAACTTTGCATTGCCTCCAAGCGAGTCTTGCAGCAGGCCTAACGAGATTATTTTGTGTTAGACTGTGGAATCAACAACAAAAAATGAACTCCGCCTAACATCAACGAATACTCACGGGTAAGTTTGGAATCACGATACGGTATATGTGTACTCTTGCCATCAACAAGAGCAGATATACAATTCCCCAGCGCAGACAAACTCAAATTGATCCTTGTAGCTTCCTTCAATCGATCACCCGTAGCCCCCGTCTTGCTCTGTCTCTCAGACCCAGCCAAATCCACCAGATGCAATTTACCCGCCACAAATCGATCCTCTTTAGTCCCATTTGACAATTCCACCTCTTCAGAAGACTCGACAGTAATTGTGAAAATCGAATGCGATCTCGAGGACTCTGCATTCATAAGCGTCGCAGCAACTGCTCTAGCCGAGTTTCCCACATCAATAAGTTTATCCATTTCTTCCACACTCTTGACGACGAATGATGACAGATCTTTTACATATACGCCAGTGTCGGGGTGCTCTTTCAGCTCTAGAGCTGTTGGTTTTTTGCCTGGAGGTGGTTTTACGAGGAGGTCCCGGATGTCTTCATTGTAGATTTCAATGTAGGAGCAGCGGACTAGGTAGCGTTTGCTAGTTGAGTCTTGGGATATGTGGTTGAAGATGTGGTTGAATGTGGATGGGATTATGCCTCGGAGGGCTGGTACGTCGCGAACACCTTGCATGCTGAATGTTTTGCCTGTGCCCGTTTGTCCTATGGGTTTGAGATGGGAGTCAGCAATTGCTATCGGATCCAAGACAAGTATATGGTATCTATATAGTACCATATGCGAAAACAGTTCCATTAAACCCCTTCAACACCTCATCCACAATGAATTTGGCCGTCTGATCATACACGTCCGCCTAACATAAAGTGTGTGAATAAAAACATGAAATGTCTACACAAATTCCATCTTTGAAAATACCTGCTTTGAATCTTCACCAAAAGCAGCATCGAATGAAAATGTCTTGCAATCGGCGCCATCTTCACCACCAACAGATCCTCCATTTGGATTGCGTAGGGTGACGCTTCCAGCCCGTCCATCTAGATCGACAATGCGCTTATGGCCAGCTAATTTCTCCTTTTCTGAGAATGGACGAACTCGAATCGTCACTTTTACATTTTCGTTTGAGGCCATAATTGTGTGGTTTGAGGGACGTGTTGAGAGACGTCCTATGTGAGGATCGAGTGATTTTGAATGATATTGTCTCCTATTTCCACCGGCGATCGACTATTAAAATCCCTTCCAAATTGTTTAGACTGTTTTTTGTGTGTTGCAAAGTCGCAAACAAGAAGAATTGAGACGCAAATTGTTTGTTGGTAGAGGCTGATATTAAGAGAGTTGCATTCATGAGTATATTCGATTACGCTGGTACGTGTTCTAGCTCGTCCTAATACTATTTGTTAAACTGTTAATCAGTCGCTTACTGTTTTCCACGCTTCGACCATATTTCCTAGCCGTGGGCGATCTAGCTGGTCTCAAATCAGCTATTGCAGGAGATGACAGGTTACAATCACCTGCAATCTTAAAGTCCTACATCAACTCTCAGGTCTGTTTTTTGACGTCATTACAAAAATCACGATGTATTGTGTGTCAACAATAGATTGACTCTGTTTTTGTGCATTAGAACGATAGGAAATGGACTGCTCTTCATTTCGCAGGTAGGAGAATCGTATTTTGAGCTGAGACGACGTGTTTGGGTACAGCAAATAAAGCTGACCGACTGGCAAACTTCGTTTAGCCCGTTACGGAAAACTCGAATTCGTAAACTACCTAATCCAACAAGGCGCCCAAACAGACTTGAAAGACGACCAAGGACGCACTCCCGGTGCACTAGCATTCGAATGGGGATTTGAACCACTCTCAAAATCACTGGGTTTCAATCCAAGTGAAGCACCATCCAAACCAGCTGCTGCAGCGCCTGCAGGCAAGGGATTACCATCACTGTCTGCTGTAGCAACACCCAAGAAAGCTGCTGCTGCTAGCAAACCACCTCCACCACCAAAAGCCCCCGTTAAAGCTGCACCTGTAAAAGCTGTTACCAAGAGTTCATCAGCAGGAGGAGCTGCTCCAGTAGCGCCGCCACAGTTGGTTAACTTTTTCGCTGGAAGTCGATTGAATCGTAAAGTATGTATACCCAGCAAAAAAGTGCCCCAGACGACAAACAATGAGTATCACTGACATCCGTCTTAACCACACAGTCATACATCCGAGACGACACTGTAATGCTAAACAAGGCCCGTCAGGACCCACGAACACGATACCTGGTATTCGAGAGTCTTAATCCATTATTCCGTGACACCAAAGGGCAACGAACAGACATTGCTTGGATTGGGTGGGAAGATATCAAGCAATTCCTGCCTGCTATTGGATCAGATGAAGAAAAGAAGGGTGTTACGCTCGTATTTTTGGGTATTGATGAAGAAGATGCGGATCGTGCGTATTGGGCCCTGGATGTAACGCCCTTTGCGGATCTCGTTAAATGTGCGTATCGTGGCGTTGTGGTTTGTCTTTTCTTTCGGCTTTTGTGTCTGACAGGTTTTTTACTCCCAGTTATGGGAGAATTGGGATACGAGTTCTCAGACGCTCGTCCAACTGGATTTAGACTAGCAAAGGAGGAAGCTGCTATTGTTGCTCATGGCAGAGCAATGCTGGATTGGAATTTACGTAATGTGAGTCGTGAATGAATGCTTGGCTGTCCAATATCTCTTATGTATCGTTTTTTAGCCATTCTGTCCTAGCTGTGGTACAATTACAGACAGTGAGGAATCAGGATACAAACGTAAATGCCAGAATAAGGGCTGTTTGAAGGGTGTTCAGAACTTCCAATATCCAAGGTATGACGGATGTGTCAAACAGTGTTTGAAGCCCTATTATTGAATGGTCGTCCTTCGTTGCTCGTTAGGACGGACCCCGTCGTAATCTCATGTGTGATATCCAAAGATGGGGAGAAATGTCTGTTAGGAAGGGGTGCACGTTTCCCGGGTATCTTTTACTCGTGTGTGGCAGGTTTCATTGAAGGTGGTGAATCTCTTGAGGTAATGGAGCTAGTTTGTTTTGGGGGTTTTTTGCATGTCGTCTGAAGCAAAGACTCTTGGACTGAATAGGAAGCAGTGAGGCGAGAAGTATTGGAAGAAACTGGGATCAAGGCTGGACGTGTTTGGTATCATTCGTCTCAACCTTGGGTGGGTGAACGGCGCGTTTATTGGATGCTTGGGTCGAATTACTAACACGGCTTTTTTGCAAATCACATCAGCCATTCCCAAATTCTCTCATGATTGGATGTATGACTGAAGCTCTCACTGAGGATATCGAACTGCTGGACAAGGAGGTATCCATTCATAGAACTACCCCGATTTTTTGTCCTTCGCATCTCAAATAACCAAATCATATCTCGTAACATTAGCTGGCAGACGCTCGCTTCTTCAGCAAACAAGACGTCCTAATCGCACTTGGATTGGGTCCCAAAGGAGCAAAACCAAGCATGAAGTTCATGGCTCCACAAGACTTCGCCATAGCACATAACTTGATGAAGGCATGGGCAACTGGTGAATTCAAACTTCCTTCTGCTACTGCTTCGAAACTGTGATTTTGTTTCTTTTGGATTACAAAAAATAGAGATTAGGGTCTTTCAAGCGCATGCAATGTGTCATTTGGAGGTTTCAAATAATTATACACGAATACAGTGGGATGATTTTTTTTTCGCTACAAATGTCATCAAGCATGAAAAGTTTTCAGATTCTACCAACTTCTTCTTCAAAAACAGCTAACTCTTCCCCCTGTGGCGCTGCTATAGTTGGTTGGCCTTTCGCGCTGCAACTCGCTGGAATAGCAAAGTACGTGTCAGCAGATAAAAGGGCATTGCCACACTGGAACGTCAACACCCCCCGACATTTCTTTTCAACTAGGTAGTTATACACATGCGAGCGAGGAATATGGGATAGTGTCTCTTGCGCTATGGATGTAACACCCTTTGAGAATCTTGTCAAATGTGCTTATCATGACACTCTCTCGGATGGATCTTTTGTGCGTCTCATATATTTCTTTCTGGTGATGGGAGAATTGGGATAACGAGTTCTCAGATGCTTGTCCAGTTGGATCTGGCTTGATTAAAGAAGAGCCTGCTATTGTTGCTCATGGCCGTACCTCGTACTGTGATCCTTGAATTGAATACGCAATAGTTATCGATCATATTCAATCACGATGTTTTTCTTCCCATATTGCCGCAGTTGCGGAACCAAGAATCAGGATACAATGGTAAATGCCAAAACGAGGGCAGTCTGAAGGCACAATTTCAAAGGTACTATTGTTGAACAGAGATAAAGTTAACCTATGAGATTACGCTGAATCGCTTTTTTTTGTCTAGCATAGATCCAGTTGTAGTCTCATGCGTGACATCCAAGGGCGGAGAGAAATGTATCCTTTGGAAGGCGAGCCCCTCTTTCGGGTCTTGATTATTCATGAGTAGCAGGATTCGTTGAAGGAATCTCTTGAGGTATTCGATGGTACTGCGTGCTTTTTTTGCTGTACCTTTCTGCCAAACAAGATCTTTTGGACTTATCGAGAGTAGGGAGGCAAGAGGTACAAGAAGAGGCTATACGACGTGTTTGGTGCCGTTTGTCGTAACCTTGGGTAAGAGACCACCGTCATGCTGTTAGGTGTCTCAAGCATGACTAGCGCTGCATTTTTTGGTGCCATTCCTTATGATTGGGACTCATTACTGAATCTACTACTGAAGTTTGTGAATACTGTAGAAGAAGGCCGAGATTTGTTTCGATACATGCTTGCGTTTTGGAGGACTTTTTTCTCTCTACCTATCAATTATCTTCAAAGAACCAAAAAGGGTCTCTTCATCATCAGCCATTAGCTGGAAGACGCTCGCTTCTATAGTGAACGGGACGTCCTACCTGCTCTGGTTGGTTGGGATCTGGAAGGGAAAGCCAAACACCTCAAGTTCCACTCACGATACATAGCTGATAATATGGGCTATTAGCGCACCCAAACTACCCTCTGAACCTGCTCTTCCAAACTTGGAACTGTGTTATTCAGAATAGACGTTTTGCGGTTGGACAAAACACAAATTGAATGTTGCTTGAGGGTTTCTATATAAATTTTACTTACACAGCAAATCACAACTTATTTATACTCTTCCGTTACACCACCAGCTTTGAGGTCCCACCAAAGTTACTGTGTGTGCGCAGGTTTTATATGTGCTTTTTAAAAACAAACTTACATTTTCAGATATAGAACGAAGCCAAGCAAGATAGATCCACTTCCGTTTTTATGTCTATTGCATGTTATAAAGGTCCTTAGCGACGATACGGTGAACGAGACCTGCTTCTAACATATCCGGATGATGATGCCGATGTATCGTATCTACTACTACTTCGTGATGTGGAGCGACGTCGTTTGGCTGCCTTGGTATCATTGTCTGTGGTATTATCTGCAAAATACCGGTGTTGGTAATATGGTCTTCGGATGGTATAGTTTGATTCGTCGTCCGAGTAGAGTTGTCGTGACGGGCGTTGTCTGTTGTCATAGTCGGGATCATAGTGTCGGTCACTGTTTGGACGGTAGTTGTCACGTTTTCGTGGAGAGAGGGTATCATAGTATTGTGCTGCTGTATTATGGTATGATGATGAGGTCGAGGATGAGGTTGTGATGTATGATTTGTGACCTTTTCCGTCTAGGGGGCGACCTGGAGTTTTGAAGACTAGTGAGTTGGTGTTTTGGTTAGAGGTGTTGAGAAGTGATAGCCAAAACAAAAGCATACAATCTTGCGAGACGGTATGATGACCTGTCACTTTTCTTACCTGCTCTCACAATTTCCTCATCTCCCATATATATGCCCGGAGTACGAGAGTGTTCTTGAGCTCGTCGGGCATACTCGATAACCACATGTCGACCATCAATCTTGGTACCTCGTAATCCGTGGATGGCATCATCGGCTTCTGCCAGTCGAGCAAACTTTACAAATCCGAACTGACGTGATTCCTATGAATGCAAAAAGGTAAGTGATTGACATACTATAGAATTGGATCAAATAGGACTCACTCCGGTACGAGGATTATGAATGATTTCACATTCAACGATTTTACCATATTGGCCAAACACTTCCCGCAGTGTTTTATCACTAGTTCTTAAGGATAGTTTCCCAACGTAGATGTTGTTGCCATCATTGGTGGATCTAAGACGCACTGTTATGTTAGTGTGTAATCAAAAACAAGACAGGTCATCGTTGCCGCAGGCATGTGTCATGATATCATCAGACTTACGTATCCTCTGCGTGTGATCGAGCACGGGTCTCGTTGGCAGTGGTGTCATGATCATCAGCAGTAGCAGGTAGAGCCGAAGTGACATATGGAGAAGCAGGAGGTGGAGTGACTGGTCGATGTTGGTGATGTAGGTGGTGGTCTCGATGTGCCTCATCCATAACCGATTGGAATGATGGCAGTGGTGGTAGTGGTGGATATTGGTGATATTGATGATGGAAGACTGGTTCTGGATACTGGGTCATGATCATTCCGTTGGATGGGAGTGTGTTGAGTCTGTGCATGTTTGACATGTGCTCAATGTATCTTTGCTGCTGTTGGAGGATTGCTTGCATGTCATATACCGTGTATTCTAGTGTAGATAAGAGCAGTTTCAATATATATTCATCTTGTAAACAACTGAGAAAAAGTCTGAAGTTTTGACTCTTGTCACATTAATGTCGACGCAGTCTATGAAATACATGTACCTTGGCGGTCACTTGGAGTGGGCATGAGCTGAATAGGCTCCTGGATCATCATAGACGGCATCTCTTTCCTTTCCCCATATGGAATATGACTGGGATTGAATGCAATCGCTGGCATCATGATGTTTCAAATGCTGCGAATGATTAAACGAGTGTGAAGTTCCATTCAACCGCGGTCAACCAAAGAAAAGGGACCTCGAGAACGCGTTTAATACACAAGCCTAACGCAAGTCACGTAAAAGGATGCGAATGTTGACAATTCAGGTCTAGTCTGAGACAATTATTTTTAGAGTTTGACACCATGCAAGCTATTAACCCGTCAGAACACGACGAAAACACGCGTTAAAATTTGGGGAGATTGGACAGCTTCAAGTCACCGTGGACACTACTGAGTCTAACTTTCAGTTGCAAGTCGCGATCTAAGAAGCCAAGTTGCAAGTTGAAGCTCACACTTGACTTCAGTTACCTGCATAGAGCACTACACGCGTCAGAACGCGCTACAAGTACCATGGCAGCCGCGGATCTATCTACTCTGGCCGATCTTCCTAGACTTCCTGGTAGAGATTCCCTTTTAGAAAAGCTAAAAACTGCATTATCACTTGCAGAGACTCTGAAACGGGAGAACGATGTGTATAGAGATAATTTCGAACATGTATGTAACGCTCTAACTTATTGATCTGGCTTGTTTTTGATATGAGATCATGGAATTTACAACTGACATCAATTCGAAAACTAGTTGAAAGGCGCGCATACACGATTGCAGGAGAAGCATGCGGAAACTGCGTCTGAATTAGATAATATAGCTAGAGAAAAGGTACTTGGCGTGTGATGGATGCTATGGTGGTGGTGATCTCGGATCCTTACTGAAATGATTTGCGAGGTTCTGTTGGGGTGGTGAACTTACACTTCGTTTCGGATCTCTAGGGCATAATAGAGCAACAATCTACAGATACTGTGTCACAACTACAAATACAGTATGATGCCAAAGTTCGTGAAGTGGAAGAACTCAAGAGACAGATACCTCAACCAAAGTACGTTCCAGGCCGAAAAAATCGAGCCCTTCGCTTGGAACAATTGCTCACATTGCGTTTGAATTTCAACTATTGCAGACAATTAGAAGTCATGAGACTAAAGATGGCCGAAGAGCTTGAAGATGTACACAAGAGGAAATGGAAATCTCTTGCGGAGGTATTAGGCGTGTCGGGTACACCTATTTTGCCCCTAGTTCGTAGTTCGGAGGCTAATAATTTCTGTATGGAAGGAAACGGATCGATTTAGGGACCTGTACCATAAGCTAAGGAGAGAACACGAGCTCATGAAGACTGAAACGGAGCACATTGTAAGAAGCCAAAGTTGACTTTCCAAAATTGATGCATGGGCCAACCCTGTCCTTTATTGGTTGTAGAAAACGGAGACCAGCACCATAGTACGAGAATTGAATGCCTCTCACCAAGAGGAAATTTCGAACTTGGAAAGTAAAGTTTTAGGATTGCAAGAATCATTAGGTAGGAGCCAGACCACTGTTGTCAAATAGTATATATTCAATTTTGAGCTCTGATCTTGTTGTCATTTTACAGCATCGGCACTCAACACGGACAAACTCAGAATCTTACAACGTGAAAACACGGAACTGATATCCACGGTTCGCAACCAATTACAAGAGATTGACCAAGTCAGGTACAGCAGTTGAATCTTGTATGAAGTCGCCTTTCCGTATTGACCTTTTTTTACTCCTTTTGACCTTGATTTTTCAGAGCTCAACGGGATCAAGCAAGAACAACACTCGACTCCCAAGAACGCGTCAACGCCCGAAAATTGTCGGATGAAATAACCCATTCCAAGACAATTGCGAGTGAACGAGACATTATGGCTTCAAAATCCACGACCCTCGAAACCGAATTACGAAACTGTGTGAAACTGCAAGAGACACTTGTGTATGAGAATGCGGCGCTCAACAAGGAGTTGGATAAGGCCAAGAGTCGTATTGATGAGATATTGCATCAGAATGCGTGAGTTGATACTTAAGATCTAAGAATATTTCATAGCAACAGTTTGGCATTGTTTTCTTCGCGCTTGACATTGACATTCTTTTATTATCATTTTTTAGAATTGAAACAAGTGATTTGAAAATGTCAGTAGTGAAAGAACGACAAGGTCTTGAAAAAGAGATTGGTGTGTTGAAGATCAAACTATCAGAGCAAAAAAGGTATGTTGCTACATCAACATCCAGTAGAATGGAATTTGTCACCATGTGTATCACTAACCACACTACTGTCTCTCATATTATAGTGGAAGCAAAGTTCTTCAAGAAACCGTCGCAGACCTGAAATCAAGACTATCAGCAATGGAAGCACAAGGTCTCGCAAATGTTCGGTCAGCAAGAGAAGAAGAATGGGCCAAGCTAGCCAAAGTGGAAGGTGAAAAGGCTGACGTTGAACGGACAATACTTTCACTCAAGACTCGACTGCTGGATGTTGAAGCTAAAGATGCTGAGCATCTGCGTGATTCAAGCAACGTAAGCAATTGAGTATGAAGAGATCCTGTTTTTTGTAAGCTAATTTGTATCGATTTTTTTTCCAATACTAGGAAATATCCAAGCTCAAGAAAGAAATTCGAGACACTTCAGTCACTTTGGAAGAAACCACCAAGCAATTGCAAGTCACCGCGACTGAAAAGGAACGACTTTGTGCAGAGACATCAGCGCTTGTTTTACATGTCAAGGAACTGGAGTCGACTATTGCTGATTTGATGGCTGAGTCTGAAGCATTGAAACGTGGAGAGGTGTCTGCGAGGTAATTGAGCATACAACATAAGGAAATTCCCTTTTTTGTACTTTTGCTCAATAAGTCGTCGATTTAGGGTACGACTCACATCACTTGAATCAAGTTTACAAGCTGCTCAATCCGAAGTATCGCATATTTCAGATCAATTGGAAAAGGAACGATCGTCGTATGAAACTAATTTGGATCGTCAGAGAGTAAGTAGTTCATTGAGTTGTTGCTATGTTCGGTTTTTGTTTTTTGCTTCTGAAAAACTCGATTGGATGGCTAAAAATCCAACTCAAATTAGGGATCAAGAGCACTCGAAAAGGGTGCTTTCGAAGGCCGAATAGAAGCTCTAGAACGAGAAAACACGACATTGAGGGATCGTATTGCTGGTCTTGATGCCAAAGTGTCTTCACTGCGTGGGAAGGTGAAACAACAGAAAGTTGAAGCTTTAACGTGGAAGGGACATATAGAAGCTGAAAAGGATAAGACGGATAAGCAGATGCGTGAGGTAAGATGTTGACGGAGCCAAAACTGATTTAGTGGTCAAAGATGAACTGACAATGCAATTACTTTTAGTTCCTTTCAGTGCTACAAACGGAATTGGCTGGTGTTTAGAATGGATTTTTGAACATTGAATATAATTACATACATCACGAGACTGAGCTAAACTACTGGTTTCCAAATGTTGCTATTTGAATATGAAATGCAATCTAGTGGTGGTGTTGGTGTTGATCATGCAGTGCCCTGTACTATAAGCTCAGGGAAGGGAACATTTGCTCGTGAAGATTGAAGCTGACCACTTGTCAAGAGGAAGTATCGAATCTGGAGACTATTGCTTTGGGATTGCAAGAGTCGTTAGGTAAGAGTCAAAGGACTGTTATGGGAACGTATGTAAACGTCGAGTGACATATTTTTGTCTTGTGGTGGCATCGGCATCGCACTCCGCAACGGACAGCCTCAGAATTCTACAATGTAAAAAAACAGAATTGGCATCCACAGGTCGCAACCAATTACACGAGATTGGACAGATTCGGTACTATGGTTGGCGGATTATCTTCGGGTACGAGATCAGATTACTAAAGACAAAAGTTTCTTTTCTCCCAAACTCAACGACACCAAGTGAGAGCAGTACCCGACTCTTTTAAAGAGCCAACTCCAGACACATGTCTGACGAATTTACCTACTCGAAAATCAATTGCCAGTGAACGAGACATTCTGGCTTCAACACCTACGACCCTCGAAACCAAGTCACGAAGCTTTGTATAATGCAAGAGAGACTAGTTTCTGAAGTGCTAGCCTAAACAAGGAGCTGTTTGCTCAAAGCGATGTCATTATTGAAACAATCCTCCATAGCTTTCTTGTGTACCAATAACATATTGGATTATCCTTCCAAGTAGAAGTTACCCCCAAAGAAAGGAGAACAGTTCAAGAGAAGTAAGAGTTATAATATGATCCTTTTTATTGCGTTAACTACTTATGATGAGATATACTCTTGAGGTTCGTCATGACCACCAAAAACACACCTCCTACATCCAACCTTTAAGCAGAAGCCTTCTCATAGATCGCCAACCCCTCTGCCTTTGGCTCAACAGCCTTCCACCTTTTTACCAAATCCTTCAACCTGCTCTTCAAATCCGCTTCGCTCAAATCTCCCTTCTTTTCACCATCAGGTCCAAAATGAGTCAAGCTGCCACTTAATTTTTTACCAGCAGTGGTTACATCCTTCATGAAGGTCGCTTGTCGTACGAGTGCCTTTTGGGCAGATGGTAGGAAGGTCAAGAGCTGGAAGTCGTGGATCATGTCATCGTATAGTTCAAAGATGATTGTTTCGGATTTGAAGCGCGTGAGTGTTAGGGCGAGGTCTTCGGCGAGGAGACGGTCGCATGTTCCGGTTGTGATGTACTAGGTGATGATTGCGCAAGTGTTAGAAATCAATCTTGGGAACGAATATTGCAGTTACGCCTGTGTTTTTGTCCCGCCTTACCTGTGGAGGCAATCCACCGGGTGTAGCCAACAATGGCGAAATGTATGGATCAGTCTTGACAATATCAGTGTCTTTTATGTATCCGTCCCTCATGACTTTGAGGGTGTAAGCGTTCTCAGTGTGGACGAGCATGCAAGCTGTGAATTCGTCTCCAAGGTTGACACTAGGTAATTTGAAGTAACGTGAGTCCACGTAAGCATCGAGCTTGTAACTGCATAGATTGTGTGCTTTGTTGCTGGTATATTACGTACCTTGGACTATTCAAACTCAATTCAACAAATGGCGTAGTAGGTGCCAATCCAGCAGGCATTTCTTCCTTTTGATCACGTAAATACAATGCCAATGCATACGTCAATCCGGCACCTCTACAAAACAAACCGTCAGGTCAGTCCTTGCACAAATGAAAAACCATCATCCCTATGCATCACACTCACGCAGAATCTCCAGAAACAACAACCTTCTCAGCCTTAACCCCCTGACTCAACACCCACTTGTACGTCGAGTACGCATCAGTGATGGCAGCAGGATGCAAGACTTCAGGACCCAGACGGTAATTGATGGATAGCACACGGACTCCGTTTTGGGCTAAGATCGTAGTGTTTGGGCGCCCTCCTTCTTTGGATCCGACGATATATCCACCCCCGTGGAAGTAGATGCATACGGGAGCGGATGATTTGGTGGCGTCCGTTAAGGTGGTGGATTCTTGCCATTCTATAATAACGTGCAGTATAGGTGTTAGAACCAAAAAAAAATGCGTCCAACAGAGCAATGTGTTTTACCAGCAGCAACATCTCCATCAACCTTAGCCTCCAATTTAGTAGCAATTCGAGGAATAGTTACTTGAGTGATTACAACATCGTCTGGAAGTGGAGCTGCAGGCAAACTCGACAACACGTTTCGCATAGTGATGGCATCTGGAATAGACAAGAACTGTTGAAAGGCTTGTAAGGTACCTACAGCAAGTCATAAAAAGGATCGGTTAGAAAACATATACTGGGTGCTCGTCTCTCAAAGCTTAAATTGGCCGCTTTTTCAACCAGAAAAGCAGCAGATAAAGCTCTACCGGTCGGTTACCTTTCGTAGTTTCGTCCCAGCTAGCAGGCCATTGTGGAGACTGGGTGACAGTCATTTTTATAGGTTCTTCTTATAGCTTTTGTAGTTGCAAGATGGCCAAGTTTGTGAGAGTGGCACAAAGAACAAGAGATGGCTTTCACTCCACCCATGTGACGAGGCAAAACAATTAAAACGAGGCTGACTCAGAACGGCTTCCCTTCGCGTTTCCATCGCGTATCATTCAATGTAACAATTGTAATTCACTGGCGATAGAGCATCCATCAAGTCCAGCACTCCAGGACCCAGAACCAGATGTTTTGTGTGTGCAAAAATGAGATTTATAAATCTTTGTATACAGTTACAGATTCTACATGTATCTCGAACCAATTCAAAAACATTTTCAATTGGGTTCGTCTCTTATCTCCATTGTGCTGGTGGAGGCCTCGCACCTCCTCCACCAGGCAGCATAAACGGTGGTGGCGGACCACCGTTGTTCGGGTATGCATTACGAGGCGGTCCTGATGGCCCTCCTCCAGGTCCAAACATGTTTGGAGGTTGTAGACGTGGTTGTGGTTGCATATACGCCTATTAAAAAACAACGTCAGTTCCCAAACCACAAAATATTAAGACACAAAGTGGTCCGTACCGGTTGAGGTTGCGGTGGCAATCTACTAGGCCCAGGTCCTCCATAACCGTCCCGCGGTTGTGGCATTATTGGTGGGCCTCCTAAATCAGTCATAGCATATGCACCACCAGTGCTACCACCAAGTGTCCCGGTAATCTCAAACGCTTTATCAAACAGTGCGTCATCTGATAAAAACTCCTGTTGTTGCTGCTGCTGTTCACGTGGAGGACGTCCACGAGGAGCACCTCTCCCATCAAATCCACCGTTAGCTCTACCATCAAATCCGCCTTGCATACCACCATCCATTTCCTGTCCATCAAGCACCTCTCCGCCCTTCCTCTTATGATGTCGGTGTTTACGATGACTAGGCCTATTCAAACTATGCTCAGTGCGTTGACTTCTAGCCTGCTGAAACGCATATTCAGCATTAAATTCATCCTGCTGTATATCATTCCACTTGTCCTTGTTCTCCTTTACCGGCGATACAGGTATTGGTGGTCGTAAAAAAGAATCATTATCTAGTTTACCACCTCCTAACATACTTTGTCGTTGCTGCTTGTAATAGTCTCGTGTCATGTCCTGGATTTCCATTTGTTTTGATTCGGAGACGGCGTCTAGTTGTGCGCGTTCCAAGGTTGCGGTGCGGTAGAATGTGTAGAGGACTATTATGCGGAGGGCGAGGATTATGTACGTTAAGAGGACGAGGAAGTGGAGGATGGCGAGTGTGAAGCCAATGTATTCCTTGGTTTTGGATCCAGATGCGATTAATGTGGCTCCACTAGCACTACTTAATGACAAGCTGGGTACGAATACCATGAGGAGGGCTCCGACTAGTAATTTAGCGGACTAGAAAGAAAAGATTCAGTCAGTCATCATCCTTTAATATATCGGGGGGTTTTCCTCGCTCATTGGTCAGGATCAGTATGCTAAACAAAGACAACAAAAAAGTAACAATGCTGCAACCAACTACTCGAAACACTCACCGAAACAGCAATAACAACTCCATTCGACAACCGATCCCTCATCGGCCTAAACACACTAAACAGCACAACCGTAGCCAGCTCAATAACCAGCATGGCAGCAACCTGTGCAACAGGCGAACTACTAACACCACCAATAAACACCCCCTCCAGCAACCTTCCACCAAATGGGATCAAGAAAAACCAGTATCGACTTGGATCATATTCAGAGTATACCGCTCCGTACGGCAGGATGATGGATGTTCGATGGTAGAGGATTTGGACATGTCCGTTGCTGAAGATGCGCCATGTGACTATGGCGGGGATTACGAGTGCGAATACGAGGAATATGACTGCTGCTATTGCTTTCACCCATAGAGCAGCTGCTGCGAGTGTGAATTGCTTGAAGGCTGCGATGCTTAGTGGGAAAAAGCCTACGAGGAGGATTCGTATCATGTTGCCTACGTATGGAAAGGAGTGGATCAGAAGTGTAAAGGCAAAAAGAAATTCTCTGGATACTATGCTGATGCATTATGTCCTACAACCGCTCGACAACAACAACCATTACACTCACCAGCAATATACAACTGGAAATACCGATTCCAATACCGCCAAGCCTTCCTCTGTTCTCTAGCCTGCGAAGCCCGGATTGCGACATACGCCCACCAGATCAACAATATAATCAAGACCAACAGTACAACTAGGGCGGCAGTGACACATACTGTTACAAACAGGTTACCGACATCAATGCCTAGAGTGCTGGAATATACAGCTAGACCATCGTATACGAGAGCTCGTTTGGATAGTGGTGTTACGCCAGTTGTTACTGTTAGGGACAAGGTTTGGATCATTAGGTTGCTCCATCCGAATCTGAGTAAGGAACGTGGTTAGTTTGACATTCTCCCCTCCTTGACAAGCAAAAAAAAGACGACTAAACTTGCACAACTCACTTTGTGGTGAATGTAGCATACTCTGGCGGATACTGCAAATTCAACATCCCTGTCGCACTAACAAACTGACAATAAAACAGCACATCCAACAGTTTCGGTATAACATGCACTGGAACCGCCCCTTTGACACCTCTCATCAACGCCGCGAGGTACGGATACCCGGACGATATAGCCGCAACCGCAGCAATCAAGCTCGTGAGCACCCCCGTAGCAAATATCATTCCATACGAGTATGTAGGCGTGGGCACATCAGTAGCAGCGACAAAACACCCAACGACTTGTCCATGTGTTGTTTGTAGGGTTAGCTGGACCTGGATTGCGACCATGGGCTGTATGGTGGTTGCGATTGGGAATGACGTGGAGAGGCCAAATGAGGATCCATTGCCTGCGGGACAGAAGGCAATGTTGCAGATTGTGTAGTTTGAGGGTGCTGTTGCGAGTGTTTGGCCAAGGGATGAGACCGTGATGTAGACTATGTTGGGAATGGGATTAGAATGTGATATAATTAAATTTGGGTTGAGCTTTGAGCTGCTGGTTGTGTAGGCTAGACATGTTGACTAGATTCTGACCCACCAAGAGTCTCGTTCGAATAACTGGAAGTGGCATTGGCCGTTCCAGAGAATCCTAGTATATTTCCCGATGCTGTCTGAGTGAACGTTAGCGATGCCGCCGTCCTGTTGTATATACAGTGGTTAGTCCAATGTACGTCTAGATGCTTGCCAAACCAACTTACAGTTGGATGTCCGTGTCAGCGCAGGATGAGAGATAGGTCGTAGCGAATGCATGAGGTAGCAGCAGCAATAGCAGGGCTACAATCCGCTGCCTAAACCGCCTCATCGCAGGCCTCTAATCCCTTAATTGGTTAACTGCCAAGTTGTAAGGAAGGCTTTGTCTTTCAACCGTTTTGGGACGAGCGGTCGAAAGGAAAGAACAAAAAGTTCCATCAACAAACTCTAAAGGTTGACGAAGAAGATATATATGCAAAGCGAGGTATTACAATCGTATAAAGCAAACTACAATTCCATATCGGGACCACAGAACTCTTTGATCCCTAACAAGAATAAAAAAAGTCAGACTACTGGTCATTGAAAACAAGCTTCATGATACTTACTGGTGATGATGTTCTGGTATGCAATAGATGCAGCAGCATCTGGATACAAGTCCAAAAAGGACTGGCCAAAGTCACAGGATTTGCCTAAGGTTGAGCGTTGATTAGCAACAAAAACATCTATATGTCACTCTGAATGCATACCTATACGTGGATCTAATGGTATTGATCCCAACAATGGCAGATCGAGTTCTTCACACATCTTCTTTGCGCCACCAGTAGTAGGTGGGAAGATGACGGATTCACCACCACACTTGTTGCACACAAATCCACTCATGTTTTCAACTACACCTATAATAGGTACTCCGACCTTTCTACAAAATGCAATCTCCTTCCGCACATCTTGCAACGACACTTCTTGCGGCGTCGTGATAATAATAGCCCCATCAATGCCAGCCTCCTTCAAAAACTGCACAATCGACAAGTGCTCATCACTAGTGCCCGGCGGCGTATCAACAACCAGATAATCCAGTTCACCCCAATCAACATCCTTCAAGAACTGCTTTATAAGTCCATTCTTTTTCGGGCCTCGCCATATGACTGCGTCGTCTGGCGACCCCAACATGAATCCGATGGACATGACTGCGAGATTGTCGTGCACGTATACTGGTGACCAGCCCGAGTTTGAAGAGTGTATGGATTCACCTTCTAGACCCAGCATTTTGGGGATTGAGGGCCCGCAAATGTCTGCATCCATGACGCCGACTTGAGTAGACTCGTTCATTGATAGGGCGAAGGCTAGGTTTGTAGTGAAGGAGGATTTGCCTACACCGCCTTTTCCGGAGAGGACTAGTATGCGATGCTTTACAGAAGACATGCGATCGTTGATCAGAGGAATGGCTGGATGGTGGTATGGTTATTAGTAATGTGATAGAGAGCTTTCATATGAAGACTTGAGATAAGCTCCTGAATAGCAATACATCGTTGAATACATACCAGGATCAGGGCCCTTTGGCGTTGAAGCACATATAGATTGATTGGGACATCCAGCACAAGCATCTAGCACACAAAAGTTGATGACAATCAAAAGTTGAGCTTCAAGACAAGGCAGAGTAGCCAAATCAATGCGATAGTGAAGAACAAGATCAAAAGACATACCGGCGATTCCAGCTTGTTCAGAGTCGGGCCCTACACATACTTCATTTGCACCTTGTGGTTTCTCTGCTTCTGGTACTGGAGACATTCGTAGCTTATCTCTAGTTACTATAGACTGGTAAACAAGGCAGAGCTACAAGTATTCTCTATTCTTCTCTCTCTTTCTCCTTGAGGTAGTTCTTATTTCTAATCAACTCGTTCGTTCTCGCTTGATGCTGAATCGCTGAAAGAAAACAACCAGAAGCTGACCCACTTTCTAGTAGCCAATCCATTCTAGTAATATATTACATCACAACTAGTATATCACATCTATGGCTCGACAAGGGTACCGTATCTCTCTTTCTTCCGTAGCAAACATTTTCATATCAATTCTAACATCAACACATTCACCTAGATGGGAAGCTTCAGAGTTCCCTATAGTCTGCGACACATGTCTAGGCGACAATCCATACCTACGAATGACCAAACAGGGCTTTGGAAAAGAATGCAAGATATGTGGCAGACCATTCACCATCTTTAGATGGTTGCCTGGTGCTGGAATGAGATACAAAAAGACGGAAATATGCCAAACTTGTGCAAAAATCAAGAATGTCTGCCAGACTTGTGTATTGGATCTCGAGTTTGGTATGTACTATTGGATGGGTGGTGGTCATTTGTTGAACTAGAAGGTCGCCTTTTGTTACGACTCTCAACCACATCCAACTAACTTTTCAACGTATAGGACTGCCGGTGCAAGTGCGAGACTCGGTGCTACAAACGAATGATGATGTACCACGTTCCGATGTCAACAAGCAAGTGTTTGTCGCAAAGGCTGAAAAGGCTGTAAGTCATCCTCCTCGATCTTCCAGGTACTTTTTGTCACCAGTCAATTCTCACACTGCTTTCTACTTATAAACAGCTGGAAGGAAAAGCAGAAAGTCTGGTCGACTACGGAAAAGCAGACTCGGCAGCGAAAGAAACATTACGTCGCATGGCTAGATCCGAACCATACTACAAGAGAAACAGAGCTCATTTATGCTCATTCTATGCTAAAGGAGAATGTAAACGTGGTGATGAATGTCCGTTTAGGCATGAATTGCCAGTGCAGAATGACTTGTCCCATCAAAACATCAAGGATCGATACCATGGGAATAATGATCCTGTTGCTGCCAAAATGAGTAAGTGTTTGTCGTGATTTGTATGATGAGAGAGTCGTGGGGGAATCTGTTACGTTCGTGCGGACTGGTCGCGCAAAAACAATCCTCGCCTCCTAGTTCATTGTTACTGAAGACGGCGAGCCTCCTCTCGCTACTCAACCACCTGCTAGCCTTTTACTAACCTCATTTCCTCCTCAATCTCTACATAGTGAATCGAACAGACCGTCCATCAACTCTCACCGCTCCGGACGACCAATCCGTGACTTCAATCTTCTTGACTGGAATCGAAGAAGGCATCACGGAAAAAGATATTAGAGATCTCTTTTACGCATACGGCGAAATCAAATCTGTAGTCGTCTTGACAAAATCACATTGTGCCTTTGTCAATTACGCTACGCGAGCAGCTGCTCAATCTGCTGTAGACAAGACGTATAATAATTGTACCATCAAGGGTCATGTCTTGCGTGTTCAGTGGGGGAGACCTAAACCCCAAGGTATTTTCAGAAAGAAATGGAGTTTTGTTCTTCTCGACAACATAGTGACACGTGTATTTAACTAGGACCACGTGAAGACGCATCCTCATCATATCCGACATCTCAACAACCCTTGACGTTAGATCAGATTGGTGAATTGCCACCTGCTTTGCCAGCGCCTGGGTCTGTTGCTCCCATGTTGTACCCATCACAAGACCCAACTTCTTTAGGATCTTCGTCTAGGTCGAAATATGGTGCTGAATAAAGTTTTATAAAGAGATGATGATGTATGAAAGAAGTAGGAGAAGGGTGTGATGAGAAAGGAAGTTCGGAACATGTATTGGGTAGAGCAGTATATTTTTTATTGTAAAGACGCAAATTCCAAAATAGCAAAATCGCAATTCCACAGCAGCCATTTTTGTTGATTGCAAATGAATGCAGGGTAGAAGATTATGGATATTACTATTTCAAGACAAGTCTCTCATTTTCGCAGGATTTAACTGGATGCAAACCCGCGAATGTGGATGCAATTTTGTTTATTATCGTTTTGAACAACGTGAGAATTTAAGTAAGAGAAATCATTCGGCGAGTCGCTCAGCGGTATAGTGCGTTTTCGACTATGGAATGTTAAAAGTGAAGGTGTGGCTCGCTTCGCTCAGTGGCCTCGGACCATTGGCAACGCTGTGCCTTTCATCGACCTGATCTATCCGCAAGCCAGTGTGAAAAGAGTGAGCAGGCAGCTACGACTATACTGCAAAACAAGGACTTCCCCGGCCTCGCCTACCAAACCCTCCACACCGACAAAGCAAGCTAATAAACACTTTCTTTACAGGGAAACTTAAGTAGGTATATCTATAATCACAAATCTTACAATACACGGATCTCGTATCACTCAAACAGAATCCTCGCCATACGCGATACTCTCGCAGCATCCCCATCCTTTTTCTCACCACCAGTATTCCCACCACTACTGCTACCACCAACATTCGGTAGCGGCAGCGATTCCAACTCCTTATCATCCTTCCACCTCGCCCAATGCATACTAGACGATAGAGCAGCAAGTGGCGGTCTAGATTCAAACACACTTGGTTTTTGACCTATTCTACGAAACGCAACAATATAATCGTCACTATCGTCACCAGTAGTTGTACCTTCTTCTTCCATCTCGTCGTTATCTAAATCGTCCAGCTGGTTGTACTCTTCTTCTTGATTACCAAGTCCAATATCGACATCGTCAAACGCTTCAGTTGGATCAGATTCACTTTCAACATCGTTATCATCATCATCAATAGTTGATGGGATACGTGGTGATGGCATGCGACCTAGTGCTACATCGGTCTGCTGTCTGAGTTGATGTAGCTGTTCTAGGATGTTTGCAGTCGCGACATGAGCGTCTTCTTCTTCGTCCTGTTCTCCTTCGGCGTCGTCGACAGACAACCGTCGTGGAGGTTCTATATTGGTAGCAGATCTATCTGCCCAGCCAGACAATACAGAGAGCTAGCCCCCCAAAAAAGGACATTAAAATGTGTGAGCAAGCTTCAAGCCTTCAAACAGCATATACAACAATACATACCTCATCCAACTCAAAAACTTCAACACCATGTCGTTCAGGACTAACTCCAGAATCCTTTAAGTTGGACGACGACAATGACGCAAGTTTAGAATTCACAATCGGCGTATCACGTCCAAACCGGGAAGTTGTAAACCATTCCGGTGATTGTGGTGTCCGTGGTCTAGATACCTCTCGAGAAGCTTGTATGGGAGATGCACCGGTAGAGACAGCAGGAATATATCTACTTGTCGGCGACAATGCAGGCGACAACGACACTACATTCCTAGACGGTGATTTCGGCCGTGGGGGAATCGGACTAGATGCTTGCATAGATGCTGACGTTGGTCTAGGTGGCATTGATTGAGCCATTGGTTTGAGCAGCAAGAGATTATGATGATGGTGTCTCCAAGAGCCGCTAGTTGGGGATGTGGAGCGCGGACGAGGTGGTAGATTTATCGGTGACTGTGGTGTAAATGTAGATGGAGTTTGTGGTCTGGGAGGTAATATAACTGGAGCTTTCAACAGTTTTGGTGTTGTTGGTCTAGGTGATTTGTTATGAGTAATTGGTGTCTTTGATCGTGGTGCTATACTACTAGACGGTGTTTTGGGTCTAGGTGGCAAATCAACAGCGGGAGTTACTGGTCTAGGTGGCAAATCAACAGCTGGCGTTATCGGTCTAGGTGGTAAGTCAACAGTAGGAGTTATCGGTCTGTCAACGATTGGAGTCTTTGGCCTAGGTGGAATCACCATCCCATCATCATAAACTTCTTGTGGCGTCTTTGGCCGATGCCTGACTTCATTTGGTAGACACAACACTTCAGGAGCACCAGGCAATGCCACAAATTCAGTGACATTAGGCTGCTGTACTACATTTTTACCAACAGCTACTGACTCCTTCGGTTCAGTTCCCAACCGCTGTCGAATCCTCCTCCCAACCTCTTCAACACCATCTAACGCCTTCCTCAGCCCACCACGAGGATCTTGATCAGTTTTAACTACATCTGTCGGAAGCACAACAGCAGAAGTCCCCGAAACTTCAACTCGTTTATGTTCCCAAGCAGATCCATTCCACACCCACGTATCGACCGTCTGACTATTGCCACTATCTACTTGTCCAGCAGAAGCAGCAGCGGCAGCCGCCACGGTGCCTTTATCACCATTCTGGCGATCCGGCGACGGCACAATAACAGTAACACCTTTAGTAGGCAGTAAAACCGGCGGCGTGTTGCGATCAGGCGATACTAGTACGTCATCACGTCTAGACGGTGATCCACCAAGCTCTTTCATCAACACTGTCAAATCCTCACTTGGTCGAACACGTACGAGCAATTCACCACACGTTGTCCCATTCACGTCTTCTTGCCGCTGAATAGCATACCATCCATGTAATTCACGTACACCGCTAACAAGAGCACTTAGATCAACCCGTGCAGTTCCAATCTTGATTGCATCATCATCTGCCGTTGATATACGGTTTGTCTTTATACTATGCCACACATGCACATCAAGTACACTACGTGGCGTACCACGTAAAGCAGACAGCGCATTCAACGTCCTTTCCGCATACACTACAAAATCAACTTCCCAGATCGGACTGCCACCTGGTCGTGCTATGGGAGTCTTGAACGTCTGCTGTCCTACAGATACACCCTGTTGCTGCGGCCACGTAAACGTCACATACACATGCGGAGCAGACATCTGCGTCGTCCCCGGATCAGCAAACGGTGATTCGACAGATAACAGATCGGGCACTGCCGGGATATGCTGTGCACGGAATATAGATACATGGATTGGTACAGTAGCCACTGGATTAACTATTACGGGCACGGGCTTAACAGCCATTGGATGTGGAGCCGGTATCGGTTGCGGTATAGGAGAAGTCAATCCAAACACATTATTCATCACTACAGGTTTCAATGCTTGCAACTCAACATGTAGATCAAGTTGCGCACCACCTAAATTGGCTTTTTGAGGATGTATTAGCATGGCATCCTGATCTAGTTTAGCGACTGTAGTCTCTACACTATTCGAGCGTCGTCGTGCACGTCGTAATGAGTCGACCATAGACGTCCAATCAACAACGGCAGACCCAACAATTTCTGAGTCTTTTGGAGTACCAGCAGGCTGACTCCACACCTCAACATCCAACAATTGTAATTCAGTTGGATTAACTTCAACGTCCAAAAACCCATGATACCCCAAATCAAGCGGCGAAGATCGGTCTGATATATAATGTATCGCAGATTCCTGCCATGCTCCGACATGGTGTGGTCGCCAGCGCAACCAGATCCCCTCTTCAACAGGATCCAAGATACTGTTCTGGCTAGTACGCATCCAATCCAAGACATCAACTTCCCGATTCGGCAATATTATTTCACCAATCTGTAGTTTTAGACGTGCTCTTAAATCTGTTTGTTCGCTAGACGGTGTTCCAACCAGCCCACCCATAACTTGATCTTCTAGATTGGGCGCTTTAACAGATACCTGCACGGCTGCCGGAGTGCTACCACCAGACGCATCAATCACTGGCAGCCAAACTTGCGAGATCCCATATGATCTCGTAAGCACATTCACCAACGGGACAGAGAATGTACCAAGCAAAACATCCGTTTCCAGTGTCCCAGACATATGATGCCGTATCTCACCATAAAGCTCACCACCCTTCATAATCCACTCTCCGATATCATAATCTAGTCCCTTCAACCCAACAATTACAGTTTGTTCATAGTCTGGCGTAAACGTTGACGCCAGAGTCCGGGTTCGTATTAAAGTGGTGGCATCATCTAGAGCATCGTTATGTCGTGGTCGATTATCGGGTGCGAATACATACATCGCTACGTATGGACTTGCTCCAACTTCCAAGGCATGATCTAATGGTCCGTAGGTGCCTTGAGAAGTTTGTGATGCTGCAGATGCTACTAGTGGTTTGAGTCCACAAGCTCGATGTACGGTTACTTCAAGACTAATTTCGGCACTATTGCTCTTGAGCTTAGCTGCGTCCGCGGCTTTCTTCGCCTCTTCAACTCTAGACGCTTCAGCAGCCTGATTTTTTCGCGCCTTGGCCTCCCGCTTCTCGGCAAGCCGTGCCTTATACCCCTCATTATCATCATCAAGTCCCTTCCTAACTCTACATATCTCAGCCCAAGATCCAAATGCCAAAAAGGATTTAACCCATCCTTTCCCACTTCCCGTGAATGGATCAATCAGAGCATACTCTGCATCAGGCACCATTACAGCTTCTTGTGATGAATTGTTGGGACCAAGAAGACGTGCTTCTGCGGCAGCCAAGAGTGCATGTAGTGGGAGTTTGACTAGTCCTAATAATCGTGGTCCTTCATCATGTGCTGTTTCCATAGCCCATACTTCGAGTATCAGTGGCTTGTTGTAATGTTTTGAGAAGAATTCTGGTGTGGCCGCGACTGGCACCGTATAAACAAATCTGACGGTATAAGATGTGAGATTTTGCGACGAGCAAAAAGTAATCGGCTACAGCATGTTAATTGACGGTTACTCACGCAAAATCAGTAGGCTCTCCAACCTTTCCAGTGCTTAAATCAAACGGCGCCCGATACTGAACAGGTGCACTCTCAATAGGTGGACCTGGCGTAAACAGTCTGACAGATACAGAAAGTAATGTCGTGCTCCCAGGAACAGGTGGCAAGACAGCCAAAGCACGTGCAGTGCTGACACGGAAATAAAAGTATTGTGGTGGTGGTGGTAATACTATAGCAGGCGATATCGGTGGTGCAGCTATACTGGCGTTTTCGATACTAGCGGCTGGTTGTTGGCGTGGACTAGAGGGTGGGGGCGTAGTGGCAGCAAACGTAACGGCTGGTTTTGGATTAGAATTATAACTAGAATGCCCAACAAACTCTTCCACTAGCGACACGTCCAGAATCATATCGCCAATTTCACGTCTGGCTCGTACTGCCTTTTTACCACTTCCTCCTACTACTGCAGCTGAATCACTAATATCAGTCCATATCTTGACCGGACCACTCCATCTATTCCTCATAGCCTCCAAAACAACTTTACCAGCAATCAACCCGGTACCAGACCACACACGTCGCGTTCTCTTTATTTCAGAAGCTCGAGAAAACGATTGTGAAGCTTCGAGTTTGAGTTGTAACGGCCTTGCCATCCATGTCTTGATACTCGTTTCATCAAACCGGATGGGTAGTTTCAGAGTGCGATCAAACAATACAGTTACAGGTGTTGGTGGCTTAGCGTTAATAGCGGTGGAGGGTCTGTATGATCCTAACCGTGGCGGAGCAGGTGCAGTTACCATATTGTCATCATTTGGAGGTAGTAATACAGTTGGCGGCGTAGATGATGGCAGAGTTACATTTATATTATAGTGGGTAGTCAACGGTGACAAGACAGACGGTAACAATTCAAGCCTGGCGATATGAATCACGGCCGTTGTTACTCGACCCAACGAAGTCAATGTATCTATCGACAACGGTATACCACTATGTATCGGCGGCTCCTGTGGCTGCACTTGCGCTACCGGCTTTGCCACAACCTCCTTGGCTAGCTGTTTAGGCGTAATATCATCCTCACTATACAAATCATCAAGATCCAGTCCTTGCAACACTTCCTCATCGTCCTCATCATCACGATCTTCTATACTCCCGTCATGAATATCAACCATATCGTTCGACCGAGAGTTTAATAGCCGGCGATCAAGCAGTGACCGTCCGGCACGTGAATTTATTGCTTCTATGATGACGTCGTCTTCGACATCAAGTGGATCTGATGATGTGTAATCGTCACTTTCTTGATACGATTCTATTTCAAAGTCACGTTGGACGGAGTCTGTAGTGGTGTTTCCCGCTGCTACAAGATCGACAGATGTGTCTAGATCAGGTAATTGTGGAAGCTGTATATCGCTCAGTGATGAATCCTTCATGAAACCTAAATGTGAGGCGAGAGTTTTAGCAAAAAAAACGCAATTTCACGGAAAGTTGATTCGGGACATACTATCCAGCTTCTCCGCATCCACAACCCCACTTGCAGGCGTATCCATCCTCGTAACTTCAACTTTAGAAGCATTCACTAAAGGCGGTTGCCTTGACTCAACGACCATATCCGCCAAATCCATTTCCTGACGTGGAGCCACCTGCGGCAAGCTATGACTACTACTACCAGCGCTAATCATCGAACCCGACACAGCCTCCAACGAAACAACAACGTGCAACTCTCCCAACTTTCTGCCCAGCGTCTGTATCTCTCCCGACGGACTCTGCTGCACCGACATAACAGGAAAGAACCCATTGATGCCATCATGTTCCGACTCTTCACAAAGCGAATTCAAGGTCTTGATACTAGCAATCCCAACAACACGTCCACCAGTCACGATCTGTAGTTTCAAGCTCCCCATATCTTTTAAGTATTGAGCGAATTGTTTCTTTCCACACCGTACAGCGTATTTTATGGTATCTTTTGCGACTGCTGTACTCGGTGGTGGTGGTGTAGCAACACTATTCCCATGTATCCTGGATTGAAGTATGGGCAATGACGATGGCCGTGGCGATTTCACGACACCGGCGCCAGTGATTGACGGCTGTAATACGACACCAGGTGGATCTTCACCCCACCATGATACTCGTACACGTGCGGAAGGCAGCAATATGTTTTGTTGTGATTGATTGTTACTGCGAGATGGGGATGGTGGATCAGTCCATACGAGTTTGTCAGTGCATAAGTGCAGGATGGATTTAATTGGACCTGTAAGTTTGGGTGGGAGCGAGTTTGCAGATAAATTCATGGTTCCTTCCTACATGTTAATTTCAACAAGGTTAGATCTGTTTGAAAACATTGAGAAATCCAATAGCTGGCAATAGTGAATGTACAGTCTACGTGTTGCTCACTGCTTGTTTTACAAGATATTCTATCTGTTCCAGGCTCTAATTGCCTTGTTCTCTCTCTGAGCTTTGATCTGGTGTTTTTCCTCACCTGCAACAAAACAAGACAAAACAATCCAAGAATTTTGCATCAAGGACCGGTCAAGCTGCTAAATGTACGGGTATTCACGGTAGTTTTTCACAATATGAACGAATATATTCACTTTATTCTCCACAAATAAGATGTGGCCAAGTCGCGGAACTGCTCATCCGTGTCTTCATTTTGCAGCAATGCCAGTCCCAACGTGCGAAACTCCAAGCGAAATGCTAACTCACGGACCTCTATAGCAGATCTACGTATTCAAAAACTTGGGACTCTTCTGTTTACGTGAGAAAGACTTTGTCACAAAAGCGAAAAAGATTGGTTATGTGTGTGGTTGAAGGAAAAGACACCGTCAACTACCAATCGCTATACAAAATCTAACAAAAGGCATACCTATTAGATCCATAAACCACATTCCGAAGGTATGCAACTTGTTGTGGCCGACACGCTGCCATGTAACATCACTCCCTTGCACAGTTCGCTCACTTTTTTTACCCCCAACCTTGGTACATCAGGCCTACCAGAAGACGATCCACTCTCTCTCTCTCTCATCATACCGGTCGTAGGAGGCCTCGTCGCCCATACAGTCACAAAATCTACTCTAGCTGGGTTTGAAAACACAGAATGGCTGCCCCAAAAGCCTGCCCCAAATACACTGGCAGTAACAGCGACCTAGCCTTCTGCATAATATCCCCGCTCTCTACGACACCCGACTGTCTCAACCCTCCCGACAACCGCTGCAATCCCCTCTGCACTCGCAGTGCCTACTGCATGTCCTCCGACGCAAGCTACTGCATATCCCGTATAGAACAAACAAACGGACGTAACGGCGGTGGATTCTATTATAGTGTATACGACTACACGGAGTCATTCAACACCACATCGTGGGTGGCTAATACGACGACACAAGTCAATGGATGTAATCTAGTGTCGAATGTGAATGTGACGTGTAGCGTGGATAATAGTACGGATGTCGCTAGGAATATATGTACGCTGCCATCTATAGGAGCCTTGTTTGGGAGCCCTGTTGGTTTAAATGCTAGTTTCGTGCCATCGCCGTTTGTGCCTCCGACACCGTCTATAAGTATTGCCAATCCACGAGCACCTGAATTAAACACTCCGTCTGACGGATGGAGTCCAACTGTAATTGTGATACTGGTCCCGCTTATATTCATGTCGATTCTGGCTCCATGTAAGCGTGTTGCATTCTATCGTTGAAACAACAGTCGTGGAATGCATCTGACTTTTGTTTCACTCACATCTTCATCATCCCACCAGTCATGATATTCAGACTCTCGGCCCGCTTCCAATGGAAGATCACAACCACATACCACACACCTGCAGAGATAAAGACATCCCAAAAAGTCCTCAACTCTGAAAATCCAACTCTCAAACCACCACGATCTACATCCCTCTCCCCATCACCAACACACTGGTTCACCAACATCCATATCCCAGCCCTCCCGTCCCTCACATCAATCCGTAAATCCCTTAAAAGCAACTCACTACTAGCATATACACCATGGTACAAACCCCTCCCGACAACCACAACAGAAACCACTCCAGCAGTAGTATACGAAACATATGGAATAGTATACGCGGATAAACCACCAGATTATGAGGTATCGTTATTGAATTTTAGGAGTTCGAGGAATCAAAGAATGAGTGGGATGGCTGGCCCATCATCACCTACATCACCAGGAGCGGCTGGACTGCCGAGATCGCCTGTAGCAGGACCGATATCATTAGCGGTTGCTGAGATAACTGAGGAGGTGCCTGCTGTTGCTAATCGTGGTAGAGCTATACCGCAGGTTGTGGCGCCGATAGCACAGGGTGTAAATAGACAAGCGATATTGGAGGTTATGGAGGGTGTTAGTAGGATTGCGAGGCATATCACCCTTCTGTAAGCGGGGATTTTATATACGTGTTCTCCAACACAAAAAATTGTATATCTATTGAAGGACACTCTAGCAATAATATAAACGACCTCACATACTCTCTCAAAACCGTAATCATCTGAAATCGAATTCGAACTTCGTAACACAGCGCTACACTACACAGCAATGGTTTTTTTCACGATTTTTTTATATTTTCGATTTACAAACGACCAGTAGAAGCATCCAAGTTCAAGAACCAACTACTGAGAATATATAAGATTTTCACACATTTTCCTTTCAACAAACACCCACATCATCCCCCCTCTCAAATCCACCGATTCAATTTCAATTTTAAAAACCCCTTTCACACTCTCTCTATACAATCCTGTAAGACCATGGTCTCCATGCTATGCTATTATTTAGAGAGCAGTTGGTGGATCGTTATACAGCAATCGGTTTTCGTTTTCAGTCCAAGTGGGTAGTCCTTGGACAACACCACGAGTAGTGATTTCTATAATAGCATCCTTCAATGCACGTGGACCCATTTCAGCGTATTTAGCTTCACCCAATAGCAAGGCTGCCACTCCTGCAACATGCGGTGAGGCCATACTAAATGAGGGGTTAGCTTTGATGTTCATTGGCTATTGGCTTCACCTCAAGCCAAAACAATTGCAAAAAAACAAATTCGAATTTTACCTGGTACCTATGGAAACGTGGCATAAACAGTGTTAGCAACATATTCCATTCCATTAGATAGCATTACAATAAAATGCTTTCATCACTTTACACATACCAGAAATAGTGTTTGTAGCAGTGTTGGATCCAATCCATGCAGATTCAATATCTTTACCAGGAGCAAAGACATCAACACAGGATCCGTGGTTGGAGAAGTAGGCCATAAAGTCATTGGAAGAAGTAGCACCGACAGTTATAGCATTCTTGGATGCAGCTGGAGAGTAGTTGCAGGCATCTTGCCCATCGTTACCAGCAGCTACAGCAAACAAGACACCACCTTCTACAGCTTTATCAACAGCTAAATCCAAGGCACGAGATCGACCACCACCCAATGACATGTTGGCTACAGAGCGGACCTTCTTCTTGGGATCTTTGGGTTCCTTTGGATCCTTGGGATCTTTGGGTTCCTTTGGCTCCTTGGGTTCTTTGGGCTTTTTGGGATCTTTGGGATCTTCTGGGTAAGGGAATTTACCGAATTTGCTCTTGGGTTTGACTTGCTCATCCTTTGAGTCATCAGAGTCTTCCATTGCAGCTACTTCCTTCTTGTGAGCAGAGACGGCCCATTCAATACCCTTGATTACGTCAGACAATGAACCAGATCCATTGGATCGCAATACCTGAGAGGATGATATGATAATTTAGCGATACGTTAGGTAATTGTTAGAGAAAGAACATTAGATTTAGATCTCGACCAAACTTCACGACACATACCTTGACGGCAACAATCTTTGCCTTCTTCGCAACTCCATATTTAGAACCAGCGACAGTACCAGCGACATGAGTACCGTGACCATTTCCATCGACATCAGGATCACCCTCAGGAATGGTAGCACCCCAAACGGCACGACCACCAAAATCAACGTGTTTGATATTGACACCAGTGTCTACAATGTATGCAGTGACACCTTCACCAGCGGCATGGTCATAGAGATAATCCATGGCTTCAGATGCTAGGGCCTTGTGAGAGATACGAGCCAAGCCCCTAAAACGTGCGCAGTGGACGATTAGAAATTTCGAGAAGGGAGTCGACAGACAATGGATCAGAGGTAGGGAATTGATGGTCAATAGATGGTTTATGTGGTCTAGAGCGCATACCATGGAGCATTGTGTTCGACATCAAGAGCATATACCATTTGGTCACGTTCTACAAACTTGACCTGTGTGAGGAGAGACATGGGAACGAAGGATTAGTCAATTGCATAATGATGGTGGAATAAATATGAATATAACGAGAGATTGTGTGTGCATCATTCCACACTCTTATCCATCCTTATCGTCCATGAATATTAACCCCATTTCAATCATCCAAACAAAACATCCGACGTTACGACCAACAATTACCTCAGGAGAAGATCGAATAGTCTCGACGAGCTCCTCATCGAATATACCCGAGTAACCCTTATAAGATCCATCGTCGATAGAGTAGACATGCTTAAGCGAGTTGATTTCAATGCCACGAGTTAACTGAGCGGTCAGGAATGAGTTAAACCATAACAAGTGGTCGTCCAGCTCAGCGTCCTCCTTAAGCACGACGATATATGAGTTTGGTATTATGTTTGCATTGGCAGCCGACAAGAGAGGGGCTGCCTCGGACTGCCCTTGACGATGAGGTTGGGTTCGTAGCAGATTGTCGGATGGGAGTCGAGCTGCTGTGGCTACTGCGACTAGTAGAGCGATTACGGTTCCTATGCGAGTCATGTTTGATATGAGAGAGTATTAAGCCTCCCCTTCTCTGTTTCTTATCTGTTGCCGTCTGTTGTGGGAAGATTGGATGATATGACGAATCACGAGTGACTCTATCACGAGGACACAATTTGTTTGCAACAATGCTGCAAAGCGGATCATTTGGTACCTGGTATATTCGCAATCCACTACGCGTCAAAAGGATCCTTCGATCTACTCTACTAGCTCTGGCTCTCCGGCATTACAGACTGCAAACATTTGTTGGCCTCGCGAAGCAAATAAAGACGGCCAAGACGCGTCTTTTAAATGGAAATTGGTATATTATTGTACCTACAAATATAGCGTCGCCTTGATCTCTCTTCTCATATGAAACGATTCGAACCTGTCTGGTTGATGACGCGTCAAGGACAGTCCAAACTTTCAAGTTCGGAGTAATTATACTAGTAATTGTATTAGTATTTGGTATTTAATTGTATGAGGTATCACAGTTTTAGACTAAATAACACGTTACAGATACATTACGAAATCGTCTTTTCCAAAATTTCCAGCTTTGCTAGTGCATTGTGTGTTCGTATTTGTATAGATCCTTCCAGAGAATACTTGCGAGATCCAGCACGCCATCCACTACTATCCTCATCATCAGCAAAACCTCCATTCAACGCAGCCTGGAACTCAATCCGAGCCTTCCCATAATCGCCCATCCGCATAGCCAACCGACCATGTTCATACCTAGAGAATGGCAATATATAGTGATCTAGATGAATCCTGGGTGCAACCACTTTGATAAAGTCTAGTGCTCTAGCAGCGTCCTTCAAATCATTCACTTGTTCAGTGTTTGGACGCAGTTTGGCTTCTTCGACCATGGGTATCAATGTCACGCTAGTTGGCATGGCTAGTTCTCTCATTACAACACCTTTGAAGAAGCGGGCTAGACATAAATCATCAAAGTATGTTTCGTATGGTGGTTTATCTTGGTCGGCGGATGGTGGGAGTTGGCTGTCGAGTTTCCTGAGTGCGTCGTTGATTAGATCTAGAGCTTGGTACAAATGTTCTTTGGGCATGAAGTCAAAGCCATTCCAAATGTAGAGGCATTCTAATCCGGGAAGGAGGAGACGACCGCCTTGGAGAGTCCATTTGCGGGATTTACGGGCAAAGAACTTCTCGACCTAGTGCACCAAAAAAGTAAGCTATGATGTCGATAACCTATACAAATCAAGTCTTGCGTTTGCTAGTTCTTACCGGAATAGATTTTCCAGCCACCTTCTTCGTCAATTTGGCAATCTCCTTCATCATGGTATCGACCTGAGTCTTGTACTTTTCTGCGTCAGCCTGATACATACAAGCAGCCTGCTGGAATCTATATACTGCTTTACTCCATTTATTCACGGCATACAAGTGGGCATAGCAGTTCGCTGCTCCAGACCAATCTAGCATGATTGCTTTGGCAATGCCCATTTCCCTACAAGAAGTTGCTATGTTATTTATCGCTCAGCTTTACCATTCTTGTTTGCTATATCATACCAGTATGTGATATCAATAAGCTGCTTCCACTCTGCTCCATATTGTTGTACTTGTTCCAATCTCGACGCGGTAATAGCAGGACGAGCAAGGATTTTTTCGTACAATCCCGATAGCAACAAGAATATAAAAGACGTTGGATGCTTCTGTAGCTGCGCGTCCAGAATCTCCCTTGCGAACGCCAAATCAATATCGGGTAATGGCAGCAATGCAGGTATAAGCACATGATATGCTAACAGATTCAAATCACATATAAACTTTCTAATTCCACCTGAAGTCGACGTGGCAACCTTTGGGATCTTGAATATCGTCTGACGACGTCCCGACGATGCAGCCTTACTAGCCTTACGTCCACTAGTACCCTTTATCGACCGATCATGCACAGGCCATCCACCACCAATTTCGAGACGAGAAATAGCAAATTCTCGGTCGCCAGTGAATCCAATCATCTCAAATATTCGTAATATTCGTCCGGGTAGTAACGAGAATATCATTTCAAACATTCCAACACCGTGCAACACTCCAGTCAGGAAATGCTCATCTACACCGGCTTGTGCTAGTGCAGCGTCAGCGTCTTTTCCTGACGTTTCGGCTTCTTCGAGCACGTTTTCGACAAAACGGTAACAGGCTTGGAAGATCCCGTATGCGTTTTTTATATGGAGGCCTTCACGGACCAGGGCGACCATTGATGAGTCGCTGAGAATTGATAGGAGAGCTTTGAGGAGATAAGCCTCTGCAACTATGAGAGAAGTATGGGTGAACGCGTAAATAAGACGGTCACAAAAATACGCAAACCACACCGCGGAACAGAACAAACTACGGTTCAACCTACAATTAAGTTCCGCATGCTTTTGCAAACGAGTTAGACCAGCTATCCTCGAAGCTTCCTTGTCCAGACCTCCCACCATACTAGACATTTGTGACAGGATTGACTGCTTTGCTCGAATCTGTGAGCTGATATACACAGACGCTTTCAGAGACTTGAATGCCTTGTCCAAGTCAGCTGGTTCGAATGTCATTAAAGACTATTTTGTCAAAGGTGTGGTTAGAAAATCTGGTGGCACACATGACAACCTGAGTCGTGTATACGTGCCTTCAAGACAGAGATAATGGCATAAGCATGTGTGCAGTACATGCTACTTAAATATTTAGCCAGAAATAATGATTCTGCATCGTCAAATCTCGAATCTAGGTTTGATTGTTTTAAAATAACGTGTTCAGGCACAAAAGTGCCACAAGTAGATGCACTCACTGAGAAAGTATTCAGTCCCCAACTCGACATCCCTGATATCATTATCCAGCGTCTCATCAGCGTTTTCAAGCAGAGCCTTGATAGCCTTCTTGTCAAAGGAAGGCAAATCCTTTGCAAAGTCTTCAGATGCCATCGAACTGACAGTCGACAATCGCTTATGAGGAATATGCGGGAAGGGGTCATCTACGTTTAATGTGGGACTGGAGTTCGGAGAATCTTGTGCGTCTTCGAATTGGTCGAGATCATTGTCTTCGTCGTCAGACATTTTAGCAGCTGGGTGTTTTTTACGTTGATTGAAGGTGTTGTAGCGGTCAAAGGTCAAACGTTGGGTCAATAGTGGCCTTGTGAGCACAGTTCGACACAATTCCTGTACTTTCTTCTCTCTTTCAGATGATACCGAACGTTCAAGGGGTGAAGCCTGCGAAAGGTGTGAAGGTTGCCAATTCTCCGGGAAAACGCAGCAAATCACGCAGTTAGGATTAGAATTTTCCAAAGCCTGCAATTTTGATAGTATTGTAATCTACATTTTGGGAAGTCTCTTTTACTAGCCATCGCTACGTGAAGGCTCTTAATAATTCTGAAAACCAAAGACACGCGGCAAACTTTTGGAATTGTTGCGTTTTTGTCACAAACACCTTCGAAACAACCACACAATTCAATATGACTTATTATCTTATTATCAGCAAAAAACGTATGTTAGCCTGTTTGTAATTACAAAAAACGAGCTGTTATTGTTTGCAACGACATAGGTGAAACGAGGGTTCCACGACTATAACTTGTAAACGAGCTCATGAGACTCTTGCATCAATATTCCAAAACACGAAATAAATCTTAAACGACCTACAATCAAAAAATTTACAGCTAAAAGAACCATAATCAATACCTACTCCTTCTCACCAAAACAGCACAAATCACTGTTTTCAACGCTGTTTTCAACGCGGTTTTCAAAACATCGCATCACGTCCAAGTTTGCATCTAATCACATAAGGTCTTGAGCTTTATGAGGGTTCCATTGATTTATTGCTTTTCCTCAATTGAACAACTCCCTTAGCACGATCGGCACGAGCTTCGTTTTCTTCATAGTGCCTATTGCGGCGTAAAATGCAACTTTTGGTAATTTGGAGAGCAAAACGGCACCCGAAGACCAAGGTCTTGACTAATTATTTTATATTACGACTTTCATATAAATTATAGTATACTATGGGTGCGATGCACGCTCAAGAATCAAAGAACAATGATTGCAGAAATCATGCGAATCACAGGATGGGATTTGTCAACGTTTTTTGGCTAGTTCATCTCTTATATCATTGAACGGCTGGCCAAGATCGCTGGATGTGTAGGAGTTGCAGATGTCTCTGTCTTTGCCTCCACCTTGCGTCCAAGCCATGCTAAAATCTTGTTCCGTATTGGACGATCCATGTATATGATAAGTGAGCCTACATTAATACAGGCATCAGTCAAGGCAAGTTCTTCAAAAATGGGATATACACATACAGTCGATCAGAGGTTGCGCTGCAGTTAGCGTCATTGCGACAGCGGCAAAGTTGACGTTCATTTTCTGTCCCGTTATCAGCTCGTACAGCAGCCAAATCACTTGAGGCGTTGCAATGGTGAGTGATACGATGGTCAACAGCGAGAATTTTCTGTGACCGGTTCAAGCAATGCAATATGTTAGAGAAGGAAGCTGTCGATTCTTGCGTTGCCCTTTTAAATCGCGAAGAAAGGCTCACCTGCATATCACAACCTCTGGATCTGTCTTAGACTTCTTGATACAAGTGCTTGAGGTTGCAACAGACTGGCTGCGAGAAGCGTCAAGGTGTGATGGTTGTCTCCTGTATTGTCGTTCGGCCTCTGATTGTGTATCTTGCATTCTCTTTTTCGTCTTTCTGATATGTTGAATCACTTGAACGTAGAAGAGGAATGTCAAGGATAAGCCAATGAATATTGGGCCAACTTGAAGGACTGTCTCTGCAATCAAGTTCGGTTGTCTTGAAGACCAGTCATTAAAGCAAAAGAAGGGCGGGTTTTGCCACATCACGTCTTGGTTCACTAGAATAGATCCCAGCAAGAAAAGACCCCTGGGAATTGAATGGTGTGGGGGTGGTAATTAGAACTCTTAATGGCAGGCGTTCAATAAGATTCCCAAACTTGATGTGAACACATACCATCCCCAAGCCGAGACACAACCAAGAGCAATATAGCTTGGACTCATATTCACTCCCTTCAGTACCGTTATTCACTGTTAGTACTCCTTTCGTGACGAGATTCAGTTCAACGCTTCCCAACAGCTACCTTGACAATAATCAACCATCGGTCTAACCCAACTATAATCAAGGTAACAACATTTGCTTGCACGCAAAGCATCAACACCCCGGCATTGAAGTAGCACAATCCTTGTGACCCGCTGTTGCTGTCGATTTGTAAATACAAACAGGCGAGCGTCAACTCCATCCAAATGAAAATCGTGTGTCCAAAAGCAATGTTGAGATAGAACAAGTGTCGAGATCTCCAGATATATTTCTTTTTCAGCAATGCTGCTAGCAAAAGTCCATTCACGATAGCCGATACGACATAAAGAACCAATAGTCCCCACAGTAATGGTATCCAATGGCTCCACGGATATGGACTAGAAGTGGAGTTATCCATGGACTTGCTGGAACAGGATTAAAGAATTCCTTAAATACAGCACTACTGTTTCGGGAATGATTGGACCAGGAGGGAGTTTTACGTCAATCATAGGGGTTAAACGTTGAAGGTTGGTTCCAGGTCGGCACTCGGAATTTTTCAAGAAGAAGACAGATGTCCTTCTATCTTCAACCTTAAATTCTTGCTTGAGTTCAAGTGACATTATGTCGTTTAAAGGATTGCTGATGTCGAAGAATAGAAAGTAGGAGCTCGATTACAAATTGTGAGACATCTACTAGTCTACTACCCCCAAAATGCATACCTCACCACATTGTACACACTGGTTTCAACCCGTTCATAATTCTTGTATATATCCTGCAACTTTGCATTCAATGAATTCAGCCCAGAACACTAGGAGAGTGGTCTTGACTCGATGATGGTTTAGAAATATTAAGCTGCTTCCACGTCCGTGCAATAGAGTTCCGTAGTTTGTTTTGTCCTCTCGTTGTTTTCTACATTGCGTCCATTAAGTGGTTTGCCGAGCGAAGTTTGTTTCTTGCCCGCAAAAACACGTAAAAAGAGCCATATGAGCAACAAACTGCCCTTTTTTACAACAATGGCAGATATGCGCGCAATACAGACACCTCTTATCAGAACTTATTACCAGAGGAGGAGCAATTGACCTGATCAATCTTCTGTAAAATGTGGTTCAAGGAGCGGAGATGGACTGCATTTGAGTGATGATGAGGAACTCATTATCTCCTCCAAGCGTCAGGTATGCTTGAGTATCTAGTCTAGGCTCTGATTCTATCCAAAACTTACACCAATTTACTTTTATAGGAAACGGATTCTACGGTGAAGTCTGCACCTTTAAGACGCGAGCTTGGTCTTGTTTTTGATGATGAGGATGACGAGAAAGTGTCACTTAAACATCAGGTATTTTCGCTTCGCATGTCTCAGGTTGTTGTTTCCATACTCACCTACCTTACTTTAATGGAGTGCGGCATCCGTCGCGGTGTTTGATGCACCTACAGCTCCACCAGTGTCTGTTACCAATTTTTCTAGCTACCTTGTTGAGATGCCTTCGACATCACTAGATGCTATAAACGCTATGCCAATCGTATTTGTTATCGTCGAACTCGTTGAACACGCAGTCGCCAATAAAGTTGCACCAGTCAACAACTCAACTATATTGGAGAGATCCAATTCCTACGTCCAGTTGCTATCCTAGGCGAGCTTTCAAGACTGTCAAGACGTTCAGACGTCATATCTTCGCGATCTTCCTTGCCTAACAATGAGTCGGCGAATGCTAAGTCGTGACTAGTAAATCTTCTATCTTCGATATCATGCTGAATGTCACGTCGAGTTTGATCAAAGCTACTAGTGGCCATGTACTCAACACCAAAGCCATCTCCTCGAGACCAATCCGACCCAGGACATACGTTCTGCTCTCGCTGAATATCGGTTCCACCCGACAAGATAGTATCAAGAGTGGCTAGCTCGTCATCTGATTGAAAAAGAAGGTCCAATTGGGCATCTTCATCGTAACAATACTGTTTACAATACAATGATTGCTGCTGGTATGGATGAGACGATTTCTCGATGCCGACTTGTAGCGACATGGGTTTCGTCTTACTGGACTCTTGGACTGGTGTTGACGACTGAGGCCCAGACGATCCTTCCACCATCAGCAAGTCAGTATCCATATTACGAGGCTGCAGTGACAATGACTCTTGGATTATTGCCGATTCGAGGTCGTTACTATCTACTATATTAATAGGAGTTGGTCGTCGATCGGGGATGTTTGGTGAACATGGTTTGATGGTGGTATAATCAGAAGGTCTTATATTGAGATTTTCCGTTTGGGTTCCTCTATTTGCTCTATTCGACCGAGACCCAAACGATTCTTCAACCACCAAAACATCAGTATCCATATCACCACTAGGCTGCGATGACGAGGTCTCTTGGATTGCTGCAGATTCGAGCTGGTTATTATATACGCTATTCATACGAATTGGTCGTCTATCGAGGATGTTTGGTGAATATGGTTCGATGATGGTGTGATCAGAAGGCCCAATATTTACATTAGTTTGAATTCCTCGATTTGATCTATCCGGCTGAGGCCTGGACGATTCTTCAAACACGATCAATTCAGTATGCGTATCGTCAGACTGCGATAACCATGACTCTCGGATTATTGGGTATTCGATATCGTTACTATTTACTATATCAAAGGGAATTGGTCGTCTATCTAGGATGTTTGGTAAATATGGTTCGGTGGTGGTGTCATCAGAAGGCCTGGTATTGAGATTTTCAGTTTGAACTCGTCTAATTGACCTATCTGAATGGGACCCAGAAGATTCTTCAACCATCGACGAGTCAGTATCCGTATCATCAGACTGCGATGACGATAAGTCTTGGATTATTCGTGATTCGAGCTCGTTACTATTTACTATATTAATGGGAATTGATCGTCTATCAGTATCAGGGATTCTTGGCGAATCTGGTTCGATGGTGGTGTGATCATGCGGCCTACTACTGCGATTTGCATTTCGATTTCCTCTGCTTGATTGATCCGACTGAGTTCCAGACGATTCTTCAACCTCCAACAAATCAGCATCCGTATCCGTATCATCAGACTGCGATGATTCAGCTTCCGTATCCGTATCATCAGACTGGGATGACGATGACTCTTGGACGATTGGAGATTCGAGATCGTTACTATTTACCACATTAAAAGGAATTGAGCGTCCATCGGTATCGGGGATGTTTGGTGAATATCGTTTGATGGTGGTGTGATCAGAAGGCCTAATATTGAAATATACAGTTTGACCTCCTGGTCCTGATCTATCCATGATATCGGCCAATATTCTAAGTTTTCTTTGTCGTTTTCTTGGGCCATCAAAAGTGTCAGAAGAATCGACATCCGATGACTCTTCAGCCTTCCTTCGACGATTATTGTATTGCGATGACTGTTGAGCTGACTGTTGTGTTGACTGACTAAACTCTGTGGTATCTTCGCTAGCATCTGAATGACTATTCTGTGACAGCTCATACAGAGGATGAATACCTCGATACCGAGTAGCCAAAACTTGAGCAGTGGAGGGATCAATACCAGTATTACGTCGAGATGATGGCACACCGTCAATTCTACTTTGGTGCTGTTGGTTGCGCTCCACCCCTTGACCACTTTTCAACGCAACATCATATTGAAGTTTCAGATTCCTGTGATGTTTCATCATCTTTACGACAGCGTCCATTCGCCCAGACAGTAAGCTTCGAAGGTCATTGGACATATATTTCCGAGATTCCAAGATTTCTGCGAGCTTTAGCTGCAGTCGTTTTACTCTCGTCAGCACAAACTGATGATATTCACTAAAGTTTAGTCGAACGTTGAGAGCTGAGAAACGTTTTCCCAAGGGGCTTCTCTCATACCTCGCCACTACTAATTCTTCGTCAGAAAGCAGATGTGGATGTTCATTCAGCCGTTTGTAATCCAAGACAGTATCTTGGACTTTTAGCAATCCTTTTAAGTTGTGGGCTCTCTAAACCAAATTGTTTAAGAATCGTCTAGATTTGTTTCAAGCTGGACAATTTCGTACCGTTTTTTGTTCTACTGAGGCTAGCTCGACAGAATATTTCTTGTTGGTCATTTCCTATCAATTTAAACATGAGCATCGATCTACATAATGGAACTTGGGACCGATAATTTACTTGCCCTTTCAAGTGTTCGTCGAAGCCTTTTCAGTTTGTCTGCGAGAATACTTAGTGTTGTTCGTATGGTTGGTATCCAATTTTCATGCTCGTTTACAAAGTCATTTAACTCTTTGATGCGGTAGTTCCGATCTTCAATCTCATCAACCAAATCATCAGACCGGTGAAGTTTTGCAATAGATCTCATGGCTTTTGCAGCCACAAACTTGTGGTAAGCTCTATGGTTAAAGCAGATATTGGCGTTACATGTGGTGATGTAGCGTTTTCTCAATTCTGTGTACATACGAGAGCGACGCTGGATAGTGATTTAAGTATGGATTCATCGGGACACGGCAGTTTTTTTGCCAGAGTGCTTGATAGTCCTTTAACTCGAGCATTTAGTAGTGTTTGCAAGTGGGTCGGGCTCTGGTAAAGGGTGATTGTCAAATGCACATTGGTAATTTCAACCAAATCGGTCAAATGCTGGTAGATACCATAATGCTATCAATAGCTTTTTTGCTAATGGTCGTTTTTCCTGAGTCAATCCTTTTGATCTCCTAATCAATCCGTACGCTGGCATTGGCATAGCTGAGTAAACCTTGATCTCTCGATGCTTTCACTTACCTGGTTTACAACAACTGTCGCCTTTTCCAAGATGTTCCTAGATTTGTCATCATCATCGTTAATCTGTACGTACTCTGAAGGGCCTTCTTGTTCTGGATATCCTTGGCTCTTTGCGTTTGAAAAGCCAACGAGAGCAGACTCCGAGCTCGGAGGCAAATGATGGTGCAAGTCATAAAGTTTTCCGACTTCAAAAGCAGCAGGGTTTGAGATTCTCGAAGGACGTCGATTGACAGATCCTACGCGAATTATATTTTATCTTTTGTGTGGAAAAATCTATGTATCAATTATTCAAAGACACTTACTCGACTTCTGGGCTGCTTCCAAGCTGAGGGCGGCTTCATTGTACAAATTGAACAAGTCACGATGCCGACTTATTATTGCATTCAAATCTCTAGAGCTCGTTTTGTAACGTCGTCTCCATGTCATAGGCACTAGTTCTGGTTGTAGGTTCTTAACCCGAGTTCCATCAAAGGATGCTCGCGTTACGACCAGCGAATGATAGGCACTAAAACTTAAATATGATGAGTTCGACATTTACGACGGGACTAAGGGAAGTCTGACGGATTCACCGAAACATCTCAAGGATTTTCAAAGGTTGATGCTTGTTTGGTCGTGCCATGAGTTCCGTAGGAGAGAAGTAAAGCATCATTCTCTCTGGAAGAGCTTCCAATCTGCTCGTTATGCGATTAAACTAGTGAAAGAATTAGTATCAATCAATTTTGTTCTGGCACGTCATTTTTCTCGCATACCAAGATCTCTTTCAAAGCAGCCTCCGATAAATCAAACTGTCTTTCAAATATTCTCTAATAATCAACAAAAAGTCAGAAATCTTACGAGCCTCAAGGAAGCCAACGCTGCCTCTTACATTTTCCAATGTGTTTTGATTCCTGTTGAGGCCACGAATGATTTCATCAGCTGGAACGTTGGAATAATCTCGAGCGGCTTCAATACACTGCAAAATCAGCATGAAGCTGGAAACCAATAGTTCCAGCCACAGGAACTGATGCATCAATTTCATTTTGGTCTTTTTGACAGCTCTGTTCCTAGTATATCTAATGAAACAAGATTCCCCTTAGTTACGTGTGCATGAATTAACTGAATGTTCGCACAGGATCTACGCTGCATACCCAAGGGAAGCTTTGTTCAACAAGTTGTTGAGGAAAGTCCACAGTTTTTCGGACGCAGCACGACTCATACAGACACAAATTCTCGGACAATCTTGGATGTTTCGATCTAGATTTTAATATAGGACGCGTGAACGAATTGAAGTTGTCTCTTTGTCTGCCGACGATTCGTTCCCAGTCCCCAGATGCCGCAAAGGAAGCACTCTCGACGATCACCACTCTTTGTCATGTGCTCAGAGAGCTTCAGGATACATTTTCTATCTTCGCTACAAAATTTTATGGTTTTTATGATAGCATTACATCTATATACCCGATTGAATGTTTTCAAGAAGATAGTTGTTTTAGTTGTTTTTTCTTTGAGTCACTTCTGTCAAAGTAGTGCGGAGCGTTGACTGTCAACCATTGAGCAAAACTTTCAGTTCGGTCAAACTATATATCTTCTCGATCTCTTTTCAACATTGACTCTGTAATGCCTGTATTATGACTAGACGATCCCTGCTCCACTTCAAGTTCGTGACAGTGAATCTAGCTAGTGAAGCAAGAAATCAGCAATATGTTCCTTGAAATTGAATGAATGCGTTGGCATGCAGCTGCTGCTTACCGGACTCCCGTCTTTGCTATTGTTTGATGTCAGAAAGTGAAGAATGAATGAAAGTAAAGGGCAGGGCGAGTGGTGACTTACAACCACCACATTCGTCGTGGTAATATATGTGAGAAACGTATTGCGTGCTATAGTAGCACCGACCGCTTAATAGTATAGACCGCAAGAGCGTGATTCTGAAAATTGTCAACCCAAGAAACGAACATTCTACTCCTTTGGAGCGTAGTGTAGCCTGCTAGTAACCGAGGCAAGAAGTGATTTGAAAACGATTTACACATCGCTATTTACGCTTCTGCTTCATTGCTTCTTTGAATCGCGCAGGCAACTGCTCGCTTCATTCTGTCCTCTGTAGTCAGTCGGTAGTACTCGTTTCGTTCAGTCAGTTGTCGAGGAAAACTCTGTTTGTGCTGAACAGGTACGTTTTGCTGCAGATTCTATCTGAAAACGACATATCTGACCTGCAATATTACAGCCATCGCTTCCACAGCATGAACATGAATTGGACTGGGTGTACGAAGTTCTTTACGCTGAAGACTGGTCTCGTTATACCGTAAACCCAACACGTGCGCCACCACCACCAGTGCCACTGCCAATTGCTGACCATACTAATATTATGCTTGAGCATACAGATGAAAGGCGGTGTGCAAACGACGAATCGTTGGCAATGCCACAGTTTGATAACGACCACGTCACGTCACATTCGTCAAAGCACTTACTGGCCAAACGTCTCAGCCAAACAAACAATCGATTGTAAACGAACCCGAATATGTTGCTGATGATGATGGTCAGTTGGATATTCTACTTCTATCAAACGAAGGAGAAGTCACTATAGATGGATAGATAGCCTTGCCTCGAGTGTATCAGACATTCAGGAAGAAGAGAGATGAAAGGATGAGCTAGTAAATAATGTATTTAGTGTAGATCATACGGCTTCTACTGGCCTTGATGTATCCATTTATCAGCTCGGAGTATACGACATCTACTAGTCACAATTCTGCTGTAACAGAAACAATGTTGGGCAAAAGACTCTGAGAGGATGTAATCTTTAAACGTATGGATAGTTTGGAAAGCTCAGCGGGAACTTCAAACGCAAGACAAAGGGCGCAGGGTTCTGAGCAGTCTTGTCTCAGCATATGTAATGCTCTGTTATTGGTAGCATAGATGCCATGTAGTATGTAACATGGTTCACATTTATTTTTCACTTATGAAGAGCGAGTTACAGAAAATCAATTGTTTTCATATTGAATTCTCTTTTTCTGCGAGCGACCGGTTATAAAAACTCAGTTGTCTCCCTTCCAATGTTTGAGATTTTCGGCTTTCAGACTGAAATCACGAGTGAAGTTGATCTTAGTAGCAGATAGCATAGCATGATACACAGTCGAGGTGATACGAGGATGAGAATCTGTTCTGGTTTGGAAATGACGAGCACAATGGAATGTTTCTTAAAGAATCCTTGGCCATCCTTCTTCTCACAGCATTTACGACAAACCACCAAACATTGGAACTGGAGACTGGATAGTTCTTGTTCGTAGACGTTTATTTCCATGCAAAAGGAATCATAGGAGCTCCATACCTAGAATCAGTGCTACCAGGCTACCAAACCACATGTTATTTCTCACAGATGGAGGAGCCGCATCAGAAAATAGTTTGAGATGGGGCAAGTGTGTATGAGGCAGGATCTCAGTACAGGAATGTTGGTTTGCTGAGCATCGAGGCACCACTAATGTGGATCTCCGGCTTGACCTAGTCTTGAAGAGCAATTCGTAGGCCAAGAAACTTGTGCAGAGCCGGCGCCACGTATAGTTCTTTAAAAGTCTTGGGCCCCGCCGAACAGTTCGGCACAAACACATGAACCACCCGATGTCAACTCCAAATACACAAATAGTTTAAAACCTGAAGAGCCTTGACTTGAGAATCGTCTTGGTGGTACTTTGATCAGGGATTCTACAAAGTATCAGTGTTAGCTCTTGTAAATGAAGACGGCTAAGCGCGTCCACCAGCTCTAAAAATATGCCAGGTCCACTCTAAACCCGTGAAGAATATAGAGTAGCGTCTCGTAGGTTGCTTGGAGGTTGCAATCTTGCGTAGAATCACGTAAATCGAGCCGGACATGGTGTCTCGCCAATTTCCCAGCAGACGCCCTTGTCCGTCGTAGAAGGGGCCACGAATCTACGTGATTTTAACGTGCTGTATTAGTGCATGGATGGTAATATGGTTGATGTCAACATACCTTCATTGTTCATTAGGTTTGCTGTCGTTCGTTCTTCGTTCTTTGATACAAGTTCAAGATTAATGGCATGAGAACGTACTGGCCCATTACCTGTGTGGGAGGTGACTATTCACGGAATGCATTAAACAGGTAAGCCATTGATTCAGTCTCCTTGCCAAGAACTATCTCGGAACTAAATCTGCTTTCATACAAAACTTCCCCTCTCCATTTCTGGAAACGGCAGTCAATGTTATTAGACGAACAGAAACGAACAATAACACATTTGAATGTGCTATTATTGGGTCCTGCACACGTTGGAAAGTCCTCTTTGATACAGTCGCTGCTCTCAGGCCAACCTGCCTACTCAACATGTGCCGCTAATATTAATACTGGCAATGTCAACCAGCAACAAGGGAATAGATCAACGGCGGGAACCCGATATGGCCCATATCTGGCTCCATATGATCCAACTGTAGAAGATTCCCATATATTGCAGTATATCCTCCCTCCTGGCTCCCTCGGTTTGGGTCTTCATAGGAATGCCACATCATCCTTGCTACCTACTACACCTACTTCAACCCCCAACGACGGTCCACATAGAATCATATTGACCCTATCGGATGTCGGTGGACATCCGTACTACTCTGGAATATGGGCTTCCGCTATAGCTGCTGCTGATGCCTTCATGTTGGTCTATGATGTTGGAGACAAGAAGTCCCTGGATCGCATGTGGCCATTTATAAAAATGATTGCAGAGACTAAAGGAATTAAGCCGCAAGAGCTCGCCATCCTCATGGTCGGGAATATGGTCGATACATGTGCTACTCTCGATGAAAATAATCCTGGAAAACGAATACGCCAAGTCACTCCTAAAATGGGCCAGAGTCTCGCCGAAGTATTGGAAGTCGGATGGCGTGAAACTACTGCTAGAGCTCCGCATGCTGTTGCTTCAGCATTCAAGTCTTTGATTGCAGAATGTCAAATCCGTGTGGCAAGTCTAGCCAAATCAGCTATATCTGCCCGCAACTCTGAAATCTTCCAAGAGAAACAAAGCAACCACCACCAAGGAACGCTGCACTTACGTCGCCCGTCAGAGATGTCAGTCGCGAGCAGGATTGTAGGTAGATCCATCTCAAGCTCTCGAACATCATCGGATGTATATACCCCACTTTCACGAGATTCAATGGCATCAACAATCATGTCTCGTGATACTCTGCTTTCAAGGAGCGGGCTAGGATCATGGGGAATGAGCCATGCATCTGCTGGATCACCGTATATGGGGCAATCTGTAGTGTCGGATAGATCTTCCAATGGTGGTGGCATCGCAACATTAGGAGGCGGATCACCATCAGCACAGGCATCAATGTATGGAAGTATAGCTCCATCGCCGATAATCACGCCAAATAAAATGCTTCCTCCGATACCGAGGGAGCTTGGAACGCCACACTCTACTTCTGTAATAACAGCTTCATCAACTGCATCAGAGGCTAGTTGTATGCCATCGCCCGCTTTAGGCAATATAGTGCTGATGGACGCCCTGATATTACCACCAGCTGCACCCAACTCGATCCGATCCAAGCGAGATTTGGTGTTTGCCGAATGGAAGGCATATAAACGCAGAACAGCCCACCATATGGAATCAGTAATAGCAGAAGAAGAACAAGAAGCAGACGACACAGCATATGCAGAAGGAAGCAGTACCGAGTGGGAAGAAGAATTATCGTCTGCCTTTGAAGACAGTGGCTCGACAATCGGTGCACCGAGTCGACCATCATCATTACCTCAACCATTATATTTACATCCTCTATCACTACTACAACAAGAAAGAAGGCCTTCTCTACCCGAAAATTACACAAATACACCACCGAGATCTACATCGCTGAATCAACCGACCTCATATCATAGTTCATCGTCGTCTACAACAACAACAACAACAACAAGAAGATCGACTCGCCCTTCGCTGGAACGAATGGATTCCGGAGTGGTGCTCAGAAATAGTAGAGATTCGTCAAACAAACATATATCACTGTCGTCATCTTTATTACCACCACCAGCTCCGCCTGTAAAGAAAGTTATCGAGTCGTCGCTACAAAAGCAGTTGGATGATTTGCTGGGTGAATTGTCTGCTTTTGAGACGGAATCCGTAAGTTGCTGATTTTGGCAGTGAGTTTGCCGGGGATCCTAACAATGGTCTCTCTATAGACGCGGCTCGCTTCATGAAGGATGAAAATACTCTAACTTATTATTTGATTTGCTCTCAAACTTTATTTTTCTTGCCTCTTCTTCATCATTCTTCTAATTTGTTAAAGTCCACAGTCATTCAAGTTTAAATTTTCAGTTAAATTAAAATATAGTTCAAATTATTTCACGTTTATCAGTTATCAGATGCGTTGGTCTAGTTGGCCCATCTTTCGTCAGAGCCTCAATGGCTCATTGTGTAACAAGCAAGACAAACACACAACGATCGCTGATACTAGAGCCCATATCTCTACAATGGAGGAAGATGAACATGTCGACTACGACGATTACTATAGCGAGAGTCCCCCAGCTCATCATGATGAGCAATCAAAATCGCCATCAGGCACGTTTTTCGGCGTTTTGCTTTCCACTCTTTCGCATTCAAAACAGTTTTCTAATCATCACCTAGTAGAAACAGTCGCACCCATTGAATTACGATCCAGTGTGATGATCTACTTCACCTTCCGCCCTATATCGCCAGACCACAAGAGATTCATTACGCAAAACGAGGTAACGGACTCAATCGTCAGTGTCATCAGAATCTCTGATCCAAAGTATGTAAATCAAATCACTCGCATACCATGACGGATTTAAAGCTAATAATGCACCATTTACACTAGCGCATCACTCTCACAAATCCAGATATTATGGACTAAACGACATGGTACCATCACACTCTCTACCATACTGGCAATAACGCAAGTTTTGAATGTTCTTACCAGTGGAACGGTGCTGCAGAACTATATATTCAGTTTCAGTAAATTTGAAGGTAGAGGTGGTGAGAGGCGTGATACGAGAAAGCCATACCGGAAGGTGGAGAGTGGTCGGTCTCGACCACCATCGCGGAATCAATCATTGTATCAGCCGAGGGATACTGTGGTTGCTACACGTCCTGCTATGAGAGATGAAGAACGCAATCGGGACGAGGTAGAGAGACAAGCACTGTTGACTCTTGTTGATACGACACATAGACTTGTGAGGAGCTTGACTGAGAGGGGGAGGGCGGTACAGGGACGGCGTGTGCCTTATTAGGCGTGATCAAGCATTGATGAATAGTGGACTCATTATTGAGTAAATATAGTATATATACAGCAAGGTTGTATCACCGGTTGGACGGTGTTGCGTTACAATGAGGAAGTGAAATACATGGGGAATAGCAAGCAAGATGTGTATTGAAATGCTGAGATTGTCTGAAACTGTTGAACAGCATTGTTTAGTCAATCCAGTGTTAAAACGATGCATTTGTCCGCAAATTCAGAATTCAACGATCAGAAGCATAACACCGAGAACTAGAATAGATACATACCAAAGGCCTTTATCCTATCTTCTATTCGAGCCTAGATCTCTGTTGGTGCTGATGTTTGGAAGATGTTGATTTTATTGGCACAAAGTACAATTGACGATTGTGGATGGAAAATTGAAAAGCTGTTAAAGGTATGCAATTTTCAAAAAGACTCCCGGTCAAGTATTGTCTACACGCCAGCTACAATATGCAGATGTATTCGCCCATTTGAAAATTCGAAAATTAAACTCCATTGGACGCATTCGGACGCAGAAGCTCCTAGTAGGGCTTCCAGAGCCTTGAAACTAATTGCATGTACTAATCCTCCAATTCCCATTAGACTCCACTGCCTGAATCATCTCACAACAACCAAAATGTCATCGTCATCAACCGAGAAAAGCAGCAAACGCAGAAAGCTCACCGCCAGTCAAGACGTCAATGACACATCAAGCTTTCTCAAAGCAGCTGGAATACAGAACGACCAGCTCAGCAAAATGGATGCCAGACAGCTTGCATTACTGTCTGATCAAGAACTCGAAGGTTTGGGACTGACTTTTATGGAACGGATTCGCTACTTTTCGACACTTGAGGACTTGCTCAGGTCTGTGAATGAAGAAGTCATCCAGGTGCTGCTCGTAGCTATTTCGTCCCGCGGTTCGTTACCTTTGAGCAAACGTTTAACCTAACGCTTCAACCTTAGTGCTTGATATTTACTCACATAAACTGCCTACTACATCGCGGCAACGAAGCCAGCACGGAGTCTTCCGGCGAGTCACCATCAAGAATCACATCCTTGCTACAGCATTTTGCAACAGTCTTCAAAGACGACAAGAATATAGAATTCGAGTCGAATGCACCACTGGCTCCTATTGACACATTATGGCGTGTGCATCCTCCAAGTTATATAACGAAAATATTGACCAAGACCCCACTTGATGAAAAAGAGTTTGTGCATTTTTCGCCTGGGTATGCTGGTACCAAGGCCAGTTTCTTGTCGGCTGGATCTACGGAGGCTGTATTTAGAGCTGCTGGTGCTGTTGTGTCTGCTGTTGAATCTGTGTTTGAGGGGTATGCAGGTTCAGGTGGTAGGTTGCGGAGGGCTTCAACGGCTTTTTGTTCTGTACGGTATGTTGTGTCATCACCGAGACTGAATGGTATGCCATATAAATATTTTTTGTTAGGCCTCCTGGACACCATTGTGGGTACGAAGGAGTTGCAGATCTCGGAACCGGATTGGATTTATCTCAGGTACGTCACCCACCATTCGTCAGCACAAAATAGTATTTAACAGTCGTCCATTGGTCAGGGCTTCTGTTTTGTCAATAATGTAATGGTGGGAGCAGCCTACGCTGTAAAACGTTACGAAGCAAAAGTCGGCATCATTGATTTCGATGTCCACCATGTAAGAAAGCTATGGTCAGAATTACGCAGATTCAATATCTCAACTCATCTCAACCAAACCACAGGGAAACGGAACAGAAGATATCTTACGCCGTCTGTATCAACAAAACTCTACCGACTTCCCATACCTGTTCATCTCAACACACCAGTATGAAGTCGACGCCTCCAACGACGACAACACGTTCTTCCCCGGAACGGGATCATCCGTGCTCCCTACTGACCCTCTCCATCCTTACATTATCAACATCCCACTTCCACCAAACACGACATCAGCAACATATAGATCAAAAATAACAAAACTAGCTCTCGCACGGCTCAAAGAATTCAATCCAGACCTGATTATTATATCAGCTGGATTTGATTCCCATACAGATGATAGTGCTGGGGACTTGCTACTGAAGGATGATGACTACAAATGGATTTCGGTACAGTCGAGAAAAGTACAATCTCGAATAGTATCTGTACTTGAAGGTGGATATGATGAAGGCGATATCAGCGAGGGAGTTATTGGTGGCTTACTGCGAGGTGCTGAAAGTCATATACGTGGGCTTTGCCTTTGACGTGTGACGTGAAATTGTATTGCCAGCGAGCAGTTGGAAGCTTGTATTAATAGGAATATAGCTGTCTAGAACTGCAACAATCATTGCCAGAATGATGTAGTCTGAATGTGCAATGGCCTCTTGATCTCCGACATTTGGTGAGGAACTGATGGCCTCCCAAGGTGGCGATGAGAGGGACCTTCAACGTTTCTTACGTGGTTATACCGTTGCAGCAATCGTTTCGTGAAGGCCCCGTTTAAACCTCAAATGGGCCACAAGCTTGAAACCACAACATTGTATTGATATTGACTCACACCATGTGTACGAGATTGGACATAGGGAGGAACTTGTCGCTACGAAATGAGATCATGTTACGAAATAGATTGATGGATCTGTGCCGGCGTCTGTCAAAATTCATGGAGGGTGTCATCTACCACATACTAGCGCGATACCCTACAATCTTACCAGACGACTACAGGTATCAAGAACCGTGTTATGGGAGACGACTGGGACCAAGAAGCAGAATGCAAGAAGGGTACGCATCCGCCGGAGGTTGTCACAAGGGAATGTATTGTGAAAAGCAAATCAGGTGAAGATGTATGTAGGCTGACTGCTGCGTAGACGCAAAGAATGGACGTAAGCTCAAACGCTAACCGCCGTTACGCTACTAGGCTCTCGTAGATTCTCCAGAGCTTGATCGAACTGGAGGCCATCATCAGAGTGAACAGCGAAGAGATATCACAGGCGACAATTGGATTCTCATTAGCTCGTCAGGACCTGGTGCCTTTCAAGATCATACGTCTTCTCTTGATACCTCGTTTGTACTTGCAGGAGATACCCTCATGAATATACGTGGTGAGATCAGCAGTGGAATTAGGTCTTCTGTAAGTGCATGGTCTTGATCTCCGTCTGAATATGGTGAATTGTGAATGTTGAAATGATACCTTCATTGTATAGGATACGACAAACCAACATGGGAGGACGTATAAACAACAGTTGATTTTATCGCATATATCGTAAGTGAAGTAACTTTTGTGTGATCGCAATCATAGAATTCTTCATAACTGGTGGCAGGATTCTCGTTCATGTAATATCGTTTATCAGCAAGTAACAATACAATCACAAGAAATCATACGCCATTCAACACTTCGATTTCGTGTTATGCATTATATTGTTAGGTATTTAGAGGTATAGCATTACAATGGTAGCAGCAGCAAAATACGATAATATAATGATAAAGACACTGATACTACTATTTCACCTTCTTGAGTCCGTTTGCAGCCACAATGCCATTTACACTTCCATGCTTATGCGCATGAGATTCAGACAGTTTCTTCACCAAAGGTCCATCTCTACCTACACCCTCTTCCACACCAAGACTCTTCCCCAGCTGTTTACAATACTTGCCCCACGCCAACCACTCAAACCCAGCTACAAACACAATCATCCCTACATGCGGTATAAAGTACAGTGCCTTCCAAGCCGTTATCGAATCATCCAGTCTAAACAGTATGAATGGAATCACGATATAGTCCACCACCATGACTGTACAAAACCATCCAACCCAGTCATATATCGGTTTATACACACTCCATTTAGACGGTGACATAAACAGCGGCCGTAAATGTCTTCGAGATAGTCTCGCTACCATGGTCACAAGCGATCCACTCGCAAAGGTCAGGTAGTAGCCTGGATGAAAGCCGTGCCAAAAACTAGATGTGATGAATGTGGCAAATGTGGCTAGGAAGGCGTATTCTTTGCCAAAGGACATGAGACGCAGGTATACACTGGAGCGTAGCCAGTTTGCGGTTTTCATATTCCAGGATTCTAACAGTCCTCGCATGTTTTCGGCTAGTTCGAGGCCGTATACGTCTACGTTTCTGGCGCGGAGCCATTCGTGTTTGTTTGTTTTGGGGTTGAAGCCAGAGTATCCGAATCCTACTAGTGTGCTAGATCCATCGGTGAGAGACCAAGCTGTATAATATTTAAATCTCTGGACAAATCCAGCTACGAATACGTAAGCAAACCTTAAAATAGTCGAAAAATGAGTTAGCTTCTTCTCAACGATTGGTTGGCGCACAGTACGTTTGCTTTACTTTACAGGCAGCCAATTGGCAGCAAACTCGGGTGTCTTGGTGAACGATATCGGTACCCTCGACAAGCACGTAAGATACACAACCATATACACTATACAAACACCCAATTTTTTAAGAGTCGGCACAAGGGTGCTTGGTCGTTTGTCAAACGGTGCCTACAGATGATATGGTAGTGAGCACATAAGATCCACATAGGTCGGACGAGGTCGGACGATGTATCTCGATGTTTTTGTGCTTGTGACGCACCAATCCATGAATAAACGCCTGATAATCCCGCAATTCAATAGCAGGTCCAACCATGAAACTCGGGAAAAAGAAGAGGTAGCCCATGTATTCTAACAGGTCTGGCAGTTCTTTAATGACAAATTTCGTTTGTTCTGCAGACAGACTCTAAGGGTCAGGAGTTAAGCGTCAGAGAAAACAATCCCTGATGTCATGCGCAGAATGACTTGAGAGAAGTATACCTCCTCAGGTCGAGTTCCATCATACACAGCCCATCCAAACGAAGTGAGTTTGATGGTCAATACCATTAACGGTATAGTCTGATCAAACGTCGTTGTCTCAGAATGCAGGATTTGAGAAGACAATAAGCTATGCGTTGACAAAATTGGATGAGTAAGTTCCTCTTTCAAGAATGCTAGCCAGCACCAAAGCTAACTAGAGTCCACAGTTTCTCCATTCCGCACCACGACACTCACTTCCAGCTCAAATACCCCATATTCCCGAAGAATATCACGATGGGCACATGAATTGGCATAACGCCACTGGTGCTCTTGTAGAAATTCAATATCTGGTACGTCAACAAGCTCATGGAAATCATTTTGATGAATGTGATTTGTTCAAAGACCAATACGACTAGGAAGAAGGCTGCAACTATTGTGTATATGTGGCGCCATAGTGCTGGAGTGGATTTTGGTAGCAACAGGTAGCCCAACTAGGACAGAACGAGAGTTTAGAAATGAAGCTTGAGAAAAAACCGTCGGTTTGTTGAAAAAGGGACCGATCGCTCGTGTACATACTGCAAAAGGATAGCTTCCAAAGAGAGGAATTGCTCCAATAAATATGTCTACCGCTACGCCGGTCATGCTACTTAACTGCTGCAGGACCTCCATTTGCTTGGATGTTTTTGAAGTTTCGAAAACTCAAGTGAAACACAGACTCCTACAGCTCAAACTACTAATTGTACAATGCGAACGAAATGCCTTGCTATCTAGAACTGCCATATCACCACGTTCTACTTTGGCTGAAAGCACGTTCAGCATCAAGAACTAGATTTATTCTACATTCCAACACGTCTAGCATATAACTTACGCACCCTTCAACCCATACTTGATCCTCTCCAGCTGCTCAATCTCCATATTCACGGACTCCATGGTCCCAATCCACCACCTGGCCACACCATTCAATACAAGAGGGAGCAAATATATTCCATCTGTATTCAGAGACCACGTCCACGTGCTGAAATAGTTGAGCAGTATAGGTATCAGCCCAAGTAAGAAAGCAGCTGTCGAATATATTGTCGAGTCAGTCGTTGGGTCTTTGGATGCTCGTCGTAGTATGTATGGAACCAGCATTAGAGAGAGATGGCTTGTGAGGTTTGCGGTTATGTTGATTGTTGTGAGGTCCGAGTTGATTATTCTTATAAAGAAACTAGGTGGGGTTTGTGGTTAGTACATGGCGTGTGTGTGGTTGAGGCAAGCAGAGTTTCAGAGGACTGCACCGGAAGATACATAGCATATTACGCGGTTTTGTAATCGGGATCAGCTAGTACTCACTACATTGCAAGACCAATTGCAGCACTCGACAAGGTCAGCTAATAATAATGTGAGGATATGATGAGCGTTCGTTGTTCAGGTCTACTTGACAGATCCAACCAAAAGACGGATGAATTGTACATTATAAAGTTGATTTGATTGGTCATTGTTGGTCTTCAAGGTTGATATCAGGTCCTCTTGCTCTAATTTGCGAGAATGTGAGTTTCAACAATCACGTCAAAGTCAAACAGAAAAGAGCTTGATCCTTACGAGATTCGTCTAGCACGGCATCGTCCTTGTTGTCATCTTGATCTTCGGTCTCTTTCTTGAAAGCTCTTCGAACAGACATGTTTGAATTTGATAGTGAATGATTAAAATGCTAGTCTACAGTGAAACACCCGACAGCGACGTGTATGAGGAAGCAAATATAAATATATTCGCGTGTAGAAACAAACATAATACTATTTACTCGTGGCTTTTTACTTGGAATCCCAACAAAATGATGACAAAAAATACAAAAAAAGCACAGTGCGTGTTTCCCCCTACAGATTCCAACTATTCTACCTCTCTTACTCTCTTCTCTTCTCCTCCTTTATCGTTATATCCCTCTTATAACTGTATATAGTTCTCATCATCATGAAGAATCGATATCATCCCACACTCCTATTCCTTTTATAGCGTCTCATCATCATTCCTCGACGAATCAATAACCACAATCTCTTCCTCCTCTTCCTCAACAACCTGACTAGTACTCTTCTGCACCCACTGGTCAGCAACTTCCCCTTCGAACAGATTCGTAAACGACGGTCGGGGCGCTAGGGATGTTGACCGTGCACCTCCTGGTGTAGCGAATAGTCCTGAAGCTCTGCTAGGCGACGCTGAAGCTCTTGAAAACGCTTCTTCCAGTGCTCGCATCCACATCATGTAGTCTGTACTTGTGTCACATGAGAATTGGAGGTCTGAGCGGTTTAGATGGAGTATGAAATTACCTAGATGAGAATATGCGTGTTAACATGGGGGGACGTAATAAATGCGCTTGAGTTAGGAAATACGTACAAGCTTTCCCGACTTTAACTTCGTCGCTAATGTTGATGATTTCGGTAAAGTGTACGAATACGGGGAGGAGGGGATTTTTATCGGCTGGCAGTATAATCAGTAATGGGCAACCTATGTTTGCATGAGTTCCTGTTAGAATTGTGTTGGTGTTTTGCGACAAAAGACCTGGAAGCGGACGATTTGAGGCGCATTGCCACTGCCTCCTTCCACAGATAGACAACCACAACCAGATACTACCATTGCTACAACTAGACTTGTGGCCACTGTGCAACAGACAGAACACCTCCAAAAACACACATTCAGGGACCACTGCGCCTCCCAACTCACCCTTTACAGCAGCATATGCAATATTCCCCAGGAAAGGAATAGCCTTTGGATGACTGTCTGGTAGAAACATGCTCTTGTAGACATTCTGAATGTCTGGCACCTCCGCAGGACTAACCAACACCACATGTTTCCTCAGCGATCCACCTAATCCCCTTCTAAGTGTGAGCCCACCGGCCCGTAATTGCGGGGACTGAGTATTATATGATGGTGATTCAGCTTCGCTAGATGGTGAGACCATGCCTCCATATGTGCCAGATCGTCTTGAAGGGGTTGCTTGCGAGAACGACGAGCGTCCGTTTGAGGTTGTTGATGAGCGAACTGATATACGGGGAGACGTTGGGGTAGTGTCAGAGGCTGCCTCCACTCCTGGAGCCATGGCTATTTTTAAGTTGGTTGTTCAGTTGACTGTCTCTTTTCTTTGGACTTTTCGGTGGTTCAAGTTTCTTGCGTTCCTTTGCCGCAACGACTAGGGTGAGGTTATTCTAGGCAACGACAGGAGGAGACAGCTGGAACGTGTTAATATATATGAAAAGCAGATTCATGTGGAGATCTATATCGTGATAGTGTCACTTTTGCTAGAGCGACCGCATCAAGACGCCATGGAACACAACGCTAATAAGTGAAAACAAACCACTGTCGAAATAGTTCAAAATCCAAGTATGGAACTTGAAGCACTCTAAATATATTCCTTTAAACTTAGATCTCTATAGGTTTAACTACTGGTTTCCTGAAATGTCGCATCTGAGTTCCGGCTACCTGAGGCCTAAACGGAGAATGCGATCCATACGGTTTGGGCAAAGGCAATTCACCAACACCAGAAGAATCCGGAATGTATGCATTAGGACGTGGTTCTGCTTGTGTTCTTGTTCCATTGTATAGGAAGAAGTTGTCCTCGTCACTGAGTTTACAGCATTGGTTAGCAAACGAAGGGCAAGCAAGAAAATCATTAACACATTCCTGCCTGCAATTGCAAAACACTCACATTTCAATGCCGTCTTCCGGCCTCTTTCTATCTGCAATGGCTCGAGCATCAGCTTCACGTCTAGCCTTCACTCGTTCTGAACGGAGAATGTCTCGTTCCAATTCATCGGTTGGGGGTTCACCACGTGCTAAGCGGTCTCGAGCGCTTTGTAGTAGTGCTTCCTATCAATTCAAATCTTTTTCTAGCTTTTCTTGGCTGGACTCTACATTTCAACTAAGCCATACCTTGTCAGAAACTTCCTGTCTCAAAGCAGCAGCCTCAGCTTGCTGCATAGCCAATTCAGAAACTTTGGCCATGATAGCACGAGCTGTGTTCTTGGCTTTCTTGGTTAGATCGGATAGTTTCATGGCACCCTGAGATCCAGCTACTCGAGAATCCAATGCTTGTTGTCGTAATCTCGTTGTGAGCATAGTTACTTCTTCTAGCACGAGATCTTTTTCAAGTAAACGTTCCTGGAATCGCATGTTAAGTAAGTATCGACAGCACAAAGTAAGGATGAAACTAGTAGATAATACCTCCTTGGTAGCCAATCTCTCCTCCAACTTCCTAACACGATCAACCATCTCACTCATTGTGGGATCCCCGCCATTCAAATTCCTACACCGTCCTGCATTCTCGGGCCCTTCAACCAACTGACTCAATCTAGCACTCTCTTCCTTTGCAGCGTGCAACTCATCTTCCAGTTGTCTATACAAATCTTCAATCTCCTTCCTCTTACCACTAGCTCTTCGACCGACATCGATGCTGCGCTTCAATTCAGCAATGGCTAGGTTGTACATTGTCACCTCTTTGTCTTTCTCCGCCAACTCCATTTCGGCATCTTGCAGGATCTTGGCTTGAGTGTTGAGTTGCTCATAGAGAACACACAGTTCGTCTTCTCGTGAGACGAGTAATGTTGCGGCATCGTTACGTGCTTGACCGGCTGTTGCGAGGGATGTTCGGAGGCGGACTAGGTCTGTTTCTGCGACACTGATGAGAGAGTTGAGCGAATCGATGGAAGATAAATGTTGATCGATTTCGGCTCGGCGTTCTCGGTATTGGGCTAGGAGTTTGTTGGCTTCGTTTCGAACACCGTCTCTTGTTGCATACGCTGTTGCGTTTTCTTGCAGTTTTTTCTAATTGTTGGACGGCTTTGTATAAGTTGTTGTTTGAAAGCAGAAAAAAAGCGGTCGTAGGCTGAACGAATACTTACAGCAAGTTCCCGATCCTTGTTACCAACTTCAACTCTTAGAATTTCTATTTCACCGACAAGGATTTTGTGCTTTTCCTTCATCTCAGCAGCACGTTGTTGGGAGCCTTGTATTTGATTCAGCTATGAAAAAAATCAGTTTAGTAACAATACCGAATGTAAACGCCATAACCAGTACAAAACTTATGAATATAGCACTCACACATTTGTTTCGTTCGGTCTTGGCAACTTCATATAAAGTCGCAAATTCCTTCAGCCTAGCTGCAGCCTCAGCAGCTCTTTTAGCTGCATCTGTACATGCATCTTCAGCCACACGGGTATCTTCTCGACAACGACGGTGCTTTTTGCGAATATGTACTAATTCCCGAGCCTGAGAAGCGTCAAGACGAATGGTTAGGGGAGGGTTTTTTTATATTGATTTGAATGCTGAGCAGAAAAATCAAGCCAAAAATTGAATACTTACTTTGAGATCTCGTTCAACAGCGATCTCCTCACACTTCCTCTGAGCAGCTTCAAACTGTTCTGAAACAGCTTCAAGCTCCTCCTCTGTCCTTCTCACAGCACCCATTTCACGAACCAATAAATCAGCTTCCGTCTTTTCAATCCTCTCATTCTCCAAATACTTGTGAACACCCATATCAATCTCTCTTCTCAAATCAGTTACATTCTTTTTCAAGGATTTGGATTCTCTCTTTGCGGCAAGTAAATGGCGACTGACTTCATCATATGCTCGTTTAGCGACAGGTACTGCTTCGAGGGCATTGTTTAGTGTTATTTCAAGTCGTCTGCAGGATTTCATTTGAGAGTCCTTGTCTCGAGCGGCGCGTAGTAGGAGGTCGTGTTCTCGTTTTGCCTAAAGCGAAAAAAAGGTTGATCGAGATAACCAAGGTTGATGTGTCTTCAAACCTATTCGCTTACCTGATGAACAACATTCCTCAAAGACGCATCTAGTCGCACACGGTCTTGCTTCTGAATAGCCAATTGCTCACGAGCCATTTCATGATCTTTGAATATCTCATCACATTGTCGTTCCATTTCATGTATCTCACTTCGCCGTTGCTCGTAATCTGCATTCACTTCTAGTTTGATGTCGTCCAATTCCTGTTGACAGTTGAGACATGAGTACCATATGATAAAAAATGTGACCACATTCACATGCCTTCCGTCTCTTGGTCAACCTATCCAGGTCCTTATCTAAATTACCACCCATTGTATTTTGTTTGACGCTTTCTACTACTAGAGCAGATATAGCGTCCTTAAGGACTTCTGATTGTTTTCTAAATTCAGAAAGGAGTTTCAGACAAAAAAAATTCGACCTGGTCTCTCTGTACAGTAACATACTGCAGTCTAAATGGAATCTCAGAAGCCTTAGACAGTGCAGAAACTTGTCGTTCTTGTTCTTCAGCCAATCGTTCCTTTTCTTTTTCAACAGCCTCTAAGGTACCATCTTTTTCTTCCAAGTCCTTTTGTAATGTTTCAACTTGTTGTCGTCGTTGCATGAGCTCCAGCTAGTTGATCAGATTGTTTGTAATCAAAATATGATTTTTTTGGCATTCCTGTTTAAAATCATTGTACCTTCAATTCTTTCGTAGAAGCCAGCAACTGAGGCTCCAATAAATCAGCTTTATGCCTCCTAGCCTCCTCAATTTCATCCAACAATTCCTTCTTGTGGTTTGTGAGATCAGCCACTTCTTTGGAACTGCGATTGTGGCTGTCGTCTGCTATTTTCTCGTCATGTTGGACCTTCATGATATAAGATGTATGAGTACTACATATAGCCAAAAAAGCATTATCAAGGATGATTCATACCTTGAGCAATTCACGTCTCAAATCAGCGACTTCGCTAGCTTCAGTATATTGAGCAGACCCCGACGTGTCAATCTGTATTCGTTGCGCTTGAACAGCTTGAGACACAGCCTTCAGTTTCTTCTTGACTGATTTTTCAAAGTCTGCTGTTGCCAGTAGTGCATTGTGAAGAAGTCGAAATTGGGATTTGATGGTTTCAGTTCTGCAAAAGAAAAGAAATGTCAATACAAAAAATTCAGTTCAATATAACAAAGCACTCATAAACACTCTCACTACATACACTTCTCCTTTGACTTCTCCTTTCGAACGAGCTTCAGACAATTGTTTGAATATTGGACTAGCTTCTAAATCAAACAAGACGTAAAGGTCTCCATCGTCATCATTGGATGCTTCCGGAGCTTCTGCTGGTCGAACCTCGGATTGAGACTCTCTAGCATCCATTCTCTGTGTCCTAAGTGCAAAATGCGTCTGTTCACCCAAAAAAGTGGAAGTGTGTGATTTTCGGAGGTTTTTGCGACAAACACTTTTATAAGCGGTCACTCGACCAAATAGAGACATGATCATAGATCGTTTATTGCTGCTTCCGTGCTCTACGCGATCGAAATACGGTCTCGCTTTACGCAGAAAATCCATGGCAAAAAACAGACACGAGAAAAATGGCATTAGTTTCACGCCTTCTCGACGTTAAATGAATAGAGCATCTAGATCCAAAATATGCTAAATGCACAAGAAGCAAGCAGCTTTGTCCGCTTTGACAATCGATACCTCCTTTCGTTCGTGAAGGATGTGATCAATTGCCAACCTCATACCACCATCTCTGCTGCTAGTTTCACACTGGCAGCCTCTCTCAATTCTGACAATGAAAGAATACTCATCCTAAGTTATGAGTCTTCACCATTTTATTCACAACCCTAATCGGCTGCGAGCCGACACATAAAACATGTACATCCGTAACAAAACGCATGACAATATGATAGCCATTTAGCACCAAATCTTCCTAAACACATAACAACAAGCACCTTTTGTGTTCTGTGGTTCCTCCTTCTGTCACTCGAGCTCTAAGTGTGAAACGGGAACCAACAGAAAACAATATAAGTACCATAGTGACGTAAAATGATTGTCATTCACACACCTCTTCCATCCATTGCAAAATAAAATTAATACCAACAAACAATCATGCAACATAATTTACACACCGCCATCCCTCTTCCATCTCCCTCAACTCACTCAAATAAAACATAATCAACAACCCCATCAACCCCCTTCCGATTCCCCAGCCTCTTAACAAATCCTCCTCTCTTTGACACCCCAGAATCTCCATACTCGGCTCCACTCTTATAATTCATACCACCAAACCCTTCAAATTCCCGTTCTTCAAGCTTATCATACTTCCGTTTCAAATCGTGGCGTCGAGAATCTTCCAAGTTTGCCCAATACATCCATCCTCGACCCCCTTCTTTACCCCACACGGCTCTAGCGTTCAAGTCGGAGTCTGCTGGTGATATTGCAGGTGGCTTGACTATTAGATAGGATGGGAAGACGGTCATTGGTGCTTGGGGACCGCCTCGGCCTATAAACCCTGGACCTCGTACTGGTTGTTGTTGAGGTGGCGATGATGCTGGAGTATCTAACTGCGTTGGATTCGGGTTTGCCAGTTCTTGCTTTTCACGATATGTCATGCTCTGTTGTCGTTCCATTTCAGACATTGCAACATCAACCATAACTTCATTATCGCGAGTTTTGATTGACGATGGTAGTTGCGGTTGTGGTGTTGATTGATTGTTACTGGCACTATTCATTTTGGTTGCGAGAGCAGTTAATGCTTCTGTATACAGCTAATGAGAGAAAACATGTTGTGGTCAGTTGGCAGGTTGATGGCGCAAAAAGTCGTAGAAAAGACCTTGATACCTGCTCATGGTGCTCAGAATTCCCACGATGCCTTTCAAGAAATACCAAAACCTCGCCAAACAACCTCTTTACTTTATCCTTTTGCATCCGTGCACCATTCGTCCTCTTGGAATCATTCGGGAACAAACCATCAGGATCTTCCCAAAAGATACACAACATCTTCCACATGCTCTGACACGACTTTACAAAGCTCGCATCTACGGTTCCATCATATATGCTCCTCTTGAGCGACGCCAAGAGTCGTCCTACTTCAGTTTCAGAGTTGTCAAAGAGAACTGAATTCGTTATGGGCAGGTACCGCGTTAACAAGTCCATTTTTGTTGGTGCTATAGATGTGAATGTGGAAGGGTCGATGGATGATGGTATTATGGCGGCTGTTGGTGGTGAGAGGAATCTGAGCGGTATGGTGAATGAGAATCCAGATGGGATACTCTGGGGGCTGAACAATCTTGGATGGTGGACTGTTGATGGCGCAGTAGCGAGGACTTGTCTAACCATCTGAAGTGAACGCGATAAGATGATCAACAAGTTTGTGGTTGTTTTTTGTGGTCGGTTCTCAGAAATTACCTTCAGTCCATCATCAGAGATTCCTTTCAGCACCACTATGCGTGCCAACACGATGTGTCCTAAACAGACGAATCCATTTAAAATCGGCGGCAAAAAAGTGCAACGATACACTATCAAATACCTTCAACTTGTCGTAAGATATAATCAGGCTTCACATCTCCTACAGTTGATCCAATCTTGTTTTCCTTGGCAGCTGAAGTAAGATGCAATTCAACCACCTTGTCTGTGAGCAAAATGTTAGTCTTTAGACAAAGGGAGACCTATAAATCACGAGAAGGCTAACAAATACCTGAAGAAACAATACGCTTCAATACAAGACGAGTAACTTGTGATTCTGGATCCCTGGCTTCGTCAGGACGTACTGGTGTTATGCGACGAGGAGAGCTCGTGTGATATGCTAGAGTACAGAGGTGAGAATAAGATGGAGTGATCAGGCGGAAAAAGTGAGGTCATGGTATTGCAGGGCACCTGAGGTTTGTGGCTGCCATTTTCCAAATGTAGTACTAATCACATATTCAGCGATCGAAGAATCTTCCCATATATGTCCTATCCACAAAATATATTAGCTACACAGAAGTGATGGTCAGAAACAGCTGATATTCAGTACCTTGCGCGATGCTACTTGAGACTAGTGAACTTATTGGCCTAAAGTACATGATCATATCACTCTTCTTTGAAATCTGCGTCTCTTTTGTCTGAACAACAGCGAGTGTCAGTAATAAATGCTGCACTTGGATAAATGGATCTTATGTTATTTTCTTCGCTTACTTTTGTTGGAACCCCAGCAACACGCAACTGCACCAGCCTCAAACACCTCTGAGTCCAGTTCTCAAAAGAAGCAGCAATGTGCTCGATTGGTATACAGAGTATTGATAAGAAGACGCCATCTCGAATCTAGCCAAAAGCGGGGTCAGATTACAGCAAAAACCTACATCTCATACAAATGATTCCTTAACCAACAGAAACCCACCTTCTTATCCACAATACTAATTTGCTGCGAACTGATACATACCACATGTACATGCGTAACAGAGGCATCTCCACGCATGACATTGTCATAGCTGTTGAGCACCAAATTTATCACTCCCTGAACATCAGATACACTCTGCCCCAAAAGCACGACAACAAGCAACTTGTGTCGATCATGCTCTGTAGTTTCGCCTTCTTCCTGCGATGATTGATCTTCCAGAGATGATATCGTTTCGGCCAAGACAGCTGGAAGCAGGGTTGAACGTGTTGACGCTTTACAATGCCTGAGATTCTGAGCAATCTAGTCAGAACGCATCAGTGGGAAATCATTGAATGTATTAAAATACACGAACTTTGAGTATGAAACCTTGTCTACAGCCACATCAGCCATTGTCGTTACGTCCTGAACTTGATTGTCAGAAATGACTCGGCAAGCAATCTACGAGCAAACCGTTACCCAATAAGCAACATGTGCATCAAAACCGTAATAAATTACAATCTTACAGGCAATTCTCCTAGTTCAAATAGACTGAATGCGATGCGAGTAAATTGCACTAGACCCGAAGCAACCAACTTCCATGTTGCTTCTTCAACAGGCTGCAAGTCAATGAGGAATTGGACACGGCCTGGTGGCTGATCTGGTGACGCGGATGCGACTGACATATGATGCTACGCTTCTCTTGCAACTTGTATTATTTACATGTGTCAAGGTGTTTCGACATTGAATAATTATAGATGGAAGCGGATCTGTAACGCGTCAATCCTCGATCATCGACGCTTCAATTGAGAATCTACTTACTCGACACCTTCATCTATTCCGGAATCCACACCTCAAGTCAAGAAATTCGCGTTTCACTTTAACGATCGAACACATCCGCTCCTTGACTATCATCCTTGGCTGAACGACCTTTACCATCAAATCCCCACTCTCATAGTCAGGAAACTTACTATTAAACTCTGGCGTTCAGGCAATAAAACCAACTTTACCTGACCATGTAACAAGCAAGTTTCTTACCGAGACGTATGTGTAGCATTACACCATCTATTCTTTCTATATTTCAAAAGTATGGAAGCTGCAGTCTCTCGTCGTAGTAGTTCTCAAAGTGCTTCTTAATGGTAAGGAAACATCAGACATCGTCCAACAACCCACCTTCTGGTCAGAAGGAAGCACAGCATCCGGCTCCGCATTGGTAGCTGTACCAGATTCATAGCCTGCACTAGCACATAACAGAGTGAGATGGCATGTGTGGCTCTGTTGATATATACTGTGATTGATGTCGACACTCGACAGAACTCCAAACACTACCACATCACCTGGGACTAGACAGCCCAGCTATTATCCAGGTCATCAACAATCGTTCGTCCCAAAGGGCGACAACGGCATTTGAGTTAACTAACAACGAGAAGAGCCGTTTGTAGGATGATGTGAGGCTTAGTCTGATTTTGTCAAGTCACACAGCGACCCAAGCACCAGCAATTCGTGGTTTTCCCATACTTATAATGATGGCTTCATATGATATTGCTGCACCAAAGAAAGCATTCAACAACCGCCGTGAGCCTCCTGAGGATGCATCTTACGGCTTCATTCCATATACACAACAAGATGACAAGAAAAAGAAGAAACTGGTGGACCCACCAAGCAAAACCAAACCCAAAAACAATATTCTCACACTCTTCAACTTCATGGCAAGCCTTCATGCCATTCCAAACAGTTTCCGTACCTCTTTGCTAACTGTTGCACGTCCTTCTTAGGTCGTAATGCTATGTTTGCTAATTGTGGTGTTTTGCATTCCGTACAGCTATTTAATCGCAGGCCTGTATTTTTCCTTCTTGGAAAAGGCTCTACTCTCGCTAGTGGGACCTGCTACAGTTGACGGATTTGCTGCTGTGGTTGGAACAGCTGGTGTATCAGTCATGATTGTGTTTCTCCAAACACTGCAATACTATGTCAATGAGAGCTCAAAAGAGGGTGAGAAAAAGGATCAGGATGCGTTTCTGGAGAAATGTACGGCATTCATGGCGAGGACGACTGCTTATATGGAAGAAGATGCTCGTGATAGAAAGTGAGTTTACGCCTTCCGAACGCCTTGCCCCGTTGACTTTGGAACAGCTTGAGAGCTTCTTGCTGTGCTATTTATGAGTCAATATTTTGCTTACTCTGGATCTTACTCATATTAGGATATTGAGAACAACTCTCCAGCAAATCGCATCCCATTTATCAAACATGGACTCGAACGACCCATACCCACCACAGAAAAGGAATGGATCACATAGGCCACGTAATGATGGACAATATTATGAGCCTTCACCAGATAGAGATGAATCACAGTATTCGGATAATACGTATAATTGGCGTTGAACGCCTTGCTTTGGGGTGAAGAGTGTTGGTTTGATTGTTAATTTCTGGGACATGTGCATACATTACGTATAAATGAGCAGATTTATAGATAATTTGTTTGGCTGTTCGAGGATTGACTTGTTTATAGACAGGAATGCGTGTTTCTGCTGTATCACTCTATTTTTTTCGCAGAATCAAGCAGATCTCGTATCAACAAACTTCTTCAGGGCAGAGTGAATCCTGTCGGATCGTTAATGTAAGCGACGCCATGATCTGAAAAGTCGAAGTGTTGGTCATTCTTGACAGATTGGGTTTTGAAGATGGCCACAGTTTCGAACTCGAAACTCAAAAGATACTTACTTGACTAACGTGATGTATATGAACATACTAGATGGCTAGTGAGTTCTGCATCCTTGGATCGGGAGCGATGGGTCTGGTTTTTGCAACATCAATCGCAAGAGCTCGAATACCTGTAAAGCTTCTGTTACGCCCATCAGCACTGAAATTGTTTGATGGATCCATCACTGAAGAGCAACGACCACCACCACCTGCTCCGTTTATGCGAGAAACGTTTCGTGTTGAAGCTGAACAGGCTTCCAAACATGGGACATGTGAGTTTGTTACAGTTTGGGCATACAAAGATATGACAGGGACAGCTGACAACAGATTTTATTGCAGCTATCAGTACATTAATACTAGCTACAAAAGCTCAGCATGCACTCGAAGCACTTACATCTATAGAAGGACGACTGAATTCAGACTCTGTGGTCGTACTGGCACAGAATGGCGTGTTGGGAGTCATGGATCAACTCAAATCATATTTCCCAGCATCGAAGCTTCCTCGCTTCGTATACGGAGTCCTCAATCATGGAGGCAATCGGCCACCAAATGAACCGTTTACAGTCGAACACTCTGTTCCTCATGGCTACGCTCTTTTTGGAACTGAACGAAGTATAGACATATTGCGCGAGAAGGAAGTCGTGGCCGCTTTATCGAATATTCCAGGATTGAATGTGAAGTGGATTGATACGCCGGAAGAAGTTAGGGCTATAGTGTATAAGAAGTTATTGCTCAATTGTGGTGTAAATGCGCTGAGTGGAATCGGACGTAGTTGCAATAACGGCAAGATAGCAGAATCACCGTATGCAGTGAATATCGTGAAGGCTACTATTGAGGAGTGTTTGAAGGTTGTTGGTGAGAATCTGCCTAATGAGACTGTTGAGAGTTTGATGGAGTAAGTGCGGTTGACGTGGACGTCGAAAAGGGTAACTTCAAAGCTCATCTTTTCTACCCAACCACAATAGAAGCTATATGGGTCAAATGTCACGCAATGCACCGACAAGGTATTCAAGTTGTCAGTGAGTTGTTTTGGCATGCGCTCTCACCACGATACCATGCGGGCCATTCAGACGTTTATAACTAAACTCACTGACGCCAAATCATCCAAGTGACTTGAAGTGCTACTATCCTTGTGTCTGATATGTCACTTTTGCTTGCCCAATAGGACGTCAATGTGTGAAGACTTGGACGCTCGAAGGAAGACAGAAATACAATTCTTCAATGGCTTTATATCAAAGCTTGGACGTGGAATGGGTATACCAACGCCAGTGAATGATCTTTTGACAAACTCGATTCACTTTCTTGAAGAGCTTGTAGAGTCTCAGTAGTTCTGACGTGATTTTATGTGTATAAATGAACAAGAACACGTGTATCTACGTGTATAATATATAGACCACATGTCAGAGAGCTATTTTCTCGGAGCGACGTGCTTCATCTGTCGGGCTAGTTTTTTTTCTCATCAAATAAAGTAGCTTGAACAAAAGTTACCTTCAAAGTGGAGTAAGCGTATAAAGTATAACACTAATTGTCCCTATAAAAACAGCATAAATCCTATAGAGGGTACATCGATATAGCTCCCAAAACCACCCAACATCAACTACAAGATATCATCGATGGCATCAACAGGAAGCGCATCAGCACCAGTCAAGACATTGGCCGCTGTAGCATCCCAGGCCCAACAAGCATCGTTAGCCAGCTCCACTCCCACTCAACTGCATCAACCAGGCCCAAATGTCGACCACATCAAAATAGACTCACAATTATTGCAAACAGTCCCCATACATACCGTACAATTGGATGCTCTCGTTGTCATGAAAATTATAAAACACTGTAGAGAACTAGCGCCTACCCCCGTCACAGGTCAATTACTAGGGATTGATGTAGCAGGTGTATTGCAAGTCACAAACTGTTTTCCATTCACTGTCGTTTCTCCCGGTGACGATGGAGGAGATGCATATGGGGGATCAGCCAATGAGCCTGATGATGCTAAATATCAGTTATCCATGCTACGATGTCTCCGTCAGTTGAACTACGATGTACAGATGGTTGGATGGTACAAGTCTGCTGATTTGGGATCATTCTGGAGTCAGTCGTTTATTGATACCCAATTCCAGTATCAGCGCGACTTTGCACAGTCGGTTGTTATAGTATATGATACAGCTAGGTCGTCACAGGGTAACTTGTCGCTAAAGGCACTACGATTGAGCAACACGTTTATGGAATTGTATCGTCATCGTCGCTTTACTATGGAGTCTCTCATCAACAACAAGCTGACTCCATCATCCGTTATTGAATATCTACCCGTAAAAATCCACAACTCGCATTTATTGACTGCCTTGCTCTACCAACTCGAAGAAAGTGCAGCCTATCCATCTAGCGTGTCCACATCATTGTCTCTCCCAACATCATCATTCGAGACTCGAATCCCAACAGCCCAAGGACCATTCACCCCCAACTTTGATAATCTAGATCTAGGTTCTGAATCATATCTCGAAAAGCATTTAGAATATTTAGGTGAAACCGTCGAAGACCATGGCCAAGAACAATGGAGATGGCAAGGCTGGTCTCGTAACTTTGCCAAAGAACAATCCAAAGTCACACAAAATGTAGCTAGGAAACGAGCTGAAAATGCTACTCGGATTGCTGGTGGTCAAGCGCCAGTCCATACTGAGGAGGAAATCCTGGCAGCTCAGATACCTCTACAAAAGATTGCTGCCAATGAACCTAGTCGCTTGGAAACTCTTGTGTTGACAAACCAGATTGATACTTACACTCAGCAGCTTAGCCAAAATGGTGCAGCTTCTCTCAGCAAGATGTTTCTTGTCAAAGCTCTTAGATAAAGTGTAGTTGTAGTAGTAGTATACTACTGCACGCAAAGCAAATATCAAAATAAAAAAGTATAGAATGCTCTTATACGCTATACGTTCGTGTACCTGTTAGTTCTGTTGGCGCATCGAACATTGATGTTTGGATGTGTCTGCTCTAGTTCACTTCGAAGCATAAAAAGCAAGTTAAGGCATAGGGTGGTCGAAATAGTGGGAGAAGGAGCAATGTAAGCTATGAGTACTCGCTTGCTTGGTTTTTTGGTGTCGAACAATCTTTTTTGCACTGAAATTCAGAAATTACAAACACACTAGATTTCACTTGATCTACAAAAGACTCTCGGTCAAGAGCACTATAATTCACTCCAATAACTAATCTACCAGCTGATCGTGGCCTATCTTCTATTTTGACCAACATCAACATGGCATCAAACACCACAAATCATGCATCACATCCGATCCTTTCAATCCAACTGCCCCAGTCATACTCGGCAAACAATGAGTCCTTATATTCAGCGAGCATACGGTTACCTTATCCACCTCCTATAATACACCACCATCAGCAACAACAGCCGATATATCACACCCAACTCCTTCCCCCACCACCAACACCAGCTCCCACAGAAACAGCACCAGAGGACTCGATATGTGTATCAGACTCTGTATCTAGATGTGGCAACAGAAACACAGATCACGGGCCCGAAAACGGTGAAAACCAAGACGATAACGACGAAGAAGAAGATGTGCGACGGCTAATGGACCGCGTACATGAAGTCTTGGGCAGCACTAGTATATCAGAGCATGAAGAAGCCATGTTGCTTTGTAAAATCGCTGAAGTGTTGGGTACTGAATCATCGTATACTCAACACACAACTACGGTGATTGAATCAGTGGAACAGAAGAGCTTCGTCGTATCGAATGAACGGGATGTATCCATGTATGATGACGTGCAAGGGGCCGTGCATAGTACCATAGCGATAACACCGACTGTACATACCAGTACATACTCGTCATCGCCTAGTCCTATTCATGTTACTGCACCGGAATTACTATCAACGTCATTGTATACACGTAGTGAAATAGATAGATCCAGAGCCGTGAATGAGATATCGCTTGTTGAGCCGTCACCGCAAGCTGTGCAACCGCAGCAACCGCCAACGAGGAAAACATCACTGCTACCACCGCCGCCACCAATACTAAACTTGCCCAGGATTGAATACGAGTCGTTTGCTGCCGAGGATGATACGTTCTTAGAAGTATGTAACTGTATGTTCTTAATATCGTCTGGCTGATCATTTGGCGTTACTTACTTGCTGTTTTTTTAGCGTGCCATCTTACCCCTATATGCAAAATACGCTCCTCATCTCGCTCCACCAACAACAACAACAACAATACCACCATCACCACAACCTTCCCAGCAAAAAACAGTATTAGCTCCAGACACATCATCAAAAAGCAACCGTATAAGCAGTAGAATGTCGTTTGCTTCTCTCGAGTATTTACGAACACACGGATTGGATGTGTCTGTATCAGACATGTCGGGACTGAATAGTATGAATCAGTCTCGGGTTACCAGCAATAATAATAATGAGAATTCAAGTGGTAGTGCAAGTGTGATGTCTCTGCCGGTGCATCAAAGATTATCGGAGGGGACTACGAGAGTGTTGGATGTTGATAGGATACGAAGGATGCCGAAACTGAGGTAATATGAACACTGTTGCCGTGGAGATATGTCGTTTTGGTAATAAGTGTGTGGTGAGTCAAAACAACAATCAATAATTGTAGACCATGTAATCACTGTTCTCCCCCATCATTGCTTGACGCCCAAGTGTTTGTTGCTCCGGGAGATATATAATCTAGACCCTAGTTGAAGGGCATCAGAATGCCTGTGAATGAAGCGTCTTCGGCCCTACCTGTCGCTTTTCTTCTGGTGTTGATTGTCAAAATTTGTTCGGATTATATATAGTTCAAATGACCAATGATAATTTGGATCGATGACTTCAGATCTAAAAACAGACTTGATTTCACATTTCAATGGAGGAACAAGCCGCGTCTCGTACAGGTTATTAGAGTATGGCAAACACCGCAGCAATGTCTGTCAAGTTTGATAAATCACTTTGTAAGAGGTAGGACATGAACCACAGAAGCTTGAAACGTCATCCTGCGACCACTAGGTAATTGTGGGCTCACTATTTTTGCACCAATAGTATCAGGAGTCTATTTCACTGATTAAAACAAACTGTTCAACAGCAACAAAATTAAGCAGAAGCAGTAGTCCAAAAGTCTAGTGAAGATGCAAAAAGTTTGAACTTCTCTCATTTGAAGCAGAAATTGATTTTCAAATGACAATAAGAATCATACCAAGTCCAAGTCCGTCCACCACTGATTTTATCTGGACGGATCCATTATAGACCCACTCTTGCCAGTCAAGACCAGTCTTTGCGGCAACTAGAGAAAAAGGGCGACATAAGAGAGGGTTTTCTTGGCATGTTCCAAAAAATATCAATCAGTGTTACCGAGAGTAGCAAAATAATCTGGAAGGGGAAGCCCACTCTGTCTAGCATTATTAAGCAAGAAAAACAGCAAGATCTGGTATGCCCATTGTACCGGCGTAGGCAAAAAATTGATTGCCGTGCCGACCGCGCAAATTAACGTCAAGTCCATGTTTTCGTAAAAGATTGGGAACATTTGGGCGAATCCATAAAACGTTCCCATGTATGAGAGAAAGTAGAGGACGAATGAGGTCTTGGCTCCAATGTATCCTTTAAACTGTAGATGTGGTGTTGGGTCTGGTGACTTTTTGGGAAATAGGGACAAACTATAGAGAGACGCTACCTTGAGAGTTTGCAGAAAGATTGAGATTGTAATAGCAGACGCCCCAAATATAGCGACTTGATACACGCAAGCAGCCTGGTATTCGTCAATCCTGTTGAGGAATCTCGCATAGTTGAGGAAGAACCTTCAACAGAGGGGAGAAACTTTAATGGTTTGCAACAGCCGTGGGATTATGACGGGGAGGGAGAGTCAAACACAACATACCCAATATAGTGCTTTGCCCAGACATAAAAGATCTTGGTCACCATCTAGAACAGGATTTGAAAACGGTTGGTTGTCCCGCAATTAATGAGTAAACAGTTGAATTTTACTATAGCCAATTTGAAAAAGTCCCCTTGTGCACTAGATCGAGGACAGTGTTAACTTTCGGACAATGTGCACAGAGGGAATGAGAGTTTCCGGGATTCTTACACAGAGCGATTCCTGGTATTGTCAACAGAGTCTCTAAAGCTGGTCTTGGGCCATAGGTATCGTAAAAAGTAGGGGAAAAAGACAAAGCACTGCTCGACAACAAAACTCTTGACAATCCACGGATAGTAAGCATCGTTAAAGTACATGAACTAGTGAGACAAGTTAGACCACGACATGCTTTGTCTTGGTACCTCAAATCAAACGCATGACAATGTACCTGAAACATATTCAGCAACGCAAAGAACGAGTTCTCGATAATGAATGGATACGACATAATAGACTTGTCGCCAAAATATCCACCATCCTTCTTATTCTTGGGCAGAAAGGTGAAGGTCCAGATCTAGTGGTGACCATGATTGGTTGTCGGGTTTAGGAAAAGACCAGTTGTTTTCACATTTTCTTACTGCGACGACACTCTGCGAAATTCCTGTCAGCGGCAGAGCCCAGATTAGGGGCGAGTTGTAGTAGGTCTTGTATTTGAAGGAATCTGTACGATCAGCCAAGAAAAAGACTTAGTAGGTGATGCGAGATTTGCAAGAGCCTGATGAATAGTGGTACACACATAGATAGAGTGAGGTGAACCATTGTATCAGATAAATCAGGCCGACAATGCGGTGCACAATGAACTATGCGTGTTGGGGATGTGATGGAAATGTTGGAAATCAATGCTCAACTGACAAAGACTGCAACCAAATAATACCTTTCTGGAGAAGAAGAGCTTATAGAGGAAGACCAGCTGGCGAAAGGGCGTCACTGATGCAAGGCTCCTGCTTGTAGGGATGACAGCCTTTGGTTCAATGTCGGGGTTTGATAGGGTCGCTTTACCGGTGGATGATGGAACATTGGCGATGCCCATGGTTGCAGCTGGATATCTTGTTGCAATTTCCAACTGCTTTCAAGCTGCAATGCGCGTCTCAGCCTGTTATCAACTCAATTGCTTTGCGCTTTGTGTATGTCGCACTCAGCCTGGCCTCCCACACAGTCTGCATGGCAACCAAGTTTCAATGATTTCTTCATTTTTATTCTCGTCCTGTAGCTGATGAAAAGAAAAAATACACGAGGAACCCGGCAGTAACCAACCCTACCATGCACTTTCTTAAATTTGACGCATTTGATGACACATAAAAGAACACGAGCGCGTCAAGACTAGGCAAATCAAGACAGCGGAAGAACGACAGTTTAAGCAATATGTTCTGCTTCTTTTTGAGTAACGATTTTGGCCTTGAATCTCACAAATCGCAAACACACCAGATTTCACCTGCTCTAGATCTTGAGTCAAGTTTGTCGGTAAATAGCAGTATATTTCGATGGGATGTTTCAATATGCCTGTTCCTTTTAGACTGTAATCGATCCTGACCAATATGTCGAAACTTGCAAAGGGGTAGTCCGATTGTCTCAATCCAATTGTTGGCTAAGAACGACTTTCATGCGGATTCTAGTGATTCTAGCACAGTTACCGACTGCATTTTTGCGTCGTCCATCCTTTTTCCTCAACTTGGACGAATGTTTTGACCTTTTTGTTTCGATGGCGACTTCCGTCAACTGTTCCTAGAAAATGATATGTCAAAAGGAAGGTATACCGTGTTAAGTCCTACATGACGCGTGAAGATAGTCCAAAACATAACCGATCATGAAGTTTTCTTCACCACTTCACACTTTCAAACATCTTGAACATTCAATCAACAATGGGGAACGCAGAATCAACAGTCCCCAGTCTAAACGTCTATTGCAAGGATCAGCAAGAAGCTTCAAAAGCCTGCATGGCTCAATATGGTTATGATAGGTGAGGCTCGTAGCTTTCATGTTTTCAACCTGTTTGCTTTGAGCGTTTTCCCAACCTATCCGCTCTACTTAGAGATCGTTACTTTGCACCATGTCGGAAACAGTTTCAAGATTTCAGAGACTGTAAACAGAAATACGTGTGTGCCAGCTCGTACATGTCAACATTGGTTTCAACGAACTTACACCTTTTAACGTCTGTAGTCAGAGCTACGGAGAGCAATCATGCTGAATAAACCGATACCGCAGTCGAACGAGGATCAGAGCAAGACTTGATTCGATATCCGTGAGCTTGTCCTTCCCGAGAGAATATAAAAACGATACACGATTCATACAGCAACGAACATTTATCTATTTTATCACACTTTTTCATCTCATCACTTGTAATCATATACATCTGAATCTCGCTTCAAAGGATTGTGTCGGCTCACAACTCAGTGCAGTGTTTGGGACAGGATAGCAAAATGGATTTATTTACCAACACTTTTATTCCCACGCTTGCGGTACCCACCCCGTCGCAGAATTCACATTGAAAGTCGCCATCTCCTTCAAATCCCCCTCATCAAGCTTGAAATCAAACACATCCTGATTCTCAATAATTCGATTCTTGTGTACGGATTTGGGGATTATAATGTATCCTTGATCAACAGCCTACGACGACAAATCAAATCAGTATCCACAACCCAAAACTCCATGCAATGCACGACTACGTACCCAACGTAACAGAATCTGCGCAGACGTCTTCCCATACTTGCCCGCAATAGCCACCAACCTCGGATCCTCAAGATCCCGTCCCCGCGTAACACTGCCCCATGCTTCAACAGCGATTCCTCGTGCTTTACATTCAGCCACGACATCGTCCTGCGCCAAGAATGGATGTACTTCGAACTGGTTTACCGCAGGTACAATCGTAGCGTACTCGTCCATCTCCTTGATATGATGGACCCCATAATTTGATATGCCGATGGACTTGGCCTTGCCGGCTTTCTTGAGCGATTCGAGGGCTAGCCATGTTTCTTTTCGTGTCCTGTAAAGCACAATGCGTCAGCAAAAAAAGGCAAGTCGAGACCATATTCCTTGGTACAAACCCAGGTTGAGGAGCATGTATCAAATACAAGTCGACATAATCAGTCTTCAATTTCCGTAAACTCTCTTCACATTTCTGAATCGTGTCTTGCTGTGTTACAGAGCTAGAGTTCCAGTATACTTTGGTTGTGATGTAGATTTCGGAGCGCGGGACGCCTGATGCGAGGATTCCTGCTGCGACTTGTTCCTAGCAAAGTAGCTGTTTAGATTGTTGAGCTGCAACAAGCGATGGACAAAAGATTGTTACCTCGTTGCCATATATCTGTGCTGTATCGATATGACGGTATCCAGCTTGGAGGGCCCATGTTACAGCTTGTGCACATTCTTTTCCTTTGGCTATATATAGAGGCAAGACTTGTCAAGTTATAAAAACGTGGAGTAAGGATCAACGTTGACTCCTTTGTCAAAGTGGAAACCACCAAAATTAATCATAGCACCGATATACAACGATTGCAAGACTTGCCTTGATATACTCCCAAACCTAAAGTCAGCGTTGCAATAAGTCAAAACGTGTTTGATGACAAACGTCCGCTACCAAACCCAAACATGTCGCACCTATAACTGGGATGTTATTCCCATCATTAAGCGTGATAGATTGCGTAAGTGGCATACTAGCAGGTCTCGGTGATTGACGAACAAACGTTGTTCTGAAGGGCAAGACTTTTAATGAAGGCAGGGTTGCGAGTTCGACGGTTTCAGAGCTAGGATGTGACATTTGTGAGTTAGTATTATGCTGGTACAGATGAAGAGGGGTTGAGACATACCTTTCCGCCAGACTTCCGTTGACTTGCTGCGATCTGTTGCTTGAATTGTTTGGATGGTGAGCGACGAGGTATGCTTTTGGAAGTTCGTTGGAAGGCGAATACGTGGAGAAGGCACTCGTGAGTGCGATAACACGTATACGTTGTACGATATATGCCGGTTCCAATACGCAACTCGGTTCGTGATCAACAAAATGTCATAACAGCGAAAATCAAGAATTTTGACGTGTCGCACCTACTCGATCGCTCAACCATACGTAGGCCCTGTATACAAAACACGTATTATAAATGAAAATCACGGTTCCAGCTTCATCCCAACCCTATTTTCAACTCAACTTGCCAAAACATTTGAGCATTTTTGACAGCGTATAGACATGACAAAATCAAAGAAACCACCTACTGAGAAGCCTCCCAAATCTAAAGCCGATGCCAAAAAGAAATCTGATAAAGACCTCGACTTCTTGGACGACTTGTTCAATGGTAGCTCAGCAATGTCAAAAAAACCTGTCGCTCCAGCTACCGATACAACAGTTGAAGATAAAAAGACAGTCAAGACAGTCGAAACTATAGTTGATACATCTGCATCTAAATCGAAACCACCCGAAGGCAAAAAGAAGAGGAAGGCTGGGGCATCATCAAAAGATGAAGACGATGGATTTGCAGATTCGAGAGGTGGCAAGTCCACAAGACGGTATACGGAAGATGGGATGCCTGTTTATGATATCAGTGAGATTATGTCTACTGGTGGTGGTGGTATGTCATCGTCTTCCAAGCTTTTTTTTCCCTCTGGAATTGTCACAGACTCCCTCCCAAGGGCGACCCAATTCGATCATGGCAATTCATCTAATACATTTCGAAACATAGATACAGCAGACTGCCCATTCGATTGTCAATGCTGCTTCTGAAAGCAGCGTTTGAATGTATATTATCTGTACAAAACGTATTGTATATCTGGTCTCTTTTTTTATAATGAATGCCCTCCTTCTACACCACCTGTTGCAGAAGCATTTCATAAATGAGATGTTCCTCCTTCCACGCTCACTCTCAGACACGTAACGTATCAAACCGATTGGTCGTGAACGTCGTCATATAAGGCGTAGCTCGTCCTTTAATACTCGCAGCTTTACGTCTCCATTCGCTTGGTGGCATATATGCGTTGGGACCCGGTGTATCATCGCATTTGAGTTCAGACATTGGGTTTGGACGTACACCAAACGTGTATCCTCGTTGTGGGTGACGGATTTGTGGAGTGGGTGCTGTGACTGGTCGGCAGTCTTCAGCAATGTTGCGGTGGGTTTGTGGTGATCGTTTGGCACGTTTCTTTTCGGATTCTTCTTCATGCGATTCTTCGACATTTTCGTGCTGTTGGTGTTGTTGTTGTTGGCTGTCTTCTTCGTCGATTGTATCGATTGTTTCCATAGCTGGCTGTTGTTGCAATTGTTGAGATAATTTCTTGAATGGTGCCTTTTGAGGAGTTGCTTGAGTCATTGGTCGCACCACTGGCGAATAGGGTGAATATGCATTTGGTGCAGGAGTGTCATCGATACGTGTTTCATGACGGCCCTTAATAGTAGCTTTAGGCTTATCATTCCAGCAGATTTGACGGTTACGTGGCAAATATTCTGCAGGAGACGGTGTAATCTCTCTTGAAACTGCAAATGCGACTGACTGGCGACCTTTTAATGTCACTGCGCGTGGTGCAGGTACACTGGCATCGTATTGTGGAGAGTATTCGGTTGATGCTGGTACCACGTCTTTGGAATCGGGCTGGAATTGACGTGCAGTCATAGTGAATTCCGGACCTTTGAGGGAGCTGTTTGCCTTGTATTGAGCGGGACTTGGCGTTTGTAGTGGTTTGAATTCTCGATGATATCCTTTCAGTGTGACGCCATTGCCATGCGCCCATTCTAATCTTGGATAGTATAATACGCCGGGCCCCTCAGTCAAGTTTTCCGTCAAGCTGGTTTTTGGTCTGCTGTTGAATGCTGGCGCGTGTACGGGTGATTTGATTTGGATGTTGTAGTCTGTGGGGCCTGGTAGTAGTTCAACTTTGGGTTCTGGTTTGACTCGAAATGAGAATACGGGGGCTGAGCTTTTGATATCGACAAAGTATTTTGGGCCTGGGCTTGTGTCGACTATAGAAAGAAAAGTCAGCACGACGACACCAATTCCAAATCTTACGCAAATCTCACCATTCAGATCATGTCTACCGGCAATAGTAAACTTTGGCTTATCCTGTCCTATCGTACTCTCTCCATTCTGATGCTCCCCTGGTGATGGCCCCTCTGCATGTACAAGCAGTGGAAGCAGATCCAGCTTGCCAGCTATACTAATTGCAGGAGCATGCGGTGAAGTAGCTGCCACTGAAGCCAGCACTTCATAGGCGGTCGGAGCAGGTGTGACCCCTTTAATGACATCCTTGTGCCTAGCCAATATCGAGAACTTTGGACCTGCACTGGGCAACTTGATATCATAATCGAATGGGCCAGGTTGTGGATGTGCTATATATAATATAAAATTGTGAGGATTGTATTTGATGTTTGAATCAGTAAGGCAGTAAGGCATGAATCATGAAAACCACGAATCAAAGTGCGAGGAAAAAGACAGACGTACCTAGACTAGTGAGACAACCTTCCCGTGTTTCACCCATTCCCGTTCTTCGCAATGCGGCTCTGCGCCATATTTCTTGTTCAAACAGGTCAGGATGTTCTTGCTTTGTTTTTTGGATGTGGTTGTTTGCGGCTTCGACCTTCTTTTCCAGCAAATCCTGAGGAAACTTGAATAGCGACTGCTGTGATGGTAGTCTATGCTGCTGGTTTTGTTGGGTAGTTGGTCTTGAATTGTGAGCAGCAGTTGAATAACCACCAGACGAGTAACCGTTCATGACTGTATACGTGTTTGATGCGAAGATTTATAGGTGGAATAGGTGACTTTGACTGGCAGTTTGTGAGATTGAAAGTGGTTTGATCAAACGTTCATACCTGCAAGATTGGCTGTAGTTCGGTCTAAGGCTGCCCTTTGATTGAACACCAAAAAGACACCGCGCAGCTCTACAATGCACTAAAAAAATGATGGGTGGCTTACAATCTGTCCTTCGTGAACAAGATGCGTCGGTGGATGTTTGTAACGAGTCGGCTTTCTCGCAAACCACGACATCTTGTAACCATCAATAGACGCACAATCACGTCGATTTAACGGTTAAACACGTGTTCTGATGATATCAATAATACATCCCTTGTATATACCATGACTTTCAGTGATTTTTGAATGAGCTGTTTCTGTGTATTTTTCGCTTGATTTTTCAGACCCTCACTCCGACTTTGTCCTATTACTGTTTCCTGTTGAAAACAAGCAATTGGATACAATGACTATTATTGCTAGGACTGTCAAGGTACGCATTTAACGTCTGCTTGCTATGTCATTCTTGTCGTCACAATGCACTGGAGTGCACTTCTTTTTTGTTATGCAAAGTTTTTGAGAGGGCGCTGTGTATTCATCAGAGACAGGATGCAAACGACGAGTTATTCCAAGATTTCGATGCAGAATGTACTCTATTTGCTGCCTTTATGGATGAAACACATCGTACACGCTCAAAACTCACAACATCTTCACAATGTTCTTCAACAAACCTCCTTTTTTCTGAAACCTTGACCATCACTCTGGCCTCTATCTAGGTCGCTCCAAAAGCATTCAGGGCAGTGCCTGTAAGGTGTCTCGCCACTATCGCACCCTCCCAAAAAGTCCCAATCTCAAACTTGGAACCCTCGCAATATGTAAACTATCAACGTATTGAAAACAACCTCAAGGTTGTACGAGACAGGCAAGTAGTTCTATGGGTGTCCATTCAGGACTTACCTATTCTATCGAATCCATCAGTGTATGTGGGATCCAGTCAAGCTCTTACACGTGCGTCAATGTTAGATTGGGACACCCATTGACTTTGGCCGAAAAGATTGTCTATGGTCACTTGGATAATGCCAAGGAACAGGACTTGGTCCGCGGCAAATCATACCTCAAGCTACGACCTGACAGAGTAGCCTGTCAAGATGCCACTGCTCAAGTATGTCTTGACAGCATTGACACATCATCATCATGAGTGATGGCAACGCTCTTTTTTTTCTCTTCAATTTTGCTTAAATAATCATCTTCCTAGATGGCATTATTACAATTCATGTCTGCTGGAATGCCAACAGTCGCTGTCCCAACCACCGTACATTGCGATCACTTGATTGAAGCTCAAGTAGGCGGTGTCAAAGATCTGGCTCGTGCAAACTCAATCAACAAGGAAGTCTACGATTTCTTGGCTACATGTACCGCCAAATACGGAATCGGTTTCTGGCGTCCAGGCTCTGGAATCATTCATCAAATCATATTGGAAAACTATGCCTTTCCTGGTGGTCTCATGATTGGTACCGACTCTCACACACCCAATGCTGGTGGTCTTGGTATGGTTGCTATCGGTGTCGGAGGTGCTGACGCTGTAGATGTCATGGCCAACATCCCTTGGGAATTAAAATGTCCCAAAGTCATTGGTGTCAAATTGACTGGTAAATTGAGTGGATGGACTTCTGCCAAAGATGTCATCTTGAAGGTTGCTGGTATCCTCACTGTTAAGGGTGGTACTGGTGCCATTGTTGAATACCATGGTCCTGGTGTTGAATCCATCTCGTGTACTGGTATGGCCACTATCTGTAACATGGGTGCTGAAATCGGTGCCACTACATCACTCTTCCCATACAATAAACGAATGTCGGATTATTTGGTTGCTACAAAGAGACCATACATTGCTCGATGGGCTGATTCCTTCCGTCACAACCTGGTTCCTGATGAAGGTGGCAAGTAAGTTTCATACGGCGTCCATGTGAACTGCTTCTTTTTTGCTGAAAGCTCACTTCTATTCAAAATCAGATACGACCAATTGATTGAAATCGACTTGAACACTTTGGAACCTGCCATAAACGGTCCATTCACTCCCGATTTGTATACTCCAATCTCTCAATTCAAGGATGCTGTTGCCAAGAACTCATGGCCTGCAGAACTCAAGGTATGCAGAAAAAGACAAAGTGGATGACTGCAAATATGGTGACCAACTCTAATCATCTTCTCTCTTTGCTCCAGGTCGGTTTGATTGGTTCCTGCACCAACTCATCATACGAAGACATGTCTCGATCAGCTTCATTGGCCAAACAAGCTTTGGATGCTGGTCTCAAGGCCAAATCTCTCTTCACTATTACTCCTGGTTCTGAACAGATTCGTGCCACCATTGCTCGTGATGGTCAGATGCAGATTTTAGAACAAGCTGGTGGTATGGTGTTGGGTAAGTAGATGTGTAGCCGGCATATGAGAAGGCTACGACGATTTGTTTTGTCAATGATATCGCCATGCTAACACTCTTAAACCCCTTTCTAGCTAACGCTTGTGGTCCATGCATCGGTCAATGGGACCGAAAAGACATAAAGAAGGGCGAAAAGAACTCTATTGTAACATCATACAACCGTAACTTTACAGGCCGTAACGATGCCAACCCAGCCACCCACGCCTTTGTCACCAGTCCCGAACTAGTGACAGCCATGGTCTTTGCCGGATCCCTCAACTTCAACCCTCTCACCGATACCATCCCAACACCATCAGGCAAACCATTCAAATTCTCGCCACCCCACGGTGACGAACTCCCCGCCCGCGGATACGATGCAGGTGAAAACACATACCAAGCACCACCTGCTGACCGTACCTCTGTCAAAGTAGCCGTATCACCAACATCAGACCGTCTCCAACTCCTCGCACCCTTTGCCAAATGGAATGGCAAAGACCTCAAAGGTGCTCCAATCCTAATCAAAGTAAAAGGCAAATGTACTACAGATCATATCTCAATGGCTGGTCCATGGCTTAAATACCGTGGTCACTTGGACAATATCTCAAACAATATGTTGATTGGTGCCATCAATAGTGAGAATGGTAAAGCTAACTCTGTAAAGAATATCTTGAAGGATGGTGCATTTGAAGAGATTCCAAAGGTTGCCAGACAATTGAAGGCTAAGGGTATTCCATGGGTTGTTATTGGTGATGAGAACTATGGAGAGGGATCGTCTCGGGAACATGCGGCGTTGGAGGTTAGACATTTGGGTGGTTTTGCTGTTATTGTCAAGTCGTTTGCTCGTATCCACGGTATGTGTTGTCTTGTAGCTTATACAGTTATGGTTGCCATTTTCATTTTTTGTCATCACACGAAACTGTGTTGCAACGAGCTTCATTCAGCGCTCTGGTCTTGTTTTTATTGAACTCACTTATTCTATTTACAAACAGAAACCAACTTGAAAAAGCAAGGAATGCTACCATTGACCTTTGTCAACCCTGCTGATTACGATAAGATTGACCCTACTGACAAGGTCGACATCATTGGTCTTGAAAACAACTTGAAGCCTGGCTCCACATTGACTCTAAGAGTACACAAGGCTAGTGGCTCCTCCGTTGACATTCCAGTAAGTGTGGTTTAAAACGTTGTTGCATAGCGCTGTCCGTAGTCCATCATTTTAAACTTTTTTTCGACTCTTTTGTGCTGATCACATTCTTTGTAGTTGGCCCATACATTCAACGAAGGCCAAATCGGATGGTTTAAGAATGGAAGTGCGTTGAACATGATGGCTGAAGCTGCCGCCAAGAATTAAAAGGGGTAGAATGTGGCCTGTTATAAGGCATGATGATGAATGGCGATGATTTAAAACCCGAATTGTGATAATTTTCGTTCGTGATATCAATACACTTTGCTTGTAGTTTAAAAGTGTTTGTGTCTAGGTTGGTGGTTGGTGCTAGGGTTGGTGAATTGTGATGTGAGGTGTTGGTTGGGCCTTCAACCTGCATCGTTCATAATCGGTGTTGCGTTTTATTTGGCTGCCGGCGAAGAAAGTCAGAAATGGAGATAAGGATCAATGATCTAAACATTATAGGTACCGCTACTGCCGATGGCGTGCATCAATTCCTCGGTAAGCTTATTTGATTGTGTTTTGCGTTTTGGGATCTAGTTTACCAGCAACGTTTACAACAACTTGAACGACTCCAAGTGGCAAATTCAAGAATTCCAACCATTTCATCATTACTTTCATACAGGCATTCCATACGCACTCCCACCAACCGGGCCACTTCGCTTCTCATCATCACTTCCACATCCCATACCATTTGAACAACCATTCTACGCAACGCGATACAGTCCCATGTGTCCACAAACCGCATCTGGAAGTACAGGCCAACCACCATTCACTGTCGCAGACGGCGCTGATATCATGGACGAATCCTCATGTCTCACACTCAACGTGTTTGCAACGCCTGATGAACGTACAGATAAACCAGTGCTGGTGTTTATACATGGTGGTGGATTTGTGAATGGGAGTGCGAGTGTGGTGTGCTATGATGGTGGTGGGCTTGTGACGGCTGCTGCTTCTAGAGGTGTGCGTTACTTTGTTCTACTGCTCTTTGTTGTTGTTCATAACGGGGGTTTTTCGGTATAGGCGAACCATGTATACTTGTGACGATACAGTACCGAGTAGGTGTACTAGGTTTTCTCTCATCACGAGAAATCGGGAGAGGGAATTTCGGGATTGAGGATTGTGCCTGTGCGTTACGCTGGGTGCAGCAACACATACACGCTTTTGGAGGTATGGGCTTGGATTCATATTCAAATCTCTTTGATATTTAACGTATTTTGCTTATCATAGGTGACGCATCCAAAGTATGCTGCTTTGGACAATCAAGCGGTGCCGCAACAGTGGCCTTCCTAATGACTTGCTACCCGAACGAACGATTATTCTCCACCGCGATATGTCAATCTGGAGTTGCATCTATCGGACTCGCGGATGCCGGGTATATGCAGGACGTGTTTGATATGGTGTGTGATTTCACCGAATGTCCTCTTGGTGTCTCTGGAGAGGAGAAATTGAAGCATCTGCAGTCTGTGCCACAAGATGTACTCATGCAAGCTGTAGAAGCTCTCGGACAAATCTTCTTCTCGCCAATTTTTGACGGTGTGATTGTCAAAGAGTCGCCGCAGGCAGCACTTGTGAGGGGTGATGTGCCACAACATGTAAAAGCAGTCATGGTTGGGTATAATGAACATGAGGGAGCGAGTATTTCTGGGGCGTTCAAGACGAGGGGGTTGGTGAAGCAGTATATTGGGATGCATTTTAAGGAGGATATCATACATAAAATCGAACACCTTTATAAAGTCAATGAGGAAGGTAGAGATCCACGCAAGATCGTGTCTGATATATGTGGGGATGCCATGTTTGCGGTGCCGACGCGGACGACGTGTCGTGGGATTGCTAAAAGCAGGAGAACAAGGTGTTTTAGTTATAGGTTTAATGTGCCGTGCCACGCAAACACTCTATCTCGGAAACTTGGGTACGTGCCACATGGATGGGAGCTGCCGTTCCTGTTTAATTCTAGTGTGCTGAATGATGTGGAGAAGCGGCTTGGTGAGGATATGGCTGTTGCGTGGGTGAGGTTTGCGGAGTCTGGAGATCCGAATGCTGGTGAGGATGGCAAGAGTGTTGGAGTTGGAGGTATTGTGTGGCCAGAGTACAAAGATGGTTGTATGGTGTTTGAGTTGACGAAGCATCGCGTTGAGGGTGATGGGGTTTGGAGAGGAGAGTATATGAGGTTTTATGAGGCCAAGATGTGATGTTTGTGGTGGGTGGATTACGCTGGGAGCTGGGGAACGCGTATAATGGAGGAGATCTACTGTGGAACACGGACGCGTCGTATGCACCAAATTCGGCAATTCAGAAATGACCAGGTTAGGCTTAGGTAGTTCCAGTCAATTTAGTAGCTTTTAAATAATTGATGGTGATATAATTCTATATAAATTGTCAGATACAATTAAATACGCGTCCGATCTCCTATCTTGCTAAAACCTGGAGCTTTGAAATCACTTGTATTACATACACCCCCACAATTGACAACACTTCTGTCACTAATCTGATACCATATACCAGACTCTGAATCACGTATAGACTGGAACGCTTTCGTGAAGATCCCGAGCCATGCATCTGTATCTGCTGTCTCTCCTATCATGCGCTCTCGCTATTCAAGCCCAAATGATGCTGCCCAATGCATTTGTCGATCAACCACTGGTATGTTGCACTTCGCGCTCTAATTGTTTAGTAAGATCGCATCAGGCTACTCTATTTAACTCGTTATCGTCGTCGTGTAGACTGCATCAGCTCGCACCAGCACACCCAACATCAAATCTCACATCAGCAGAAGCAGCTCGCACCAAAAGCCAATCTCTGTATCATCTGATTTCGTGCACACTGAACCACCATCCGGAACCCTATTCTGTGATATCTTAATGCTTGGTGGTGGTGTCTCTGCCATGCATGCAGCAATCGAGCTATCAAAGACATACCCATCGCCTAAATACCAGTTATGTATTGTCGAAAAGTCGGAACGGTTGGGTGGCAGAGTCAAAGATTATGATTTTGGTGTGGAGGGGATTGAGCCTGCTGGTATGTTGAAAGTTTGGCTTTTGTGAAAGAAGCAGTGTGTTGAACTTTGGTTACAGGAATGGGAGCATGGCGTATTGATGAAGCGCATGAAAAGTTGTGGAAGTATGTGGATCGGTATGGGATCAAGACTCAGCCGTGGACCAAGGTGCCTAAAGCTTATGAGGTATGTGTCCTTGCCACGTCACTGCTGAGAGGTTACATAATACCTCTGCAGTCACACGCTTTGGAAGGCTGAAAGCCTATGAGTCTTCCGCTGTTCTTGATATATTGAAACACTGACCATCAATACAATAGGCCCGCGGTGTAATGACAGACAGTCTCCTCGAACTGGTCGACAAAGTCTACCCTGCTCTCAAAAACACGGCATTCGCAAATCTCACTTCTGTCTGGAGCGTGTTTGGAGTAATCAAGGATGCATTTGCTGCACACGCCGACGAAAAGTTCTTGAATGCTCGAGAATTCTTGATTCAAGTGTTCGGTGTCGAAACCAAGAATTTCATGGCTTCTATCATGGGTGGTGGGCTGTTTGGTTCCAAACCAACTGATTTTGGATCGTTCTTTGAGCCTGATACGTATAATAATCCTGATACAGGTATTGGTCACGCGCATAATCCGGTTTTTTTGTGCATTCAAGCAGCCTCTTTAAACATTTCCTAACCATGCAGGAATACATCACCGACCGTTAAGAGGCATGGAAGAAATCGTGCGAGGAATGATCAAAGAAGTTTACTCACTCGGAACCGTCGTAATGCTCAACGAGGGTGCCGTGTTCTTGGAACGAACTCCAGGCCCATATCAACAATATCTCGTCGAGACGTCTACTGGACGTATAATTAGGTCAAAAGCTGTCGTTATGGCTCTTACGCCCCTTGCCATTCGAAAGATGAAGGGGTCACTGGTTGAAAAGATTGTTGAGCAACGACACTTTAATGCTGTTACGCCTTCGATCGTGTTTAAGAGTGCTGCCTTGTACCCACGCAATTTCTGGAGGTAAGAAATTAATTAGACTGACGCTAGTCATGGGTGTGAGATGTTTGAAAAACTGACGCAAGACATTCTATCTAGTCACAAACTCGAATGGCAACAAACATACCAAACCGTCGAGTCTACATGTCTGGGCATGGTAACGCCATACAAGGGTACTGGTCCAAACGGAGAAGCCTCGTTGCATACCTCATATGTAGATGGAGAGTGTGTAGAAGGAGGATACTGGCTTGAAGCGCTAAAGGATCTTAATGAGACCGAAATCACAGCCAAGATCCACGAGCAGGTTGTTTCGCTGTTTCCTGACGTCAAGGATATTCCAAAGCCGATCAAGATTGTTACACAACTATGTATGTGATATGCTTTGTGGTTTATTGTTCTTTGTCCGTCTGAACTTGTTTTTTGGGCCATTTTTGCTGGGTTTTTGTTGGGCCAAGATTTCTGCTTTGCTGACCTTTTTGACCATTTGCAAAACTAATCCTGTTTTGCAACGATAGGGAGTGAAGGAGGTTGGCATTTAATGGCCATCACCAATCCACGTACAACTAGAGCTTCAGTCCAAGAGTGGGCATCAACTGGTCCATTTGGCAAGTCTGAAAACATTATAATCGCAAATGAAGCGTTCGCTATTAAGAGAGGGTGGGTCCAGGGCTCGTTGGGCATCACCGATGAAGGGGTCAAGACGCTGTTGAAGCAACTACGTATATAAGAACTGATGAGGGAGTCTAGACCTTGTTGCAACAATTCCGTATATAACGAAGCAGAGAGCTTGTTTGTTTTAGAAGTGGGATGATTTAGATTTTTTTGTTACTGGACTGATTTTATTTGGGAAGTGATAAATAAATGAGGTTGTTTTCGGCAATATGTGCCAATAAGTTGTAAGTGCAGCTTTTTAGATGCACCGTAGATACAGCGAATTCACAGAGCTTCAATACAAACATGTGGACCAGCTTCGCCCATGCCTCATCCATTTCATTCCTCCTCCAATACATCTTGACCAGCACCAGCTGAAGCAGCTTCCAGCTTCTTTGCAGCCTCGTCCTTTTCAGATTGTACAGCTTGATCGTACATGATGCTCAGCAAATCATCACTTAGATAGGGTATCGTGTGTGGTGAGGTTCGTTGAGATGGTGCTGGTACTGGATCAAGAGATATAGGATGCGGAAGACATGTCTTAATATAATATTTTAGGTCTATGTTGTCTGGTGGGAGCTTCCAGTCTCTGATATTGTTGCTGCAAAATGGTTGTGAGATGTTAGAACTCTAATGATTTGATCCACGTCAAGGAGCGAAATCGAGGAACCACAAAGTGAATGCAAATATTCACGTAAATTTTAAGGCTAATGGCGATCAAAACTCTCGTTCTCTCTCTCTCTCACCACCTCACGAACTTTTGAAAACACTTCAACACACACCTTGCCATTGACACTCCTTCAAAGACGATGGAAGTCGAAGCCTGGTACTGGGAGGTTCCGCTTGTGACAAGGGCGTATGTGACTGCAGTCTGCTTGACTAGTTTATCATGTGTATGTCTTGTTTCTTCGAGATTTTCGGAAACCCAGTGATTTTGAATGTTGTGAGATATCTAAACCAGAACGGATCTGTATTCATAGCAATTGAATTTTGTATCGGCCTTCCATCTGCACTTCAATTGGGACCTGATATGGAGGGGAAAACAGGTACCATCAACGTCGAGGTAGCTGAGTTGTAAACACACTGACACATCAATATATTATACTAGTACTGGAGACTAATTACAAGTTTCCTATACTTTGGAAACTTTTCATTGGATTTCCTGTTTCATATGTTCTTCTTGTGAGTCAATGCCTCGCTCTCTCCAAATCTATCAAAGCTCACATCACTTCCAACCCATACCAGATTACGATACAGTCGAGCACTAGAAGAAGGATCGTTTCGTAACCGAACAGCAGATTACGTGTGGATGCTGCTTCTAGGCGCTATATCCATCGTCGTAAGCAACCTTCCCTTGTCATTATTCACACAAACTACAGCCTTGCACTAACACCAGACATAACCTAGATAATAACCCCATTCACAACTCCACGCGCATCAATCCCCTTCCTCTCATCCCCACTCACATTCTTCCTCGTATACGTCTGGTCTCGTCGCAACCCGGCCGTAAACATGTCCTTTCTCGGCCTATTCACATTCACCGCTCCATACCTCCCATGGGTGCTCCTAGCATTCACTGTGCTGCTACACAATGTGTGGCCGTCGGGTGATTTAATTGGGATGGCGGTTGGCCACGCATATTATTTTCTCGGTCAGTCTTTGACAAGTTATACTGATTGGTGTATTTACTCATGCAAAAAGCATTGATTTATTTTATTAGAGGATGTGTTTCCGAGGATGGAGGGACATTTGGATCATAGGCCATTGGCTACACCGTGGATATTGAAGAGGGTGTTTGGAGATTTGATGAGAGATCGGGCGGATCCGACTTTGCCGGAAGCGAATGGTGGGGTTGGTGTTGTGGGTTTGCCTGCTGTTGATGGTGGTGCTGGGAATGATGAACCAGAACAACAGTAACAAAAGGAAGGTGGTTTGTGTAAATTAGTTTGCATGTAGTATCTCAACTCCAGAAAACACACTCTGAATCATTGATTTTTGTTGAATGAGTGTCATTGGCAAAAAAAATCAAACCCCTAGATCGTCGCCGGTCACAAACACAGTGCAAACCTCACCAACGGTCGCATATCACACAAGCAGAAAGAGTACGTGATTTCCATGTTAATCCAATGGGCATAATTATGCTAATCATGCCGCATCGCTGGCTTGACAGTGCCATTGATCAGACACTTACAAGTTGCTCTGCGAGTGAACGTAGTGGCGCCACAACGGCCGACCTTGAAGAGAGGCTTTAAATAATAGATTTTAACGGCTTACACGGACGGATGACCTTGTCTTTGCCTTGTTTCCTGCTCAGTTTGGAGATTCAAATATCAGTGACTGAACACCACAGGAGTAGTTATTTAAACAGACCTGGACGCAAACAACATTCCAACAAATGCTCCATCTTCAAGACAGAAACACAACATCAAATCATGCCTTGAACTATTTACAGCAACCTTGGAGCTGCCTAACAATTCCAAAATCAAATTTTCGTTGAAACTACGCAACTAGAGAAAAAACTGTAATGGACGATAAGACCGATACTGATTTTACCTGCCAGGTTTGCTATGATGCGCACTCTGTGCAGGCGTCTCCTTGTAGAGATTGTGGTAGCATCTGTGTAAGTATTGTTATGTTGTTGCCTCGAGCCATTGTAAGACGATTATTAGTATAATCATATCGCTGACTCGTGCCATTAGGAGGTCTGTCTCTCAAAGTGGTTGAGTGACAAGATTCGAGAGCTGCCACGGTAAGAGACCTGCTGTAAAACCAGCACCCCTTGTCACAATAAATATATAACCATTCTCTCTTTGTGTAAAGACACGGCTACCGGCTCCGAGGAATTGCAACGGACTGTCCTGTTTGTGGTTACTCCTTCTCCCTAGACGCTATCGAGCAGTTTGTTACTCCTGATGCATTTGGTTAGGATGTAATTTGTCTTTGCGTTCAATAATCAACTCTGTAACACAATTATCTCGCTTATCAGCTTGGCTTCTTGACTTTCTTGACAACCTGCCTACACGTGTCGGAGAGAGATCTCTTTACTGTCCTGGTTGTGATGCAGTCACAAAGGTAGGCATTCTGTAGTGGAGATCTAGTCTACTGTGATGTGAGAGTCAACGATTTTTTTGCTTACGTAGATGATACATAGCCAGGCTATGGTTGGGGAGCATAAGCATGGTATTTTCACTTGCACGACCTGTCTGGATATTGAGGTAAGCATGCGATTTTGAAAGCAACAAGCGAAACATTCTCAACCAACGCTTCCAGAAGACTAACAGTAAACCCGCTTTTTCAAGCTCTGTGATCGTTGTCATGAAATCTTTGATGACTCGCATCGTGACATCCTGAACTGTACTCATTGGCTCAACTACCGTACCACCAATGCTTATGACTATATTGATGCACGACTTGCCAAGAATGCCTCCTTTTACGGCTTTACTATCGGCCCTGATCTACAGCGATTCCTGGACGAGGATGTACAGGCTCAGGCTGCAACTATAGCGTACTCGGGTTATGAATTCAAGAAGCTAAATACAAAGCAGTGCACGTCTTGTGGTGTTGATATTCAGGTAAGTGTCAGCCGCCAAAAAAAGAAGCCGTGGACTTTTTAGTAGCAAGGGTTTGTGCGTGACACTTGACTGATCTGAATTTTTAGAAAAACGGTGGATGTAGCCATATGCTCTGCAGTCATTGCTATGCTCGCTTTTGTTGGGTGTGTGGAAGGAATCTTAACGATCCGGCATTGCAAGAGGACATACCTTGTGCTTCGTGCTCGTGATTGAAACCAGATAGTGGGAACACTCAAGCTTTCACCAAACTGCGGAATGGCTCCTTTTTTTGATGGGGTGGATTGCTGAGTCGTGAAGAATTAGTAGTTATTAGAGTCTTTAATGTACACTGTTTGAATTACGCAATACAATCAGTGATCTCCCACACAAACAAGTTCACATTTGTCCACGTTCAAACAAGTCCAAGTCTTCTCGATTTAGCAAACAACCTGTAAAACCCTGCATAAAGGCTTAAGGTCACAACTTTTCACGAACTGGAGCCGCTGCCTCTTTCTTGCTCAGTTTTGGAAGTCAAATCATTGGTGACTGAACACCACACCTGGAGAGTACTAAAACTGACCTGCGACGCAGAAAAACACTCCATCCAACACAATGCTCCATCTTCAAGACAAAAATACAAAATCAAACAATATATCGAACGGTTAACAACTTTGGACCCCTTTAACAACTCCAAACTCATTTTTTCGTTGAAACTACGCAACTAAAGAAAACTCTTTAATGGACGCCAAGACCGGTGCTGCCTTTACCTGCCAAGTCTGCTTAGATACGCACTCTGTACAGGCGTCTCCCTGCAGAGATTGTGGCGGCGTCTGTGTAAGTACTGGCTTCAAATCACATTGTTTCGAGTCATCAAAACACGATCACTAATGTGATACTATACTGGCTCATTACATCAGGAGGTCTGTCTCTCAAAGTGGTTGAGTGACAAGATTCGAGAGCTGCCACGGTATGAACTCGTTTTCTGATGTCGTCAGGATATGTAGTTGAATAACATTTGGTTGTTTCCAGACAAGGTCACAGAATCCGAGTTATCGCAACTGACTGTCCTGTTTGTGGCGCATCCCTATCGCTAGACGCTGTTGAGCAGTTTGTTACCCCTGATGCATTTTGTACGTCCTGCTAGTTAGAGAGCGTGGTTTGATTCCCTACTCTGACACGCGCCTGTCTTCCTGAATAGCTTCGCTTGTCGACTTTCTTGAAAATCTGCCTACCCTTGCCGAAGAGAGATCTCTTTACTGTCCTGGTTGTGATGAAGTCACCAGGGTATAGGCTGCAATATATACCTGCAATTCAGTACTATACCTAATTGATTTTTCTGCTCTTAATAGATGATGCATAGCCAAGCCGTGGTTGGCGAGCATATGCATGGCATATTCACTTGCACAATCTGTCAAGACATTGAGGTAAGAATGCGATTTGAAAGCCCGATCCGTTTCCCTCTACTCACGATACCTAACATATGTTACTTACATGCTCGGCACAGCTCTGTGACCACTGTCACGAAATCTTTGATGACTCGCATCGTGACAACCTGGACTGTACCCACTTCTTGGGTTATCGCATCGCCAATGCATACGATTGCATTGACGCGAGACGGGCCAAGAATGCCTCCTTTTATGGTTTCGCTATTGACGCTGCTCTGCAGCGATTTCTGGATGAGGATGTACAGGCTCAGGCTGCAGTTATAGCATACTCAGGTCATGAATTCAAGATGGTTAATACAAAGCAGTGCACGTCCTGTGGTGTTGATATTCAGGTGAAGTTTGAGCTAAACAAGTGGCTGGTTGAACAGCAGCAAGTGTTTGTGGTTGACGTTTTCCGATTATAGAAAAATGGTGGATGCAATCACATGCGTTGTAGTAATTGCTATACTGACTTCTGTTGGGTATGTGGAAGGAGGTTGAATCAGCCGGGACAGCGGGAGGACATCATCTGTGATGCTTGCTGATGCCTAAATTTGGGAATAAGCATGCTTACCAAACTCCACAGAAATTTGGAATCCTTGATGGGTAATAGGGTGGATTGCGGAAAGTTGTGAAAATATTGAACAGAGTCTTTTGATGTACACTGTTGGAATTATGCCATATATTTAGTGATCTCCCACGCAGACAAGTTCACTTCTGTCATCGTTTCAATAAGGTCAAGTCTTCTCCATTTAGCAAACACCACATACATAACGAATAATGGTATTATTAAAGGTTCTTGTTGCAAAGATAATAACGTTTCTTGACACTCCCTTCACATCCAATCATGTTCAACTCGTATACCATGGTAACCCACGTCAGAGCAACAATTGGCAAAAAAAAATTGTAAGAGAGCTATTACGACGCCTGCAGCCTCTGCATCGACTTCAGACACGTGTCAAAGCACACCAGATAGAACTCCTAACATTATCCACTTAGATTCGTATGTCACCAGCCGCATAAGCATATCGTTCCAACAGATATTATAACATGTTATTGTACTTTAGCGGGAGAGCTTCCTAAACTTATGGCGATATTTGTGTTTGGTGTACGTATGGATTCATCTTGGGGTCGGAAGCTTTCATTTGCCTGATGAGAAGAAAATGAGGAGGATTGTTAGGCAAAAGACAAAAAAAATATTGTAAAGACGGTTTCATACCTTGAGTTGAATCTTTCGGCTCCGATCCGCCCTTGAATCCTCTTGAATGCTTGTTCTGTTGAGTTCTCACACAGACTGTTTTCTTATTCAAATCATTCCAATGCGCAAGTTAGCAGAAGCCATATTGAGTTTTTCTCCACAACATATTCGGGAGAAAAAGGATTGTGCGATATCACGCAAGATTGTCCTTACTTCGACTCACACTTACTTATCAAGTCGGGGTCATTCACTACCTCAATGGTATCTCCGAGTTCCTAGACTTATACTAAAACTTCAAAGGAGGTCTACTTTGAAACCACTGAGAAAACGTTTCTCCGTCCAACATTGTGTATTTAGCAATTGACATATACAAACCAAACAAATGGCTATTAAAATGTAGACCGAAACCTATCAAAAAAAACCATTCAGTGACCAAAGAAGAGTGTATCCACAGAGCCGTCACAACTCACTTCTTTAGTTCAACCATCAGACTCTGCAACCCAACAGGCTGCACACTCCTCTTCTTCCCATTCCCAAACCTCTTCTCATACAATGTCAAGAAGCGTCGATAGTATAACACCAGTCTCGTCAAAACAGACTGTAGCACTCGAGCACCATTCTGAAAGTTGGGAAACGATTGTATGACGGAAGCATTGATACTGTTTAATGCATTCTTCCATGTTGCGGTGAATTCGGACGCGACTTGGTCGAATTTTTCTAACGGAAGATGTAATGTGTCATGCAAGTGTCCAATGCCAAAAAAACACGAAAGAATTTGAGAATCATAAGCTGCTTAACGACAGCTTCAATCGTATGATACACCAGAGACAAAGACTGACCTGGCTGTATATTATTCACATCCTGTTCAAGCTCGCCATGATTAACAAAGTTCATCAAAAACCCAAACACGGGTTTCAATTCTTCTTCCACGAATTCCGTGGTCTTGTTGGTCAACATTCCACCAAAGTAGTCCTTTTCTTGATCAAATGAGGATGCCGTATGTTCCTACGAGACAGTGGCAATTAAGAGTGTCAGCTGAGGTGCACTCATGTGAAAGAACGAACTGTGGGCCGTTTTTTGCACACTCTGTGCATACCGTCAGAATGGAAGCAACCAAATCATAATTGTTGATCATGAACACAAGTCGACTCTTTCTATCTGAAAATTCACCAGACATTCTAAATAGCAGTGCTTCTACTTCTGTGCGGAGCCTTTGAAGACTATTGAGGACATTCATGAGTATTCTTTCCAGGTGTGATTCTTTGTTTCCAAAATATACAATGAGGCGTTCGTACCTATTGATCAAAAGAGCATCATCATATCCTTGATTCAGAGTCAGTATTGACGCAGAAAACTCTGCGTAACGTCTTGTCAACTAAAGGCGAATAGGAAAATGTCAGGCCAAAAAACCTCGTCCACTGCCAAACGATAAGGTCGAGGGGAAACGGCTCACAGCTACATACATAATGAGGATGCACGTCCTTCGTAGGTAACAATTTACCCGGTATAGCCTTCTTGACAGACTCGATATGCATGTCCATAATAGCCTGAAAACGAGGCCACAACACCATGTTCGTAGCATTCATATAGTTTTCAAGACACGGCACACATCTCTTTTGTTGAATCATGATGTTTTGCATGTTGAGCCGTATGCAGAGAAGTATTCCGACAGCATCAAAACTTGCGTCCACGTATTGCTTGTTGCTTGCCTATAATAGAGTACCGTAAGTGACGTCTACATGCAAAAAGAAGGGAAAATCGCAGCTGACAATGCCGGGTCAGGAACACAAACGTACAGCTAACAGCTTCAAAGTGGAATCAAATGTCTCCATGAATACAGCCTGCAGATACATCAATTCACTACCTGGCGCATTCGCCACGCCGGGCTTATGCACGACTCGTGAGGGAGCAAAGAACTCAATGTCAAATATATACTCGGATGACGCATTGTCCATGAGTAGTCGATTGATGCTTTTGAAAATGGCTTCAAATGGAAATCTCTGCGAAGCCAAGGGAGTCAGTAAGAGTCAAAATGCACAGCTCAAAAAATCTGAGATCGAAATACCAGATTGCGATCTTCGGCTATATGAGGTAGGATGATTCCTGTGTCTGGCGGATTTGTCAAGACTTGAAGCCGATCACCCAATGTGAAGACGTTGGTTTTGTCTTTGAGTGCTAGTTTGCCACTGAAGAGACCTAAGCAAAGTTGTCAGCAAAAAAAACCGATCAAACGGAAACCTCATGGTGCTAGTGCTACCTTTCTTGACACTCTCCTCATATCCAATCAGATCAAACTTGTCGGCTATGACCGTCTATAACAGGAATTACCGTTAATGGCGAAGAACTCTAAAAACATATTGTGATATACCAACATACTTGCAGCCTCTGCATAGATTTCAAATACTTGTCAAAGCACATCAAATAGTAACCTCCAACAGTATTCACATAGTTAACCCTTATTTCACCAGCAGCATCAGCATATCGTTCCAACAGAAACCAATACAGGTCCTTGTACTTTAACAGCACACTTTGCTGAATCATGGCGATATTTGTATTTGGTGCACGTAGTGATTCGATCTTGCGGAGTAGGAATTCTCGTATTTTCTCAGTTGCCTGATTAGAGAAAAGTCGGTTGGCTAAAAAAAGTTACAACGCACAATAAACAGCACATGTTACCTTGAGCCGTAATCGCTCTAGCTCTGGTCCAACATCCTTGAATGCTCGCACATGTTTGTTCTGTTGAGCCTTCACATATGACATTTTCTTATTCAGATCATTCAAATGTGTCAGAAAGAAGTCATTTACTTCTCCTTCACATATCTTTCTGCAGGCGAAAAAAAAGATACGTTACCAAGGGTCAGAGCAAGAAGCTTCCTTCAACAATCCTTACTTTATCAGATCCGGACTAATCACAACACCATCCAAAACGGCGTTGAGCAGTGTCTCCAGATTCTAGGACGTTCAGAGTAAAGTTTCTATCAGCCCAACGAAAAAACGAACCTGTCAAATGCATCATACCGTCCGATTCTTGAGTTTGATATTCATGGTATGGGATTGCTCTTGCAAAGTCTCGATTTCTTCACTGATCTTGCCCAGCGTCGCTTGGAAGTCACTAAGCAGTGATTCCATATGCTCGAGGATGTTGTCACAACTCTATGTGTGCGATGTGTTGGATCTTGTTTTACGCAGCTAGCGAGACTGTTGTTGCATATACCTGTATCTGAGAATGCAGATCTGCCAATGCAGGGCTCTGTTTCACATCTAGAGCGAAAAAAAATGGGACGTGTCTCCATGTAGATGACGGTCAAGTGCCAACTTACAATCTAGAACATGTGCCTGCTCCAGTTCATCCAATTCCTTTTCAATCTGCTTGGCATATTCACGTAAATCGACTCCCTGTTGATATCATATCCACACTGTTAGATCACATACGTTATCACCACTGAGGTTTCAACTTGGATCCCATGTTCATACTTTGGCAAATGCGGATTTGAGTAGCTCGTGATCTTGAAATTCCGTAAGTCGATCTAGTATAACAATGACTGTAAGAGTCTGTTCTTCGAACTCGACATTGACAATGTCTCCAACCTTCAACGTATAATTGAGCCTTTGGAAGCTCGGGACCACCAGATCCTTCGACTACGCGTGACTATCCAATTAATAAATGCATTAGCATTACGGATTAGCAGTCAAAAGCTGCAACATTACATGTTCATCATCTTCAGCGAGCAGCGACGATACAAATGTAGCAGCAGCAGTGTTCATGTCCACAGCAGGAGTAGCACCGCCTGCATCATGATCAGAAGAAGTACTCTGCGCGGACATGTCTTTGCGTAGTTATAATCGTCCAACACGCTGTTGCTTGACACACTATTGATGGATCGTGAAGATTGCGACTGGTGCAAAATGGGAGCGGTGAAGAGCTAACTTTTCTATATTTATTTGTAGATACATGTGTTGATAGACATTTACAGCTTAGTTGGCTCGTTTAGAGGGTGTTTTCGCGTAGAAATCGACCAATGGACATTTTAGGTACAACCAAGGCCGAGGTAAAATTGTTGGAAGATTTGCCTTAGAACGCGTCAATGCGCACTATATTGCAAATAATAGAATCCTCACTATGTTTACACCACCTGATCTATCTCAGAACTATTGATCTTCATCCTCATCTGATATCCACACAGGTTCACATCTCGACGAACAAGGAAGACAAATGGAGGCCTCTTGTATCTTGCAGCACGAAACAGGCCAGTATACTCTGTCGATATGGCACAATGCACTGGAGGAATCGGCTATTACTGAGCAGAGTCTGCAAATCACAATGTCTGGAAATCACCAATCTTGGACGGGTTCATTCAATGGCTCTTGTAAGTGTTTGAAATAACAGTGGTATAGCATTGTAAATTGTATCCTTAGAATACTAACAATGTCACTCGTCGTGTACAAGATCTAGAGGAAATGACTCGCAAGACTGGAAATTTCAAACGATTTTCTGTTTTTGTCGAAATGTTGGTGTCGGGTATCAAACAGGCATGTGGAAGCAGAAGCTTGGAATACTTATTCTGACTCGCTTGAGCTAATTAATTTGTTATCTCAGACCACTCCAACCATCTCATTGGACTTGTTGACCCATAGCGATCTACTGACACTGAAAAAGGTGTCACATACTGTTAAAGCAAAGCAGACCAAGTCGGATCTAGCTAGATTCTATCTTATAATGACTTATGCTGTAGCTTTTGACAGGTATTTGATGCACAGTTGCAAAAGCGAACTGGTCGCAGCCAAGCTCACACCACGAGAATATTAGAGTTCATTACCCGCTGCCGCTTGTATTAGCGAGCGCTGACGAGTCAGCAAGTACATTAAGAGCTGCTATACAAGAGCTGAAGCAAGAGCGGGGGAGACACTTACAAGAAATTCAAAGGGTTTGTTGATGGAGATTCGAGCATTTTAGCCACGCAGCCCTGACAAAAAGGCCGAATATAGTTGTTGAAAGAGAATGACCGACTGAAACTTGAAGTCAAACGACTGAGCACCGCAAAGCAAGTCTCAAGTCGGCAGACTTCCAGAGGGTAACTTGCTTGTGTTAGTTAGCTGCTCACATGTAGAACTAAAGTGATCTGACGGCTTCTTGTAGACATCCACCAATACATCAAAGAAAGCTCTATGACGAAGACGTGACGTTTGATGTCTCTGATGCACATGAGGTGGCTTGGTTGTTTCTTGTTGCTTGTCATCGTCGATCATGAACCTCACTCTCATCTTCACTCTAGGACCGACTGGATAATGTCTCGGTACATCTTATCACATTTAAATCACTTTTTCAACTTGACATTCTTAACGTTCACTAGGAGGCATTACTGAAAAAGGATCGCGAAATTGAACGATTACGACTAGAACTCATGAAGGCTAAAAGCACGAATTTGGCTTCTAATCGAAGGCCGAGTCCAGTGTATGTGTGATCAAAATGGTCATTCCACATGCGGGTTGTCGTGATTGATTTTTGGTTGTTGCTAGAACGAGAGCGCCAGAACCCTACAAACCAATCAAATCACGACCTTTATATACACCACCACCCGTACCACGATCTGCATCAGCAGACGGTATACCGTTGAGTACTAGAGATAGATTACGGTCAAGTGAGTCTTCGTGCTTTGTGAAGGTATAGAAAAAGGCCCACAAATGTGACTCGATAGGCTCACGTCCAAGTCGATCGCCCTCTCCCAAGTTCAACCCCACGCAGTGCGTATGGAATTTTTATCTGTATTAACTAGACCGGTGATTCTCACGATTGGGTTGTTAGGTATGTGTTGGAACGAGAACAGAAATTGAGGGAGATGAGAGCTAGGAGGTGAGCAATACAGCCTTCAGATCAACATCTTTTTGCCTGCTCTGATATTGATTGAATTTATAGTCAAAAAAGACTGGTTGAAAGGAGACAATCGACGTCATCTCTCTCGTCAATCAGGTCGAGGCCTAGTCAAGGTATTTCTCTTGTTAAGTGAAATAGTCAATGATGACATATTCATTTTCTTGTGTTCCGTAGGAGAGCGAGGACGTACACGATCAACTGGTATGTTGGCCTACCATCACATTGCCATACGCTAACCTTGTTGGACTACCATCACGTTGCCATATGCCTACCTTGAAACTGATATGACAGCCTTACACAGCTCCATTACTGGCCGTACCACTGCCAAAAGCACCACAGCAGACTTGGTCAAGGAAGAGTGCTTCATCTTCTGCTGATCGAAGGCCACAAGTAAGCTTGACGAAGCAATTTGACCTGGCGCCAGTGTTAAACCAAGATGTGTTTCAATCATAGAAGAGGACTGGTAGAGTTGCAAGCCCTGCTGTCTCCTATGGTAAGCACTTCACCTAGCATTCAGATTTTTTTTCCCTCGCCAAACATATTGGGTTTGTTGTAGGAACAGCCAAGGACACCAACAATGAGATTGACAAGAGACTAGAGACTCTAAGGAACTTTTTGACTAATATAAGCCTATGATTTTCTTTGTATTTCTGTGAATATTGAGTTTATTTAAGGAGCGACGATTGAAGTTGTTACCTGATTTCGGATCTTCTTCCACGTCTTCCGGGGACCTTGCGGTAAATGCCGAAGTCATGTAAATTCGGTAGCGTCTTGTTCGCTATTCAGCCTTTGCTTAAGCTTCCGGCAACGACCCTGGCAGCTGAATTTCAGTACGACCTTTGAGAAAACCAGCCTAGACATCTTCCAATTTTCTGGATCGCTACATCGGCTTTGTCGTATTGGAGCTACACATCCTCTGTGGCATTCCACTTCCTGAAGCATCATGCAGCAAACCCGTTTGTCATGGTTGTTTGTCTCGTTGGCTCTTATCGCAAATTACGCAGTTTTAGCAGGTCCAGCCAAGAGTCCATGCTATGCTACGGCAACAAGGGTAACTCCAAGAATATGTAGGTGATGCATCATGCAATGCAACTTTTAGCGGTTGGATTGTATTGGGCTGGTGGGTAAACCGCGTTCCAACTAACCCGTGTCATCGTAATATGTAGATACGTCCACGACTACAGCTACATGTCAGCCTACGAATAAGCTGATACCTGCAACAGTTACGGCAGGTAAGAAGTGACAATGGGTTTCGTTGCTTGGTTGTGGTTGGTTTGACCAGTATTATCACATTTTGGAGTGGGGTTGTCTTCTGTGCTTCTCCATGATTGATCAATCCTTTGCAGAGTGAGTTTCTATTCTGAAGTGGCTTACTGATTTGTAATTCTCTCTAGGCAAAGTCATCACCATAACGCCAACAGGAACATGTCCTTGTGTAGCCACGACTACTACAACTTCTACTGTCACAGCTACTGCCACTCTACTCAGTACATCATGCCCATGCTCTCCTGCCAATGGACAGTGTCAATCTACCAATGGGAGTAAGTAAAAAATGCTAGCATACACAGCTAACTATTGCCCACCTAACCAAACACTGCTTCAGATCAACCTCTATTTAAGGGATACCTCTCTGGACCACAGATGATAGGATGTTACTATGGGACCAATCTCAGTTCACCACTATGCTTCTACAACTTGACTACGGGTCTTTTCACGACTGCTGATTTCAGTGCTGGCACTGGTGTTTGTCCAGGTTATCTTTGCAACAAGCCCTTGACGTGCCCCCTCAATCAATTGGCATGTCCGGTAAAGAGTCTCTCGTACGTGCTGCAAAATTGTCATCCAACCTCAACTTTTGAACATTTCTTTCTCACTTTGGTGTTGATCTGCTAGGAGCGTTCCTTTAAAAGAAGCGCAATCGCTGTCCCAAAATACTCAAGGGGATATTGTTTGCAGTTATCAAAATTATGGAGAAGTTTTTCATTCTGGCTGTTTATACCCGGTAAGCGAAGCAAAAATCCACAACGAGACCCCCTATCGCAAGCAGTATGCTCAATTTCTCGGAATTTGTTTATGCCCTAGGTCGACGACCCCGCTCTACCTGGAATCGCACCTGGCACGCTTTCTTGGAGCAATTCCAACTCTTCCTCGGACTGTCCTGCCAGCCTTTCGTGTGCAGCTGTGACTTGCAATGCCACCACCTCGGCGCTTTATTGCCCTCCAGTTGTTACAGGTAACATTTTGGTTTCAATGCTTCTTCAACCTTGTATGTTTCGAAATGCTAAACAACGACATGTGAAGGGGTCAACATTTCAAACGTCATTCCTCAAAACACTATTGACTTTGAGTGTTTGTACACTTCCGGCGGTAGCTGCATCTACTCTGGAGGTAGTACTGGAGCACTTATTGGTAAGCTGTGTCGTTTTTGAATCAAGATTCATTGCTTATTGTATTCATCTTTTCTCTTTCACACACTGATTAGGTACAGTCGGCCCCATTGCCACTTATTGTCCCGCATTCGCTACTTGCATAAATCTTCAGTAAGTTTTCACTTTTTTATGACCGACATCCGTTCCTATTTCTTGCAAAATATCAGGCTCAACTACTTGCCTTTTGTTTAGAGCAAGCACTCTCATTTGCCAATCCCCAAAGAGCCTGACCTGTCCCGCCACTTGGGGAACAAAATTACTCTCATCACACCTTGTGACTAATGGTATCCAACTCTGCCAATATGGAAATGGCATACCATGCTTCTATGCCGTCGGACCCAAGTATCCATACCAGGATGTCATACCCGGAACACTGCTGGTAGATTCGTCGCCTTCCGGTTGTCCGGCGTTGACGTGTGTTTAACCACATACATGTGGAAATCAGATAAACAAATCCAACTCTTGCAATAGTGTTGTGCATCTGTATGGGTTGGTGAGTGTGGGTGAGTGTGTGTGTGTGCATGTGTGTTCATGGATTGGAAATTGGGAACAGACTGATGACAGCTGATTTCAAAGTCTGGATTGTTTTCAATTCTTTTCTGTCTCTATTCAATTTGCAATAAAACAATCCCTCATAGTCTTTGAATGAGGCGATGGGTTGTGTGCAGAATTCTGCAACACCAACACTCCTTAGGCATCATGTACGGAAATTAGATGTCAGTGCATTGTATCTGAAGGACAAAGGTCTTATGTGGTGGCAGTCACCGATGGAAGGAAAGCGGAATCAGGTTTCAGACCCTTGCCACAGTCACATCTTTGGAGAACTTGCGATATCTAGTGGCAAAGACTAGATATGTGGGTATCCATCATACGTGTTTTCTCTCCTTCGTTGGTGTGACTCCGGGTTGCCGACGAAATCACATCAAAATGACTTGTACTCAGTTTCGCGATCCATTTATATCCGCCAACACAACCGTCAACATACAAGGCGTGACTTCAATATATGGACAAAATCATTTTTATATAGTGGTGTGAAATTTTGGAAGTATAATCAGCCGCTTGTCGTGATAAAGAGCCTAAGATTTTTTGCTTTTCAAACTCTTTTTACTTATCATTCATGATGTACATTAGCGGGAGCAAGCGCAAGTTTCGATCGACTCGTTTCATCGGCTTCCAATATTGGAGGCTGTAGTCCAGAATGTGCTGACAGTCCTGCACTCCCACCATGTTGTTGCAGTGTTGAGATCGGTTGGTGCGGTGGAGCGTGGTCGTAACTACTGCTACTACTGGTATGTTGTGACTCGGTGTGGGGGTCAATGGAAATCTTGATATGGGCAGGTAGGGCTGCCAAACCAGCAACACCATTATCTGAATCTGCTGATCCATGGTGACTGCGTTTAGGATTGGGAATTCGTCGTGAAACGTCGCCGTTTGATGATCCTTCGGCGACGAGTATTCCTGTTGATGTTCGAGGTTTGCCATCAACGTGGGAGTTAGAATTCAAGTCTTTGTCGGATTCGTGGTGTTCGCCACCGGGCGCACCACTAGAGAAGGGAAATTTACGATAACTAGCTCGACGGTTACGGATACCACCAGAACCGGAGTCCTTTGCAGCTTGTGCCTCTGATTCCATAATTAAGAATCCTTGGGACCCATATGACTTGGCTTGGGTCGAAGGGACCTTGTCAAGACCAGCTGCAACACTGTCCTTTGTAGATAAGTGGACGGAGGAGGCTTCATCGGATAGGCATGTCTTCATTTTCTTGTTTGAGGTTTCAGCAGCGATTTGCATACAAGCTTGGCGTACTAGCTTGGCATCTTCCGGATAAGCTCTGAAGATGCCTTCGATTTCGTCACGAGTCAAGACGAAAACGTCGGAATTACATACTGCTCTAGCAGAATAATCATGGAATCCACCCAAGATAGTAGGTGCGTATCCTGAAAATGGTTTGCTTGTTAGTATGTGATGTTCGTATACACCGAGCACCAATATTCCTGGAATGACAAAAGATTCTTACCAAGACAAGATCCTTCAATCAAACACTTAATAGCTCGCTTTTGTTCTGGTCCATCAAATATATCGATACGTCCTTGTGTAATAAAATACATTTCTTGCGCAAGATCACCTTGATGGGTCAAGAATTCATCGGCAGTGTAAAGGTAGAATTTGATGGTGTATGCTACAGTGCGACGGAATCCCAAAGAGCAAGCAGAGAACACCTTAGCCTATTGGAAGTGATGAAAGCGTCAGGACACAGAGGTATGCATTTCGCAGTAGCCACTAGCTGTCGTTTTTGGCTTCTAAGTCACATACCTGATCAATAATAGCAAAGTTCAAACTATACAGCAAGTCTCCACGGAAAGTAGCTGGCATTTCATCAAAGAGATGTCGTACATCAATACCCTTGTTACGATTCCATGCGTAATCAAAGTATTCCAGCACTCGTTGTTGCATTTCATAGTCCATATCACGAGTCCGCATGTATTGGACGACGGCGTCCATCTTTTGTTGGTAGGTAACACGACGAGAGTCCATGTTGGAAAGACTGGAAGCAATGGTACCAGAAATATATCCAAAGAAGAGAATACCCATGATTTGAACAAAACAGGCCATGATTCGTTCTCCAGTGTTGTCAGGATGTATGTCTCCGTAACCGGTGGTCGTCAGTGTCGTGGCTAATAGTTTGAGCCAATGTTAAAGCTGTAATCACGTGTTGTGATTACATGTCGTTTTTGTCTGGACTTACTGGCCCAATAAATCGAATCCACATAAAGACTGAAAAGAGAATCATTGGTTGCAGTGAAGGTACGAGAATTAACCCAACTGTTATCAGAGCAGATTGGACCTATTGAGATGGGCTCGATTAGATTCCAAATCAGTCAACTTTCTAAAACACGGATCTTACCGTCAGGACCAGAAGAACTACAAGCAAGAGAAAACCAAACACAAGCCACACAGTGTAGCATGGTTATCATGTAAGTCAAGAACTTGACTAACTGAAGCATGAAACCAGCATGCAAACGTTGTTCCTCTCTCATAAAGTATGCGACGATACATCGTACTCGAATGAGTTTAGGCAATCTCACGAGTGCCAAATAACTGATTGGGTCTTGATTCGTAGCAAAGAAGCACAAGGCGAATAAATCAACCGGCAGACTCGATGCAAGATCCAACCAAAATTCTACACTGTCTAGGTATCGTAGAGCCATCTCCTTAGGGAAGACTACCCAAAAACCATTTGAGAGGAAGGCACGGTGGAATTTAATGTCTACGTGACGGGGAGTTGTCATTTAGCACGTGTAAACGCGTCAAACGACCAACATGAGGGGATATCAGCCATTTTTCGAGCTAACGTACATATGTCGGTTAGGAAAATAATGTCGATGGCATAGGACAGTACCCATGCACCAGGAGAATGAACTTGGAATGAAGCCATAAAAGTCAACATGACTGTGTTTAACACGGCCACACAGACAATAAAAGCGTCCCATATTGCTAAAAATTTCCCTCCAGGTAAGAGATAGAATTTGGTGAGGTATTCAAGCCAATGATCGGCCATTGTTGGTGGAAGACCTTCGATCTTCATGGTTGCGAATTCTTGCTTGCGAGATGGAATTCAGAGTTGTTTAACGATGGATCTTGCGTCGTTGATCGCGAACAAATGAAAGAAATAATAATATTAAGTGAATGGTGGAAGCAAAGGGTCACATAGCACAGTGCTTCGGAACATTTTGCAATGTAGAGTGTTTGCGATTCGCGGATGATAAGGGTCAGGCTAGTCTCACGACCCAGAACTGATATCAGCCGGGATCGCATTCTTCGTGTCCAAATGGCAATCACATAGTCATAGACGACAAATAATTTGGACTAAGATGGCTCTAGGGGAACATTGTAGTTAGAATACACGTCAAAATACCAATTAATTTGATGCCGGTACGGCTCTCGAACGTGTACTAGGATGCTTCAAACTTGAGATTTCCTAAACCTCATATCCTTCACATTGCTGTCCAACTTGGCTAGGAAATGACTTGTTTCTATTATGATCCAGTACTAAAAGTATTCTCCCCATGTGCACTTAGGATATTCATATCAGTAGTCTTGGTAGTTGCTTTTTTAATAATCGTTCTAGTGAGGAACTTGACAGTTGAACGAGTTGATGTCGTTGATGAGCAGGAACCGTTACTAGCGGATCAGACCAATTACAATAGTAATAGCGAATCCAACCATGCTAGTAGTGGCAAAGAACCGATCGTCTATACGCCATCTGCGTCTTCTCTCGTGTCGGGAGCAACATCAATCTCAGTACTGATCATCGTCACCTACTTGCTAGACATGACTTGGATTCTAGGTCTTTATGTTAGAGTATCCAACCATTCTGATCAGCCTGTCACGTGGCCTACTCCACCGTGGTATTTGGTTGCTGGAGCAATCACAACTTTGACCGTCTGGTGCGTCCATCACTATTATCTCTTGTATGACTGGAAGCACGGATCTGTATGGAGTGCTAGAGGACGTCTTGTCCCGATCTCCGTGTCGGCAATCGTGTTCTGGATTGTGGCATTTGCTGCTGGGCTAGTGGAACTATATCACGACACAGTGTATCTCAACCATCCAGACCGTTGGCCAGAACAATCAGGAGCTATAGGATCTGGTTTATCAACCATCGCAACTAGCTTCATATTCGCTTTCGCTGCTCGTATGATTATGCTCCTTGGCCTAGTTATTGTAGCAGCCATCACAATTGCCTTGTCATCCAACTCTACTCAAACCACATCAACAGCTCTGAATGGACATGCTAATGGAGATGCTGCAAATGGTCTTGCGGAAGAAGCTTCAGAGGCACCAGATAGTCGTCATACGACTAGATCGGCTCTTCTCGGATTCAAACCGCCATCAACCTTAGTAGAATACAGCAAGCAGTTTCTGAAGCTGATCCCATTCTTATGGCCTCAGGGTAAAGATGCGGGGCTACTCCAGCTGCTGCTTTGTCTTTGTAGCGTCATCCTTGTATTGGGAAGAGTAGTCAACTTGCTGGTGCCCATGCAATTCAAACATGTCGTGGACTTGTTTGGAAGTGCTGCTACAGGTACGCAGATCGTCCAGTTTCACAAAGATACTCTGGGGCCTAGTTTCTGACATTTCCTGTCAACGCGTATAGGTGGAGCTGGCTTCATCTTACGTGCTCAACGCGATGGAACACCAATTGCTATACAAACTATAGAGCCAGGGTTGCCTTTGTATACTGCTTGGGGAGCTATTGGTTTATTTGTGTTTTTAAGGTTGTTGCAAGGTGGAAGTGGATTGTTGAGTTGTACTGAAGATATGCTCTTCCTTCCCGTATCTCAGGTGCGGAGTCAAAGTAGTCTCGTTTTCCCTCGTTTGATTCACTTCTCAGAATCTTGTTTTGATTTAGTTTACAACACGACAAGTGATGGTCAAAGTCTTTGAGCACCTTCATAGGTATTCCGCCGTCTAATCAATGTTTATCCCTTGTTGCACCTTGCAGTTTTTTTGCTAACGTACTTGACAGGGTACGATGTACTCACGTGACTTTTCAAACAATCAACTAGTTTGTCAATGAGATTCCATCTCGGTCGTAAGACCGGAGAAATTTTACGAGTACAAGAACGTGGAACATCTTCTATTGGATCTCTCATCGAGTTGATTTTATTCCATATCGTACCTACACTCGCAGATATTGCTATTGCTACCATCTACTTTACCTATCAATTTGATCTGATTTTTGGGGCTATAGTATTGGCTACCATGTGCGCGTACATAACATGCACTGTCGTAGTAACAGAATGGCGAACAAAATATCGACGTTTGACGAATCTTTTGGATAATGAGATGGAGGCAAAAGGTAGTGTGCTATTTGTTCTTGCATAACGTTGTGGAAATGATTTAAAGACTTTTCTTGTCAATAGCTGTTGATTCGTTATTGAACTTTGAAACAGTCAAGGTATGGGTAACAGGAAAATCTAGAAGCGCTCATATCTGCGCAAGTTTCTGAATCCTTCGTCTCTACCTATAGTACTTTTGTGCTGAGTCCTTTGAAGTTGATCAATATGGCACTGCTATTCGAGCATACCAAAAGGCTGACTTTGTATCATCAGCGACTCTCTTCTTGCTCAACTCGTTGCAAAACATCATCATCAATGCTGGATTGCTAGTTGGCTCTCTATTATGTGCTCGTCGTATATTCGTCGATGGAACAATGACTGTTGGCGACTTTGTCTTGTACTTGACGTACCTTAATCAACTGTATGAGCCCTTGAATTACTTGGGCAGTGTGTATAGGATGATTCAGGTAGGGTATTAAGTCTGAAAAGAGATGTTGGTCGACCTTCGGAATATGTTTTTTTATCCTTCCACATACTGATTCAATGCTAATTATGAGTCTTCCTCGCCAAGAAAAACTTTGTGGACATGGAGAAGATGTTGGATTTGTTACACGAGAATGTCGAGGTAACATCGAAATCCTACATGATCGAGTCGAGTTGTCTCATCTCGCTCTTTCCAGGTCAAGGATGCTCCGGGAGCTCTTCCTTTGGTTGTAAATCGTGGAGAAGTGGTCTTTGGTAAGCACAGTGTTGCCTTAATCGGCAAACCGTTATGATGTTGTTTTTGCCTCCCTAACCTACCGTATTTGTTTTGTCAACCTAGACAATGTCTCATTTGCGTATGATCCACGAATGCCTACTCTCAAATCGGTATCATTCACGATTCCACCAGGAAATACTGTGGCTCTTGTTGGTAGTTCTGGATCGGGCAAGAGCACGATACTTCGCCTGCTGTTCCGCTTCTACGACGTCCAATTTGGTCGAATCTTGATTGATGGACAAGATATTCGTACTATTACTCAAAAGTCGTTGAGAAAGTCAATTGGTGTTGTGCCTCAAGTATGCCCTCCTTCCTTATATATGGTGGTTTCTTTTTTTGCTTTACCAAACAAACCTTCTCCTCTGTCTTTAAAATTATAGGATACTGTGCTCTTTAACAACACTATAAGGTACAATGTGAGGTATTCCAGGCAAGATGCTACAGATGTCGAGTTGGAAGACGCTGCGAAGGCAGCTCAAATTCATGAAAAGATCAGAACTTCGTTTCCTGATGGCTATGAGACGAAAGTTGGTGAACGAGGGTGAGTTTATCTCAAGCGAGATCTTCTTGGAGCGAGCTTGTAATTTGATCAACATCAATCGATGTCTTGTATTTTTTGGTTGACTGACTATCTTTTTGTTGTCTAAAGGTTACGACTAAGTGGTGGAGAGAAACAAGTAACGACCGCGTTGATTGACAACAAGTTGATCGCTCTCTAACGATCGATTCTCTTACCCAAACTTTAGCGAGTAGCCATCGCCAGGACCATTCTCAAGAATCCACGTAAGTTGATGTTCTCTCCTTGAAACTGAATTTTTTGCATTCTAACACTCTTTCGGGTTGTTAGCTGTGATTGCATTAGATGAAGCGACGAGCTCATTAGACTCACACACTGAACGCCAAATTGAAGAAAGTCTACACAAAATGTCTAAGGATCGTACCACTCTGATTATTGCTCATCGTTTGAGGTACAAGAAACAGCCACCACATCAAGCATCGTCAACGTGATTATCTAACGTTTCTTCAATCTTGCCGAAATAGCACCATTGTGAATGCCGATATCATTCTAGTCCTGAAAGACGGCGAAATCGTTGAGCGGGGCTCTCATGCTACTTTGATGCAGGTAAGCCAAAAACGAGCGAGCTCTTCAACATCTACTGACCGTCAATCAATGATCTGCTTCTGTCAGGATCCAAATGGCCTTTACTATTCATTGTGGATGAAGCAGCTCGATGATGAAATCTCGAGGTCGAAAAAAGCGCGGAGGTTAGAGGAAGCACAAGATCGAGACGGTGGCGGTGATGATTCCGTTACGGGGGACACACCAGGGTCTTCTTTATTCTGAAAACACTTGGTTTGCATGTGTTTCTTATACTTGTACCTCATATGTTCCATAGATTATATTTGACTATCACGTTTTCTCAGCGACTTTGACTGTTTTGTCAAAATCGGTGGACGTTTGCAAATGGATTTGCATTCGAGAATTATGAGCATTGACAAGTAATGTTGTCTTCACATGCAGAGTGCTCCTTGCAAAACGTATGTGTTACTTCGTGATTTCCAAATACAACTTGGTGACTGGACATTTGAGAATACGAGATATAAAGACACCAAAGGCTTGTATGTAAGTACATCCTACTACTTGCTACCGTTGCATTTTTCGTATTCCAAGTGCCTCCACCTCTTAACGTGCTCCTCTAAAGTAGACAATCAAAACAAGCTCGCCACGATGGCGACTCCCATCCAAATCAAGAGTCAATACAATGGCTTATATCGAAAATATGAATTCCTCACCTACCAGAACTTCACGAGTTACAATGCTCTATCCGATATGGTCAAACAAAAGCATGGCATTGCAAGTCACAACAACGTCAACATCTATTATCAAGATAACGAGAGTGATGACATTCGAGTCTCAACTGCTAATGAGCTTGCAGATTTGATAAAGCACCAAGAAAATCCCAGTCTTAGGTTGAAAGTGGTATTGGCCGATTCGGACGCCACGGCCTCTGCATCTGCTCGGGACCTTGGCAGTAGTGTGATGAGTGCTTCGATGCATGACTCGATTGTATCTCCTGCTCTGTCTACTTCCACGGTCGTTGCTGCAAAGTCTGGTGCTTGTTGTGGAAGCTCTCGCTCTGCTTGTGCCTCTACCGAGAGTGTTGGTAAGTCTTGTTGGAGGCATAAACACGTGCATATCAAAACATATCTTTATGCATCTCAATATCACATCGTTTACTCTTTTACTCATGTTACAACTCTCCTTTAGATGACCGTCCAGCTACTCCATCAACCAAACCTCAACCAGACCAAGCATCACTCAACCGAAGCTCACCATCAAACACATCATATCGACCAGTATCGCTTGCATCTTTCAAAACTCAAAACAGCTTTGTAAGACGTAATACTAGTAGCAATGGTGATAGTGGTGATGACTGGCAAGTCATTGTTGAAGGAAGCAACTCGGATACGGAACATGATGTCAAGAGTCAGGCTACCGATGATGAAAGTGATAACGAGAGTGTCAGTCATATTGAAACTGTTACTTCAGTATCACACGTATCAGTACAACCCGATAAAGTATCTGAGCCACCATCCAGTGTACGAGGTGATAATATCGTACCTGAAGTGCATGAAGATGAAGAAGATGGTCATGATCGATACTCGCTCGCTAGTGATGGCTTTCATGATAACGAAACACATGCTGTTGCAGTTCCAGAAACAGTACATCGTGTATTCAATACATCTCAACTTGTATATGGTCAAGAAATTCGTGTGCCAGGTGGAATCATCAAGATCTCATTCCAGCCTGATACTCAAACATCAGCAGGTCGTATCCCAATCCGAGATATAATCAGTGTCATCCATACTAGTCGCAGTGGTCGAGACAGTCGTGTCAGCAACAGTGAACGAGACGATGAAGGATCGGAAGTAGATCTTGCCAGTGATGTAGATAACGAGTCAATTCAACTCAGATATCCTACTCTTGACACCATGATGCGTGAAACTCCTTCGTTGGTTGATGATGGAACTAGCTCGATGGCTGGGACTTGTCCTCCTCGATCACAATCATCTCGAGTGGATGTAGATATGCGTGATGTAGAATCTGTTGGTACTACAACAACTGATGTTGCTGTTGGTGCTGAACTCAAGGAAGCACTGAATAAATTCTCAGATGCAATGCATTCTACTGTCTCGAATGCTATTGATGAGGTATGCTTTCAATTCTTGCTCGCAATTCTTACTCGCAAGCAAAACAAGGTGTCACGTTCTTCAATAATGATTTTTATTTTGCTTCTGTAGTTCCGGGAAGTCATTCACACTCGATTACGAGAGTACGAAGGCCCTATCGCGACTCAATTTGGTGAATCGATTGCTTCTACGGCTGCTGAACGAGTCAAATCCATTATCAGCGACTCTCGTAAACAGGCCTACCAACCAATAGTTTCATCACCATCTATTGCTTGTCTTGCTGAAGGAGCTCGAGTAGTAAACGAAAGTCGCACTGTAGGATGCTGCAGCAAGTTGTCTTCGCCAGCACCAGTAGATTCGCCCTCGATTGCAACTCTTGCAAATGAGCGTGTAAAGAGCTTGATTGCAGAACAGCCTCCAGTAGTTGTGGTTGGTATGTCTGGTGACAGTATCTCCACTATGGCTGCTGATAAAGTCAAGGCTATCATCGATGAGACCAATCTCCATCAAAAAGATGAGTTTAATAGGATGGTTGACAGGTGGTCGGTTAACCGACAGCGACAACTAGCTGAATTAGCCTCAGCTTCGTCAGCAGGATCACAAACACAACCAGCAGTATCTTCAGCATCCACTACTGCTTCTTCAATAGCTGCTCAAGCAACTGCCGAGGTCAAATCGATCATTAATGAAAAGAACGATCAGATTGGATCAGTCATATCTCAAATATTGACTCGAGGGGTACCTGTAGGAGTTACAGCTCCAGCATCAGCAACTTCCGGTCCTAACCCTGGAAGTCCTTACCTATCTCAGCAATTATTGGATTACGCTACTATTGCCAAAACAGCTTTGGGTAGAGTCAATGAAATCATACAATCTCAACCTGCAATGTGAGCTTGGCAATGTCGTCCACTTTATGTTCCTTGCTTCTGCTGTTGACTAAATAATTTCAATAGTACTCCATCAGCAATTCAAACAGCGGCTTCTGAAGTTGTACGAGGTCTGATGGCTCAGAATCGAGCTACCTTGGCTCAAATATCTCAACAAATGCAGCAAGCAACCTTGACTAAAATGTCTCAACAAATGCAGCAAGTACGAGCTGTTCAACAACGACAGGCTGCAGCCGCTTCAACTCTAGTACCAGGCGAAACCAATGAGCAGACTGCTGGAAGTCAAGCAGCTCCACAACTTGCTCAAGTAGTAAACCCTATTGTATCAACACTGGCCCAGCAAAATCTTCGAATGGCCCACCTCAATAACCTCCTCGCGCTACAACAGCAATCCATCAATCAACGACTTGCTCAACAAGAACAACGTACGCAGGTCTCTCAACCAACAGCATCGTCTCGTGAAGCTGGAGTACACGAGATGCTTGCCGAGGCACAACGAAGAGCAAAGCGAACTTGTGACTTGTTGACTCACTGCAAGGAAGCTAGTGCTGGTAATTCGTCTATTGCACAAGTTGCAACTGAACGGGTAAAGGCTATCATCAATCCAACTCCAGTAGTAGCACCAACATCTGTTGTTGTCTCGTCTATTGAACAAGCTGCGAATGAACGAGTAAAAGCTATCATCAATCCAGCTCCAGCACCAACATATAGTCCTACTTCGCCGTCATATACTCCAACTTCACCAGGATATTCTCCAACATATAGTCCGACGTCAGCGTCCTATGCTCCAACTTCAACAGTATATCGTCCTACTTCGCCAACATATAGTCCCACTTCGCCGTCATATGCTCCAACTTCACCAGTATATTATCAAACTTCACCAACATATAGTCCAACATCGCCGGCATATGCTCCAACTTCACCAGGATATGGATATACTACATCATCAGGATATTCTTCATCTTTCGTATTGCCTCTATCAGCAGCACCTCCAATGGTGCAAGGTGCGAATAAAGGAGGCAAGGTTTGGTACACCAATAAAGTAAGAGTTACAAAACCTTATACCGTCAACTCAGAAAACAACTGGGGAATACCTGTCGTAAATAGTCAAACTCCCGTGGTTGAAACAAATGAAGAGGTCTCTGCTGATATATCGTCGACTCCGTCGATTGCACAAGCTTCCGAAGATATAGTCAAATCTATCATAAGTGGTGAAACTCCGTTGGTTGCATCAAATGAACAGGTCTCTGGTGGTATGTCTTCTACTCCGTCGATTGGACAGGTTGCAATGGACAGGGTTAAGGCTATTCTGACAGGTGAAGCTCCAGTGGTTGAATCAAACGAACAGATCTCTGGTGATGTAGCGTCTGCTTCATCTCGTCCAACATCATTTGCTCTATCTGCTCTACCAGGTGCATTGGATGCAACAGATGACGACGCCACTCCTATCCCATCTCCAACTTTACCAGGAGCCTTCCCTTCCGCTACAGCTTCTTCTTCGTCCAGTAACCCAACAGTAGTATCAGGACGTCGACGAGCTTTGGCTTCTTGGACTCGATATGGATTTACTGCAGGTACTTCGTCTTCAGCAGGAACTCCATCATTGCAGGATGTATTGAGGGAAACTCGTCGCAAGGTAGCTCAATCTGTTCGCTTCTCATCCAATGGTGATGCCAATGCCATGAGTCGTCTTGCTGAAATGGGATTCACCGATGAAGAATTGAATAAGGCGTTGTTGGAGGAATGTGCTGGTGATATGGAGAAAGTTGTTGAAATATTAGCTGGGTTTGATTGAGGATGATCAGGAATGATGAAATCGTATAAAAATCCAAGAAATGTTTGCTTGGGCTGATTTGAAAGGGTGGGGTTTCGTTTACTTTGTTATAAAAGAAGGAAGGTTTGCTGTTGTTAAAAGAATTGATTTGTATAAAACCACTCAGAACAAATATATTGCTCGTCTTTTTCTGCTCATAATCAACCTTACTTCGGTTCAAAAGGAACTTTGGAAGACGTGATGCTGTTTATAAGAGAAGTTACCAATATATAAACGGAGCAAAGGTTCCTCAGCTGCTACCAATCAAGCCTCGCAATTGACAAGCAATTACATTTACGTGACGTAAAAGAATTGTTTGTCCAAGCTGTGGCTCAATCTCCCAAGGGCTCTTCCCTTATCACGTCGCCAACTTGTTGAATTTATTAAGGCCAAGGAAGTAGATCTGGGGGCCCTTGAAAAAGCTGTTTGGGTCCAAATAATTTTGGTTGGCTG